TCTCACACTCAAGCCTTTCTGTATGGGCAGTATTTCTACATGTAATTCCTGAATGTGTCCGCAAATTTGATTTTCTGAAGTTCTTTGCCCCAAGACAAATTTTGAGGGAACATATTGCCAAAATCATCCTGAATTTGATTGATATACATGTAAATGGTATTTTACAAAACTTTCTGCCATGAACTTTGCCATATTCTGCCTAAAATCAAAGAATCAATCAAAGTGTTGACTGCTCATGTACACACCCACCGCCAACATACATGCCTTGGATTGGGAGATCCAAGGTATTGTCGGATGCAAATCCTTGGACGGATCTTATCTGAGGTTTCTGTCCGAGGTATCATCATGCGCAAAAGATTACCTCGGATCAAAACCTCGGAAAGCTCCTGTCCAAGGTTTCAGATCTGAGAACGCCTCTGATTTTCCAATCCGAGGTCAATATGTTGGCAGTGACCACAATTACATATAGAAAAACTGCCCAGACAGGAAGGCTTTAGGGGACAAAAATGTGGACAAACATATTTTCAAAAGGAATATCATTTTTTTGTGTATGTATATTGATGAAGCTGGAAGATATTCCAGAATCAATTCTTAGGTATAGTACAAAAATAGTTTTTTTTGTCCGTGATTTTTTTTTCAAACCTCAATAACTCAGTCAATTTACGTCACAAAGGTTAATAAACTATATATTCTTGGTGGGGAACTGCAGGAGCAGGTTTGTACAGATTTATGATGCTGTATGACATCATCTCAACTTTGGTGGTATGACATATTTTGCTGTTAACTGACCCAAAACATCTTGATAGCAGATTGATGTTATGCTGAACACAAATTGAAGTTTTGTTGAAAACATTTTGGAGACGTTGGATGTACTGGCCTGCCAGTGACCAGTAGTTGGGGGCTGGGAGTGGGTAGTGTCTAAAAGTGTTTAATGTTGGGCCGGTTAGTATGGCCAAAAAGCTGATTTATCAAAAACTCCATTAGATGAAAAGAACTTTCTCTATTGCAAAAATTATTAAAAACAATATGTTCAATCCAATTTTGGATTCCTATTGATGTGAGGATTCCAAATCTGCCCTTGGCTTCAAAATTGGATCAATTTTGTGGGATTCATGAACTTTTTTCTCAAAATACCCAATTTCACGTGTTTAGGCACTACCCACCATAGATTCAGCTCTTGAATCAGAATTAATTGATTCAATCAGTCAATACATCAAATCAAATTTAATCAAATCTAAGATCCTAACTTCAGAACAATTGTAATCTTTTTAAGACATTTGTTTTCTTATATGCAGGTGATTGTATGGTATTGAACATCAGCTAATATTGATATAAGAATGTCTTGTGGATATGTCTGAAGAGTTACGAGGTTTTATGTATGAACGCAAGCGCCCATTTTTGATTGATAGGAATAGGATAGATAGCCCTGGATAGCCCTGAGGCGCCCTAGAGGTCACCAGGGCTTGGGCCAGGGCATGGCGCAAGCCCTAGACCCCGCCCTGTCCAAAGCCGTGGCACCACGTGGCATCAGGGCACTGGGTGTGAGCGTGAATTACATGTGTATGTAAGCGCCAAATTTGAAATTCACTCCATTTTCTTTGTTTCGTTATAACTTTTTCACTACTCCTCTGTTACTAATTATTCAAAGGTTGTGCATTATGAAATGAATAAGTCTCTGTTGATTGAGCTATTACCTACCCACTTCTGATATGTTTTGACATATATAATTCACTGAAAACCTCCATTTTCGACAAAATTCACACCTTTTTCCCACTTTTCTCATGTGATATTGATTTTCCTCTTATCAAAAGATCATCGCACATCATTCCAATCATTAATATAGCTCCATAATCAATCTGCAAAACTCTTGGCGCCATCAGACCTTCAATGACATCACTACACAGGAATTAATCCCATAGTACCCATTTTTGAAATCCCCCCTTTCTTGAATAACTCTTCTTCTCCCTTATCAATTCCAATGATCAAAGTTTTTGCTGACTAATTTTATACTTCTCTTTCAGAATAAAATCTTCCTGAACCAATGACCTCCATAATAATAACCTAAAACCATTTTCTTCAAATCTGCTAATAATAATATGATTTTTTGATTTTTCTTGATTGGTCCTATAAATTGGTTACCACAACGGGTGGTTGTGTTTTTGAGGGCACGGAGGTGAGCAAACAAAATCTCTAGGCTGGGATAAATTTGTCCCAGCCTAGATATTTTATGTTGCAAACATAACTAAAGATTTCTTAATTTTGCACTTTTGTGTAAATTTCAAAATCTTTAGGTTAAATACATAGCTATTCCACCAACTTAGTGCAACAATTGTGGATGCTCTTAAAGAGGTCCCAAGCGTAGGCCAGGGACCCTCATTGAGAGTAGAATGAGTCACCAAATCATCTTGCACTGCACATCTGATTCATGAATCATATGCTACATATGTGCAAACATCTGAGTGAATCCTTAGCTATCAGCTACATATAGTTCTGCTCAGTTATCTGCTCATCTGGATAAGCAATCCATGTGCAATACATCCTGTAACTTTGTTCAGATTGAGCCAAGCATTTTGAAAAATTGACTACATATATCACAATGGCTACTCTTGAAATATTCATGAAGCTGTGTAAAAGTAACAGAAGGGGAATCTGGTCCCTAGGACCCATATTCCCATCCAGGAACTTTTTCAATGCTGACAGTGTATGGGATCAATAATTTCTCTTTCCTCTCTTTCCTCTTGACATACCTCTACCATTCCTTGCAAATTACCACTTGCATTATTGAAACAAATGTTGGCTTGAGTGTTGCCTCCTCCAAAACCTTGCTGTGAAAATCAGCAGACCCAGGCCACCAGGTGGGGGGTCCTGCTGTTGAGCACCCTGGGTGTTTTGAGGGGGAAATATGTATGGGAGAGGCTGCTGAATTGAAATATTTGGTAGAGGTGGCTGTCCCCCATTGGTGTAGCACCATCTTTGAAACCTCCGGTCAATGTCAATGGCTTGGATTGCAAAGCTGAAAAGTGTCAATGAAATTCTGGCTGAAGAAACGGGATATAGGAGGACCCCGGAATGCTCCATGTGAACTATCCAACTCAAAAGGAATGGGTTGAGGGTCAAAAAAAATGCTGATGTGTTGGGTTTTTTCCTAGCCAAGATTTTGTTTAATTTGGACCTACCAACGTGAAAGGTATGGTTTTGTCTGGGGCCAAAAACACACTCCTTCAAATGCACATACCAACAAAAAACAAATGGATTGGTCTCCTGGGAAATCTTTAGGAGTTTTTGCTGGTTGAACCTACTGACAAATCCAGAATTGTTCAAGCTCAACTTTGGAGTTTTTACCCCGTCAAAGGGTATCAAAAAGGTCATTTTGAGTGGGTTTACATTGGGTAGTTTCCCTGGAGATTTCTGGGGTCCTGATATAGGCGGCAGGCCGCACACTCCTGTCGGAGGGTTTGTAAATATATTTGGTGCAACCCCCCAATTGTTCGTAAACTTAACAAAGTTCCACGCCGAGGCGAGGGTCGGACTTTGTTAAGTTTATCTGAAGACCCTCTGCGACATCTTTGTTTTGATTCGCTTTGTCAAACTCCATAAGAAAACGAAGACAGAAACTGGAAGAATGCAAAAAGTCGTATGATGTCAATCTATGTCGATATCGACATACATAGATCTTGCTCGAGTTTTGCGGGAAAACTTGGACAAGCTGTTCGAGAACGACAGTAATTTAACGAAAGATGAGAGAGGAAGTCTCGATATCGTTAAGCTTAACTAAGCCCCTCTCGCGCGGCTGCGTCCGCGCCCCTCGAAGAGGGGCTTACAACGGACTCGTACTTTTTGGCAGGAGAGCTCCAAGAATTAAGGTGCCTTAAGTAGTTTTTTGGACTTCTCCTCGAGCCCTCACCGTAGAATTTCTCAAGTTTCTCGTATGTTGTTCTTCACACTTTTGTACATGATCTGGTACCTCATAGTTTGTCTCACCTTGAGGGGAAGTGTTATAAATATGCGATGAAGATTTGGTAATATGTGTGCTTAAGTGCTTTCAAATTTCGTATCCAAGGCATATGAAGAAGGCTTAGGCCATTACAAGAGGACGTAAGGCCTTGTAAGGCCCATTCTTGACACAGCTCTCAAAGCATGCAGAGCTATCTGTTTCTCATGAAACTTGTGCCAGCAAATGTACAAAGGCATGAAGAAAAACATACCAGCAGCTCACAAATTTCTACGGTGAGGATTTGAGGAGAAGTCCAAAAAACAACATAAAGGGACTTAATTCTTGGAGCTCTCCTGCCGAAAAGTACGAGTCCGTTGTAAGCCCCTCTTCGAGGGGCGCGGACGCAGCCGCGCGAGAGGGGCTTAGTTAAGCTTACGATATCGTGGAAATTTACTCGAATAGCTTGTCGCGCGCCGCGCTATTACCACTTTCATTACTCTCCATCTGGATTATGCTCGGGCATACGATCACTTCCTCGTTATAACTTGACCTCTTTTATTACGGCCTTCTTGTTTCGTACTCTTTAGTGCTGCATATTCCACTCGGTTAATCGAACACCAACCACGATTATCCCTCGTTCTTCTCGAGGGTGTGTGAACATGACAGCTATCTCATCTGGGATGTAAGGGCTCTGGTCCAGGATCTTGTTAAGCATAGCCTTTATACAAGATACTGGTTGAGTTAGTGATTTAAAATACGTTAATAATGCGATGAGGAAACTACAGCTATGAACGAGAGACAACATTTTATACACATCACTTCTTAACAATATTTGTAGAACTCTTATTTCCATAACAGCATGAATCTAATGTTGCCATAGCAGCTTTTCTTCAACAAGATTTTATCTAACTTATTCGCAGCTATAGTATAATTTATGATCTATTGTGAACATTGTATTTGAAATCATTGCATTGGACCAGCCTCTAGGATAGACGTATCTCCGAAAAACATCAAGGTAAAAAAGCAGAGCAGCCGTGGGATCATAGAGTCAAAACACTCTTGTGACAAAGATCATAAATGCGTCCATGTCCTTGTCATTCAGTCTCATTCAGTCTCCTCACACCACAAACTCAAGGTTATTTTTTTACGTATCGTCACACTCATTATGTTACATCCCTCTTTTCCTGGCCTTATAATCAACTTGATCATCATCATCTTTTCATCACAGTGGGTGTTATCTGAGGACCTTTCAATCCTTAGTCCTGACAGCCCTCAGCTCAAGAGTTTACCGGAAAACCAGCAACTTCCTAGTTATCCACCAGGAGCGCTGACCAGTTACACACCAAACCCAAAACCAGGATTTGTTACCACTCGAAATGGTCATTTATACTTGGATGGAAAGCTTTTTGATTTCCGGAATTTCAAGTCAGCCGTCATATTATCAGTATAGCTTGTCATGATCATCGACTAGGCTTATCATTCTTTGAATCACCCTAATTGTACTTTGTATTCCTACCGATTAGTTCGCCAGAGCTGGTTCCAAGTAAGCTATTCATACCATCTCTTGGGCCTTCGTCATATCACGTGATCTGACGTGAGCTTGCTTGATGGCTCGCAGGGGACACTGTCTACGAAATTACCGACATGGTACGCTCGGTTGCCGGTTTTGCAACACCGGCAACAAGAGCCTATAGCTTAGGGGTTGCAAATGAACGTTGGGGAGGCAATCAGCCAGTAGAAAACGGTCATATAAGTAAATTTTCCAATTTCACAAGACCAGAATGGTAAAATACAAGACTGATATGCACACATGAACAGGCGGTTGGGATGTGGTGAAGAATGACTGGATATACAACGAAAACGTTTGGCGTAGATTGGATAAAGTACTTGCTATCCTCGCTGATGAAGGAGTGAAGGTCATCTTTCCCATCATTAATCAGGATTATGGAAAGGTAGAAGAGGATTGGGTCGGGAACTTCAACGATGTAAGATAATCCTTTGTCTACTCTCAATTCCTTTGATCCGCGCTCACTCTCACTGAACAGGATTTCAGCGATTGGTCCAAGTAAGCTGATTGATGCTTATGCATGTCGTTTAGTTGATCCGTCATAGATATAACGTGTCCGATTATCGACAAGCCGAACTGACGGTCGATTGGTTTGTGGACAAGTCAATCAGGGAAGACTTCAAGAAGATCATCCATTACTTTTTGACTCGGAAAAACACCGTGAACGGGAGAATTTACGGACAGGATGACACATTTTTGGCTATCGAGACAGGAAATGAAATGAATTGGTCTTTGATCCAGTTCAATGCCACCAACATTACTGATCCAAGCGATCCACTGACATCTGACCCAAAAGCTCCACCGCCTCTTCCTGCGTTCACTATGTCCCACAATCGCTCAGCACCCGCGGAGGTCAGTGAACTTCCGATACGATCCAAGATGAAACTCAAAAGACTGATGTGTGTGCTGTTCTTAGTGGACTCTCGATATCGCACAATACATCAAGTCACTTGCTCCTAACATTCTCGTTATGGATGGCAGCTAGTGAGTTGATCGAATCACCTTAAATTACCGACATGACGCTGACAATGCTTCCTTGCTCAATTCGCTTCTGTCAACCATAGTGCTCGTAATAAGAATGCTACCGAAGCCTGGCCAGTAGAGTGTCTTCAATCTCCATATGTTGACCTCTTTTCCTATCACTTCTGTTCGTTTGATGATCACTTCAGAAATCATTAGAACTATGCTGAATCATCCTCACTTTCAGACGGCGATGTAGATCTTACCACTGTTAATGAGTAAGCTTCAAGTCACTTCACTCAAGTCCAAGGTTTCAATCACAACTTTACTAACATGGATGCGTAGTTATCAAGCAAGAGTAGAAGCTTTTGGGAAGACTTTTATCGTTGGCGAACATGGGTTCTGTACGCGGATTGATCATCAGACAGCCTACAACTTCCGATAGCTGACCTCTGCCCACAATTCATGTCACAGACTCGAATGCTTCAGCTTACGAGTACTTTTATAAGAATTTCAAAGGTGCTGGAGCCTTGGTTTGGTCACTTAGAGGACATTCTGAGCCGGGCGGGTTCATAACACACAGTGAAGGTGAGCTAGAAGTTGATGTCTTCGTCTGAAGTATATTGTGACGACGTCTAGCATTTTAGACTCTATCCTTGTTGGATTCTGATACCCACTTTGCCCCTATCTGATCTTTGCGACCCTTGGTACGGTTTATCTTTTTATTAGGAAACAACATCTACAGGTGAGTATCGATGATAGGCATGCATAATGTTATCTTTCTTCAACATTGGCTGACTTTTGACTCGTTTCAAATTAAGTCTTCACGTTCCAGGTTTTCAAAATCAAACATCGAAGGATTTCGATCAACTCGAGTATGAAATAGTCAGACAAACGTATCGTGCAAGGTAAGCTTACATCAATTCAAATCAAACCGATACGACTGATTTCTCTAACTATAGTTTACTGCAGCTTTGATATCCTTGGAAAGCCCGTTGCTCCATTTCCCGTACCTGGTCCTCCCCATGCGTTCTTTGCAACTAACTCGACCAATACAGGAATCTCTTTCAAAGGCTCGGCTTGGGCAGCCCATTACGAAATTTGGGGGGTGAGCCACATATATTCGACTCATTGATTCTTCGTTCTTTGAGCCCAGATTATTGATTGGACTTATCCCTTCAATCTGCTTGTGTGTCACCTGTAACAGGCTGTAAACGGTGGATCTTTTGTCAAGGTGCGTCTTGTGTCATAATTGGTGAATACGATAAGCCTGTAAAGGAGCTAGAACTGATTTAAAGACTTTTGTCGTACTCCATAAGGTTGCTGACAACGTTTTGGATAATGTTAACTCGGGCAAACTCTTCTTTGCGCTCGACCCTTCGCAACCTGAACAACCCTTATACATCCCTCCGCTCAGCTACATCACCATCCGATTACCTCAAGTGGGATGGAAGGATGATAAGTGGTATGATGGGGTTGTGACTTTGACTACATCAATAAACCTTGTCCCCTCAACATTTCAGCGACGTTCACATTCTCAACCTCATCATTCTCGAGGACAACTTTCGCATGGATCAGTTACACATAGTCATTCGAATGTCAAACGACAAAAGAAACCAGCCAAAGAGAGTCCTTCAATATCTAAACGACAAAGCAAAGGCCAAAAGGGAGGTTGGTATGCAGTGAGAGCTATCGGCGTAGATAACGTCCCGGGTGGATTCTCACAAGCTGCTTGGATATCAGCTTCTGATGATATTTAATATATAGGCTGTGAGATTATGGGAGACCTCTCTTAGGGTCTTCACTTTTTTGTTTATCTGAAGTTTATTATTTTTCGATCAGGATATTTAACTACTGCATCACTTTATTTGTTGTTTAATATACCATGTCCATGTATGTTTATATTATAGTTTAATGGCTCTTTGTTCTTGTAAGATCACCTCATTTTGATATCTCGATTGAAGTCTTTTTTGGGTGCTAATCCAAGGTTGACGTGTGTTTGGAATTGTTATGGAGCTGAATTCTTGCAAGTTGAACTTTGTTGCGTGCGATTTGAGCATTATGTTAACAGGTTCTATGCGCAACTTTTCACTTTCTTGATCATCCTCTGGCTCTCAAGATTATCAAATTTAATATAAAAACCAAGATAAAATACAAACTTTCTCTTAGCTTGAAATGAGAAAGTTCTGAACATATTACCAGTTTGGGTCAACTGAGATATAGGAAAAATGGATTGAAGAGATTAAAGTAGACTCAGAGGAAGCGGATGAGTGAGCTCTTTCCCTTTCCGCTCAAATTTTAATGCTATCTATTCAACATTTTATATCTTATCGACAGTGGTGGTGCCATTTAGTATCACGGTGTGGGTCTTGATAGGCTTCCGTATCAAACATCATTTGCTAGCCAATGGCATCGTCCACCCAAGTCTTGCGTTTGCAACATGTTTTTGGATTTGGATTTGGTTTATTTAGCGCTAGTTAAGGTTAAGTTCTTTTTTTGTTGTCTTTTTGGTCAAAAATGGTTAAATTTGAGTTTTAATCTGATTGAAATTGAGGGTTTATGACATTTCCTGTTTTATTTTACCATTCGATCGCTTGGTGACTTGCTGAGGAAGCGATCGATGTTGGTGAATATCTTTTTCGAAACATGTCAACTAGACCAATCGACTCACAGTCAACCAAGTCAAACAACTCATTCACATCACGAGCTTATTCATGGTCCGGTTTAGCATCCTTCGAATGGGATGTGTTGATCTTGTCAACTTGCATCAAACTCTTACTGTTTCCTGCCTAGTGAGTATTTCCATCATAACATCACTTTTGAATTACTTTGAAGTTAAACAAGCTCTGATGATTGGATTTCTTTTGTCGATTCAAAGTCATTCAACAGATTTTGAAGTTCATCGAAATTGGCTCGCTATCACACATTCACTACCCCTCTCGCGCTGGTATTATGACGTAACTGGCTTTTCGCACCTTATGCTATCCTTCGGTCTCAAGCAATATGATCTTTTCATGGCTTATCATTATAATATCATCACCACTTTCTGGATCAGAATACATCAGAATGGACTTTAGATTATCCGCCTTTTTTCGCTTATTTCGAAAGGCTTCTATCTTCCTTCGCAGCATTGGTGGACCCAAAGATTGTGCAATTATCTAATCTCGGATACGCATCTTCAAGTTGTGTCGCATTCCAGAGAGGTAGCGTCATAGTCTCTGAGCTGGTTTTGGGTGCCGTCTTGTTAAAGTCAGTGACTCTACCTCCTCCTTGAACTAGATCACGACTAACCAATCAACGATTTGAACATCACAGGTTAGCACGCAATCCAACGGAAGGACAAACACCAGCTTTCGCCTTTGCTGTCTCGGCCTCTGTGTTCCTACATCCAGGACTCCTTATTGTTGATCACATTCACTTCCAGTATAATGGGTTTTTGCTCGGAATCCTTATGTGGTCGATATGGGCAATCAGAGATGTGAGCACGAAGATACTCTGACTCTTGCCGGTATTGGAAACGGGGAATTGATTCATGCGTTATGACCGATAGAAACATTTTAAGACCTCTGCGTTACTATTTTCGATCTGTCTCAACTTCAAGCACATCTTCGTCTACCTCGCACCTCCTTACCTCATTTATCTCTTAAGAGCTTACTGCTTCCCCTTTCCACGGGATGGATCAGCGTCATTCAGCCATTTTCATGTCTCTCGATTGATTCAACTTGGATTGATTGTAGTAGGAACTTGTGTTATTAGCTTCGGTCCATTTTTCTTTGTGTCTGGTGCTACTGGTATCACTCAGATTTTAAGTCGGCTTTTCCCATTTCAGAGGGGATTGAATCATGCCTACTGGGCTGGGAACATCTGGGCTGTGTACAGTGCTGTTGATCGAGTCTTGCTCAAATGTAAGCACCTAATTCTGTGGGCGTGTTGGCTTGACGTTCGAAGCTGACTTCCAACATCACACATCAGATATGTTGTTTCGTGGGGGCCATGTAAACCAACATGCAATCAATTCTACATCTCGAGGCTTGATCGGAGACACCTCTTTTGGAGTTTTGCCTGAAATCAGTCCCACGACTTGCTTCGGCTTATCGATTGCTCTCATATCAGTCAGTTTAAAATCTAGTGGGACTATATACCATGTCACATTCTGAGTCCAGACCCTCCTCCGCACGATTTGAATCGTTTTAACTTCCATATAGATATTCATGACGAAGCTATGGCAAGATCCAAGCTATTCTAGGTTTCTAAAATCTCTAGTTTTATCAGCCTTCACTTCGTTTCTCTTTGGTTGGCATGTACATGAAAAAGCTGCTCTACTTTTCTTGATACCTATGACGTACGTATATTCGATTCTCTTATAGAAAGAAAAAATAAGTTGAATTGAATCTGATTATTTTGAGATTTGATAGACTTTTGGCTGGTGAAGATTATCAACATTTTCGTACTTGGATGATCGCAAGTTCGGCTGGAATCTTTGGATTATTTCCACTTTTAATTAAATCTTCTGGTATGTGATTCTTATTACTGAAATTCTTATTCATGAGATTCTCCACTTATCTTGAGTCCATTCTTCTATTGATTCATTTTTTAAAGAAACACCAATCAAGATAATTTACACTTTAATATGGTGTTCGATTGTCTTTACTGTATTGAAAAAGAATTTGTTCCGGTACGCATTCTATTTGATTGCCTTCTAGAAGCTTGAAATCTTGCTGAAAAATTATTCTTTTCTATTCTACTTTTATCTATATCCAGTCCATCTTTGTCAACTGGTTCTTTACTACTCATCATAGCAGAAAACACTTATATTTGTGGATTCGGTTTGGTTCAAGCATATGTTTCGATATTTCATCAATTATTATTTGGTAAAGGTAAAGTCTTTTTTACACTCATCAAGGAATTGATCATACCACATTGATTCTGAAATGTGTTTTATGATTGATCATTTGATAGAAGGAGATGGAAGTTCTATGGATTTTTTACCTTTGATGATTACTAGCATTTACTGTGGGATTGGGATCATTTGGGCTTATGTTCGAATGTGTTATCTTTATTTAATTTGAAATTGAACTTTTTTTTAGAAATACATAGGTGAATCCTATCCCATAGGATCAAACTTTAAGCTTTACATTTGATGGTTGAGACGTGTATCAAGATACTGTACCCTACCTGACTCGACTAAATAATCCTCTTTGCGAGTGGGCCCTACCTCTCAAAGACTCATGAGGACCTGATGAAATTTCAACTCCAAAACTCCTGATAATTTGGTTTTCATAAGATATGATCTACATACATCAGCAAGACTTGGAGAAGCATTATATAAAGAGTATATATTCTATCATTTAGTGATGTTTTTATCATCTTCATAACAAGACTTAAATTATCACAAATAATGTGGTGAATAAAGTAGAAAAGGAAATTGATGATTGGTTAGAAAACCATCATTCAAATATACATCAAAACAAAGTAAAGTTAATTACTCAATCTCAATCCTCGACCTCAAGAGTGGACACAAATGTTGGGTGTGAAAAGGGTCCATAGTAACCATCTACACTGACTCCTCTGACGGTATACCATCCGCCAAGACTTGAACCATCAATTGATTGTGATTCTGATTGAGCTGTCGAAGGATTATCCTCCCTAAGAGGATTGATAGTCACATGAACTTGTTTACCTATTTGAACAGAAACTTTATGCTCTGATTCACTCCCACCAGTCTTCCACTTTGTATCCTTCCATCCAGACTGATCTTCGTTGGATCTGATCAAAACCTCTCTATGGAACCTCAAAGGAGCTGTGGGCTGAGTTGGATCGATCGGAATAAAGAGATTTCCCGAATTGACATTGTCTAGGACATCGTCTGCCACCTGGTCAAAATTGTCAAGATATGTAAATGTTGGTTTAGATTACTGCATATGAAAGCACAATATTTGACCCACTTTCACGAAATCAGATTGGTCAGATCCTGCCTGGTAGAAATATAACGAAAGATTTGAGTATCCAAGATATTAACATCTATGTGATGGGGTGTATACTCACTGCCCATATCTCGTAACGTTCAGCCCAGGCGGCTCCTTTGAAAGAGATCCCTACAGAACTTCCATTTGTTGCAAAGAAAGCATATGGACGATGAGGAATTGGATATGGAGCCACGTCATGTTGTAGAAGTTTGTAACTTGATTCAAAAGGATAATTAGATGTTAAAAAATTGCAGAGCTGGAGTCAAGTGGCAAGTCAAATCACCTAGCTTCGTAAGTACCACGAACTACATCATATTCAATTTGATCAAAGGCCGCATCAGTCTGATTCCTCCAACCAGGGGCATGAAAGCTGTATTGAAGGAAACGCTGTTTTAGTTTCAAACTGTTTATATGGGTCAGTAGACCAATGCAATGTGAGTTCTTACCTAAATATGTTATTGCCTAGGAACAGACTCTACACTTCAGCCATATGTTCTTGTGGGATGGCTTTCAAACATCCTCCTTCTCGAAAGACGTACCTTCACCATGGGTGATGAATCCAGACACCTCTGAATGAGGTCGAAGTGACCAAGCTAACGCTCCAGCACCAGTAAAATTGGCATAAAATCCTTCATGTTTGGCAGGCGAAGAATCTATTCGATGCAAGGGGGTTATAAATGATCAGATTCATTCCAGTCATTTAGTACACGGCATCATTTGACTCACAAAACCCATGTTCTCCTACAACAAATGTTTTATTGAAAGCTTCAACGCGCTGTTGGAATCTGAGGGCGTCCAGAGCTCGTCGGATATGAGTAACACACCTGGATGGATTGGACTTTCTCAAGTTTAATCTTAGCTTACCTGTTTATGAAGGCAATGTCCGCGTCACCATCTGTGATTTTTTTTCTCAGTTACCACGCTTAGATTCTCTTACCGAATGAATAGGCATGATATGCTGAGGTGGATACGCACAGCCGTGATAGGAAAACAAGTCGACAAAGGGCGACCTCAAGGTCTCTTCTGGCCAGACTTCAGAGACGTTATAGATGCGAGAGCTGGGAATAAAGATCTATCAGCATTGGAAACATTTTGTGACAACAACAACTTCTTGAATACACTTACTAACTTCCATCCATAACGAGGGTATTAGGAGCAAGTGATTTGATGTGTTGCGCAATATCAATTGTCCACTGAGTGACAACGTAAGATTCACGTCGATAAAGTCATCACTTCGTTAGGAATATGTGGTATCGGATCAAAACTACAAGGGGATGATAAACTCATACATTTGCTGGGGCAGGTCTCAAGTCTAATGTTGAAAAACATCATGTGTTATCATCAGATCAATCAACCTCATTAGCGGTTCCAATTGTTGACTTACGCCGCAGCTCAACCGATGTGGAATTTGTAGTCGAATTTCTGAAAATAAGCTCAGTCCAATTCATCTCGTTTCCAGTTTCAAAGCACAAAAATGTATCATCTAGTCCATAAATGCGACCATTGACAGTATTCTGTCGATTGAGCGCAAAGGTGATGATTTTCTTAAAATCTTCACGGATATAGAGATCTGTGAACCAATCCACTTGTTGCTGAGCTGTGGCGTAATCGGTCAAGTTATAGCGATATCGTATTAACTGGTGTGATGAAGATAAATAATGAGGTATTGATCATCATCTTTCTGATCGGGAGAATCGAATTGGAAGATGCACACATCTATATAATTTCCCCACCAATCGGTCTCGCTTGTCCCAAAATCCTAAAGAAATCATATGAGTGTGTTGAGATCATACAAAAGGAAACACACGAGAGCCAAAGCCTTACCTGGTTGATGAATGGAAATATAATTTTGACTCCTTCTTTAGCTGCTAGCGCCAAGCTGAACCATGAAAAGAAGCGCATCAGATCGAACAGGAGGAAAACAAGTCAACTTGAACGCTCAGCAAATTTATCCACGTACACTTGATCAAATTGTTGCCACTTCGCTTCATTGTAGATCCAATCTACCAATTCTGGTCTCAGTAATATGTATATAAACATCTTAGAGAACTTGTTCAGCATACCGTTTGATGTCACATTCCAACCGACAATGTGAGCTTCCGAAGCCTGGATGTCCAAGCCAAACTGAGCATTTGCAACATGGAGTGTATAGGACCGCGTTACAGGGCTTGCAAAACTGAAGTTGACCTTTTCGTCAGGTATCATACTTGATAAAGTTGAGATCAATTTGGCTCACCCAGCCACAGTTTTCAGAATATCTCGGCTTTCGTACATTGTACCTGTTAACAAACAAAATATGTTGAGCATGGGGGCAAACATGGATATACAAAAAACAATCATGTTTCTTGACCTTGAAGAAGAGTAGGTGTGCTAGTTTGGTATCGAAGGAATAAAAATTAGTGTGTCCCATTTTTATTCAACTCTAAACGCCAAAGAAATGATCGTCAACTCAACTTGAAACCACGGAAATCAAATCTTTTCCTTCCAAGATAAAATCTACCGGAGTTCGTTGTCACATAACCAGCTAATGGTCTAGGTTGAGGTGGGTCCGTGCTGGAGTCTGGAAGGACAGGGCGGCTATTTACTTGGTGAGATTGATTGATTGTGATGATTATCTTCGTGGAGATGATAGCTAGAGATGTTAGATAAGCTACAAGGTGCAGAAAATATTTTGAGAGAAGCATTTTGCAGTCAGTGTAGCGAATCTCCTATAGCCTTAGGAAACTGCCTTAGAATCTATTAGCATTTATATCTGTTTCCATCGATAGGTGATTGGTGTGTACATTTCTTGAAGCTCGCTGCGTAGAGCTGTGCCAGTGCTCTTTATAATCCATGTGAATGCCAGAGATGTAAATGTTTGGCGCAGTCCAAGATCGACGACATTGATCATCCAGCTTGCAAAAAGCTCTGGAAGAAAAAAATGTTTTCCAGTGAGACACGACTGCATTGAGGCGAGTTCTCACTTGTCGCAGGCCGACCAATGGATTTTAAAAGGTTGCCAGATGACTTTCGAGTTCACTTCAAAGACTACAAGACAACAAAGGGATTGTCAACAACAAGTGAAGGGAGAATCAAAGACTTTGTAACACAATCATTGTTTCCCCATTGGGTAGTGTCAAGAAGACCAGAAGAAAAACTCAAAATCTAGAAGAGTAACCTACATGAAGTTATATTACTCTGCCTAATAGGCTCTCCCCTTTCTTACTTGGATCCTCTTCTGTCGCCTGTCCTTCTTACCTGGTAGTTTTAAATAGTGGTATGTAGCCTGGTCTGACTGGGCTGACCTTCAGCCCAGTCAAACTCGGGATAAATTCGCCACACAAGAGACTGGAGTGCAGCTGATAGCTGGTTTCAGGAATTCAAGGTATCAGTCTTCTTTTTTACATAGTTGATAGTCGGTGAAATAATGAGGCCAGCTCTTTTAGACAAGTACAATGTTTATCCTAAGGTTGATCTTTTCTTTGTTCCATCATCATCACATTCTTACCAGTGGGTATGTAGGGTACATACAAAGCTGGATCCTTTTAAGTTTTGTATGCAATTTGAATGGTTTGACGCAGAAAGGCTGGGCTCCAATTGGCACGTAACTCATGATCAAGACATCATCTAGCTACCACAATCCACTTATATGTATTACAGTTGGGGTGTTGAATTTTTGGACAAGTAAAACACAATCAGAGTCAGACTCAAGTCATCTTAAATCTTGTAAATGTCTCAATCTTCCCTTCACAGTAAAGATTGTGGTGAAGTTGAACATTTGAGATTGAAGTTTACTGTCATGTTGTATCACTGAATATGCCTAAGAGATAGGGTATAGGTAGATGACCCGGAACCGGGTTCATGTCAAGCAGATTGAAAGAGAAGTGAGGCACTGCAAATTATTTATTTATAGGTTTGATCAGATAATGGTGAAGCTTATTGGCAAATGTGATATCAAAGCTTTATCCTGAATGAATTCATTCTCATCACTTCCCCCAGGAACAAGATATCACACCAGACCAGTATCCTGTGTGGACATTTTCTGCCCATGTTGATTTCAGTTAAGAAAGATTGAAGCATGCTCACTTGTTATAAACTGGCAATCTTGTGGACAAATAGAATGCCTTTTGGACAAGAGACACAGAGATTCACGGAGATGGAGATTTATACAGAGGGATGACAGACCAGTCTCATATTGAAGACCACTTCAAGATATTGTGGGTTCAACACAAATGGTCAAATATTTCCTTCTGTCACTTACAAAATGTTGCTTGTGGAATCAATTAATCACAGTTTAAATCAAGAGTTGATCACTTACCACAACCCTTCAAATCTGTGAGGTCATGTTCTTACATAGGGTTGAACCATTATGGAAGTGGCAGTTTAGGGAGAGGCAAATTTCTCAGCAATGCAAATCTCACAGGAAGACTTCCAAACTTCAGAGATTTGTGGCAGAGGCAGGACAAATATACATTGGAAATAATTTATTAATACAAAAAGCAAACTAAATATCTTTTATCCGTTGATTGGTATTATCAAATATAGCATGAGAAGAGATATATAAATATTCAAGCTGTCCATAAATGAAAGGTTCAAACAGGCTAATTTGATGTGAAGAATTCTTGTGAATAAATTGCTATAAGAATTTATTCTCAAGCCTACATCTTTTTGTGAAAGTGTTGTAATCAAGTCATAACCCATATAAGAAACAGATAAGGAGATAACTGGAGCCAAATTTAAGATCTTGTACAGCATGGGTTCATTGACTGAGGGAAAAATTCAGAATAATGAAACAGGTATCAAAGTCAGTAAAAAACCATAGAATACAAGAAGAGGATATCAGGATAATGAAAGACACCCCTTGCCCAAAAGGATGATTTTGATCAATCATTTGACATAAGATGAGACCCACTGCCCACCAGTCTACCACTTTTTTGTACAGAATTTGCATGAGGATTTTGGGAGCTTTGATATAGGGAGTCACACAATCACCAGAAGCAAATCCATCCACAGTTTTTGTAGCCAGGCCAAAGTCTGCTAGCTTGGTCTGATTGTTGGCATTTATAAGGATATTTTTGAGCTTGACATCACAATGAATAATATTGTTAGAATGAATGTAATCAAGAGCACTACCTATATCCAATATAAATGATCTTTCATCATATGTCCTACTTGGGCAAATATCTCTATATGCCTCTTTCCCTCCTTCCCTTTGGTAATTGTTTTTTCATCATCTATATCAGCTCTCTTTTTGAACTTTTTCATCATGACCTGAATTGTACATTTTGTGGCACTTTATGAATTCCTAGCTACCTGGTTGTCTTTCACCTCGGAATCACAAACACACATGCATCAGGAGTCGTCAAGTCAGAAAGCAAAGCTGATTTTTGTCACAAATAACTCTGGCTGATGGTCTCTGGAGGAACAAAGCGATGTCTCTTACTAGTCAACAATGATACAATCAATTTCTAGTTGCTATTAAACAGCCAAGTAAAAAAATAGGTCATCAAGAGATCTGGTGACTTCTATTTACAATCTTTAGTCACCTAATTTGCCAATTCACAATGTTACCATGCAGTCTTTGAAGAGAGTGCAGACTGATACTTGCTTCTCAGGTGATTTTCTTGGGTTGGAGTACCCAACTGGGCCTTGAAGTAAGTACAATGTGCAGAGTGCTCCTAATATTCAAGCTACTTTGACACACAATGATGATACAAAAGAAACCTCTATCAGTACAATGACAAGTTGAGCAAGGATACTCCTACATCTAGATTTCTTCCACCTGCTCAATTGTTCAGGAGAGCCTAACAGTCAAAGCATTTTTTTCTTGATTGTCCCAGAAAAAAATTTTGAAGGCAAGAGTAGGCCTTATGTTCAGGGTGACTGTTGGTGTTAGCATGGATGTACAGACACACCAAACTCTTGGCTCAGTGTACGCAAAAATGGAGGAGCTGTGAGCATTACAGCACAAGAATTGCTCCGGGCATATTTCAACAACAAAACCCTTGTCAAAGATATCAGGTGTAGACCAAGCATACACATGCATCTTCATCTACTCCTAAAAAAGCTCAAGCAGGAATGATGCATTTTTTTCAGGAAATGAAACCAAAATTGAAGAGATCCTCTGGTTACTCATTTTCAAAGCCTGGTATGTATCAGAGAATGAGTGCACTATGTCCAGCACCAATCATTGGAATCACCTTGGGGATCAGACATGAGGGAAGCTCTCCAAAAGATGTGAGTTTGCAGGTGAATGCCAAATGGGGGCACGTGTGGTCTGAAGTAACAAGTAAATAACTTGCAGTGGATCAATTACCATGAGCTTCAAACATGAACACTGCGGCCATGAGGACATGAGCGTACCCCTTGTGTTTCTGGGGTGTCCAGCACGCACAAGTGCGCCCGCTTGCGCGGCGCTGTCCATTTGACCTGTGGCAGACTGTGGTCTTTATTATTTCGCAAGAGTCATGTTCCTTTATCGACGTGGCTTCTTTGATTGTTTTGCAGAAGTCCATTGGAGTACTATCGATGTTGGTCAAAGATGCAAAGCACTTCTTCGATATGACAACTTCTTCCTCTGATTACCGGTTGGCTGGTAGACCCGAGGCGTAGGATCGAACTAAAGGTGAAGGACTTGCAGGGACTTGCTCAAGTATCATTGTAATCAGAAGATTAACTTCATGAGTATGTGAAAGTATGTGTTTTTCCACTAAATCATGATCCGAAGTTGTCCGCGTTGAAGACTCCTTCAAGTTCAATCGCATTGATCGAGATCCAAACAAATGCAGATATCCGAGGAGTCCTCGAATGGAGCCCCGAGAGAAGCCCTTTGAGTGAATGCCTCGGCTGATCGGATCAGTTGTCCGTCTGCACCTGGACAGTCAGGAGTCGACACACCACTTCTCCTCAGCTTTCCACACAATCGGCGTCAACTTCAACTTCACAACTCGAATATCTTGATCTCGAGATGAGTGCTACGAAACCCTTACCAAAGATATTGATGTTACATGGGTTAGTTCTTACTCATCTGGCCATTGAACTAGCACGGTATCTCAATAACTGATAATACGATCTTTTTACTTCGGATTGATATAATTTTTTTAGCTACAGTTGAGTTATACTGGGTACGATCACTATTTTCAAACAAAAACTGATTTTCGATACCCGAGAACCGTTTTTTTGATAAATATTTTGGTTTTTTTGTTTGCTTGAAAAATTGGTATCATCGCATGAAGGTTTTAGCCTGGATTCACAAATGTATCACTAACGTTAATGATGTAACCTTTTTTGAATTAATCCTTTTGAACGCGTAACCCAATGAATGGAAATCTTTGGAAAATGGAAAAAAAACTCCTCGAAATCAAATATTAAATGATTAGCTCAAAATAGTTCGATTTTTTCAAAAAGAGTAGCAGCTATTCGTAAAGTTTGTCGTCCTTTTTGTGAAATGGGTCAGTGGATTTTTTTCTTTTCTTTTGATGTAAAGTTTATAATATGAAATTCATAATTGTCTAATTCATCGGAATGTTTTTTTTAGTTTTCGTTGATGCTCCTCATGTGATTGATGTACCAACAGTAGGTGCAGGCGCGTTTGAAAAATTTGATTCGACAGCCGACTCATCTGGTGAGAATTTTAACTATATCCAAGCTTTGGTCATTCCTGAACGGTGTATCTAAGCTCTTGAACCCAATTGACTTATACTAAATGATGACGTTTCCTCTTTTGATTCTTATCAGAGACTGATGCTGAGTTAATACCCCGAGCTTGGTGGTCATCGAAAGAACCAGAACAGACTGGTTTGCCTCACAAAGTCTATGAAGGTTTAGATGGTGAGTTTATGTTTTCTGGTTGAGACTCTTCAGATGAGAGGAGTCAATATACTCGATGTCTACATTACGGCGTAACATATGTCCTGATGCTTTAAATTCTTCTACACTTTCTATCAGAGACCATGACCTTTTTGCGGGAGGTTATTGATACTCAAGGACCTTTTGACGCCTGCTTTGGTTTTTCGCAAGGTATTGTATTCAATTCAAATCTCTCAGCTCTCTCTCATTTCACTGAACACTTGATCGCATACCTTTCTGGATGACTTAGGTGCTGCCTTGGCTGCAGTTCTCAGCTCTGTGCTAGAGTATCCAAACCTACATGAAGCATTTTCGAACTTAAAAGATCAAACCAATGGTCAAAAGGCTTTCAAAGCTGTTGTTTTAGTTGCAGGTTTCAAACTTGATCTCCCACCTGAATGGTACGGTGTAAGACCAGACTCGGATAGTCAAACACTCCAGACTAGAAGTTTACACATCTTAGGACGCACAGATAGTATTGTTGGGACCGGTAAGTCACCGGGGTTATCAAAAAGATGTGATTGAATTCCCGATGGTACAAACTAGATTGATAAGATGTTCTTGTGTTTGATTTTCAGATCGATCAGAACCACTTGTTTCAGCTTTTATGAATCCTCGTGTTGAATGGCATGATGGAAGTCATTTTGTGCCATCAAAGAAAAGTTGGAGAGATTTCTTTTGTAATTATGTTCAAAAACTTGATCAAAGAGATGAATCACTTATACCTAGTCCTGGACAAACCGAGTCCTTGAGTAATGTACCCAAAATGTAAGCTTTGGTGGATGGATCTCTTGGCTTTTGATTTTTCTCGGTAAATGATTCTATATAGATTACTTTGATGTTTGAATTCCAATTCTTTGTAAAGTAAAACAATAGATAGAATGTCCATAGTTCGATGTTGAAATAAGAATTTGAAGAAATCCTGTCTCCATTTGAAGATGAGATCTGTTTGCTAGATTGACAAATTATTTCCTTCATTTGTCACTCTCCTTTGTTGGAAGCACAATCAACCTTTGTGATTGTTTTGCACCATTGATTGTCGACGAGTACCATAGCCGAACGTCCCATCCAGAAGAACACGCCACTTTACATGAAGTGTGTTGAAGTGACTCGATGCAGAAAGTTTCATATTTCCGAAACCAGTATTTCGACTACAAAAGCACGCGTGACATTGAAGAACCCAAGTCAAACCACACTGTATGGCCCAATCAAAGACCTCAAGTTCAACTGAAAAACACGATGATGAAGCTCAAGAGTCAAGATGGTAATGAGCTGAAGTGTTTAATCTGGATGAGGCTGTGTTTTGCTTGCTGTGTTGAATTAGAGTGTAGGTTCAAGCTGGGAGGGCATCTGCACCGCATTGGCATTGACTCGGTAATCCGGTTTTTGATGTCGACGTCTTTCGAAGCAGATCAACTTCAACTCTACCTCAATCTCGACCAAGAAGATCATGATAAGCTCGGTATGAGAATACTTATCGAATTCAGAACTATCGATCGACATCTCCTTCGAGAAACTCACTCACTCAGTATCAAACTTCGCGAAGATTATCCAAATCTATCCTACCAAAACTTACCCTTATATTCAAGATCCTTATGAGCACCTCTCCTGTCAGCTCGTTGGATTCTAAGGCCTTGCCACCGCCTCTACCTCCTCGACCTCCTCAAAACAAAGTCAAAAGTCAAGTTTCTGATCAGTTCGAGGACTTTTCGATACAAGATGATGCAATCAACCTTGGTGAGGGTGAGCTAGCTCTACATATTGATGTTCTAGAAAGACAGCGTTGTACTGACGATGGTAGTTGTCATTCTTCGACAGAATCGAGCAAGATGAGAGAATCCGACGATTCGATTCAACCTGCTGGTGTGGTTCAAGAACAAAGTCGATCACATAGATCATCATGCTCAAATGCTCTGCCTCCATCGCTTCCACCTAGACCGCGTAACAAATCCATCGTCCAAGAGGATCAGACAAACCTTGAAGCTGCCCCGCATGCTCGTTTCGATCAAGAAATTGCGAACGATATGAATGAGAACAACGCCGTTATTAACTCACTTGAACAGCCTACCAAGATACCTTTGTCAGAAAATTTAGATCATCATGTTGATCCTGAACTAGAATTCTCCGCAGCGCTTTCTAATCATTCAGAAGTTTCAGGGACTACTTTATCTGATCAAACCAATACATATGATCAACTTCAATCGTATAATCTAATCAAAGAAGAAAATGATCTCCGAACATTAGAAGAACTTGAAGATTTAGAAATTGATGAATTTCTTAAACGAGCATCAAAACAATTAAAGGAAGTAACGATCCAAACCATAACCCAAGACGAAACCAAACCGATTCTGATCCCGAAACCATCTGATTTCACAATAACTTCAACCAATGAAATAGATTGGTTAAAATATGGAGAAAGTTATTTGATTTATCAACTTGAATCTTTTTGTCCTACTTCACTCTTTAGTACTGAAGTGATTCCTAATGCTTCTGTTGGTCAATTAAGAGTTTATCTTCAACGTTGTTATGTACTTGCTCCACCTGAGTTTTGGAATTCTCTTTTAGAAGGTAAGATTGGTGATCTTTATCGATGGACTCATCCAACCCGATCAGCCAAATATTGTTTAGTAAGTCACTTTTATGGTTTTATATACTCGATATTCAATACATATTGATATTTGGCTTTTATATAGCTTTATATCATTTTATGGATCTTTGATCTTATTCCAAGTTTCATCATCGTTTACTTTCTTTATTTGATTATTGAAAGACAATTCAAACCACCACCGATCTCACAACTCAAACAAGAATCAAATCAAAGAAGATTATTGAATCAAGAAGCAGAGCAATTAGGTACAGGCCTTTTATTACTTAAAGATAATGAAGGCAATCATTTAAGTATGTTGGCAAAAGGAATTGGTGGTAGTACTTCTGTTTTTGCTGCTCCTGTCATACCTGGACTTTCTTCTAATTCATCAAAAGATCAACCAAGAAATCTTGAAGGTCCTAGTAAAGTTAAAGATCATGTTGGTATTTATAGATTAGGTCGTTGTCTTTATAGTCATTATGGGATTCACGTTCAATTGATGTTATCTGATTTTGCAGAAATAGGTGAAAAAATTAAAAAGTGAGTGATTTTGAAAATTGAACAAGATTCTTACTGCTTTCAATAGTAAATTTGAGTGCTTTCTGACCTTCTTAATCCAAATTTCATTTGATGTAGTCTGTATCTTTGGAGAAATCCAAGTTCATGTAAACAAACCTGTTTAAAACTTTTAATAATCTTGATTTATACAATCACCATTTCACAAAAATGGTTAATCAAGAATTTCTTAGCTTGGTTAGGATTTGAATTTTTCTTTGTGTTTAGATTAATCGAAAAATATCCAAAGTTTCGAAAATTATTAAATCCGATTTATTTAATTTTTTATCAAATTCCAAATGATACTGAATACGTTTTAGAAATCTTAAAGAACAGATCAATTAAAACTTCAAAACTTCAAGAAGAATCAAACCAAGTTAAAGGAAATCAAAAAAAGGAAGTTGTAGATCGGGATTTCGAAAGAAGAAGCTCGATTGAAGATAATCAAAGTAATTCTTCTGGTAGTGATAGGTCTAAGAGGTGGAGGAAAAAAGCTGTAGAAAGTGGAGTAGAAACTTATAGAAGAATAAGAAAGACTTATCAGGTATGTGTTCATGTATTGCTTAATCTTTTGGTTATACTGTTGCCGCAACCTCAGTGTATTGATAAATTGGTTCTTAGGAGTATAATGATAAATCAGATCGATCAAGCCGAAATTTGAATAGTAATGAAGGAAATCAAAACCACAGAACATTTGCAATCTTGAATGGCAAAGCACCGGGTACGTAGAATACGTAAAGTTTTTCTCTTCTCAAAGTCAAGGAAACAAGCTGAGTGATGGTTTTCATGTTTCTTTAGGTACTCTGGCTATCAAACAAGATGAGATTTGGTTTGAACCTATGAAAGGATTTAGAACCAAAGTGAAATCGTCTATCAAACCAAATGAAGAAAGTTTAATAGATGTAAATGATCAAGATCTCATGAAGATTGGGAATGAGAAATCTAGTTTATTGAATGTGTTGGTATTTGAAGCTAAAAAGATTGTTAGGATTAAAAAAATTAGGTCTTTTGGATTTGGAATGATTGGTGGTGATGGAATTGAAATTCAAATTGAAAATCAAGTGAGTCAAAAGAAAAATCAAATTAAAGCATGTTTTGTCTTTTTATGTTGGGCGAGATGTTTTTTTATTGACAGATTTTTTCTCTCTTTGGTTTCCTTTTAATAGATTGTTAGATTTGGTAATGTTTCTCATAGAGATGAAACTTTTCATAAGTTATTATTAATGTCTAGTTTATCTAATAAACTTTTATCTTCACATACTTCTTAAAGAAATTGTACTTGGTACTGTTGATTATAATTATAGTTATGTAGATAGAATTAAGCAATAAGTTCATTTTCTTATCTTCTTTGATGTTGATTTTGGATTTGGTGTTGTTCATTATATTGAAAAATGTTACATACATCCTTGTGGTTGTATATAATTGGGTTAGCATTTTCTTTGTAGTTTTGACAAATGGTTGAACTTGTAAGATTTCGCTTGTATTGTAATTATGAAGCTTTATTTACAATCTTTTCAGAACTGAACCCATGTAATATTAAACCATTTGGAAAAGGTAATACTGTAGCCTTTATGTTGTCAGTGAGATCAAGATTGTTGAGCTTGAAGCTGAAGATGGTTCTGATTCTTGGAATAGTTGACAAGAAGCTGGATGAGAGCTTGAGTGCTGATAGAGACATTCTTTTTGAAGTGCGAAGTTGCATGAATTGCATATTACACTATCTGAGCATGTAATTGAGTAGCTGTCTAGTTCACCAGGCAATACGGTCGTCTAGTTGGTACAGGAGTAAGAAGTGACTGGTAATCTTTACGCTATGGATAGCTATCAAACCTTTTTTAAGAGAACAACAGTGACAACTTAGTTCACCTACTCATACCCAATCTAAGGTGAAAGGAATGAAGCCTAGAGGTTGTATGTCCTGTCGGGGGTGATCACCACTTGCAACTGCACTCTTTAGGATAGATAGCACGTGTCACTTGATGAATTTTCTTTAAACCCACATCAAAAGAGACGCTTTGTATGATGTTTTGGTAGGTGTATCAATGTGATTGTATGTATGTTTTGCTGTAGAATGAGAGTTATAAAGCATCATGAGTAATTCACTCTAAGGCTTTTTTTGTTCATTTGGTCTTGATCATTTTGATGGATCAGATTTACATTTCAAAGATCAATCAACCAAGTCAAAGAGAGTGTGAAGGGCGATCAGTTTGATTTAAACAAGAGTTGAAGTTTTCAAAGTTGTCTCAGGAAAAAGGATACGAGAATCATGAATTACTCTTTCATTACCGGGAATCGGAATCGGTATACCAACTTAACTCACTGTCACCACCATCCTGGCAAGAGAAATTAATGGTCATGTAGTGTGGTGATGTCATGTTAAGTGTGTGACGCGTATGAGGCTATACAATGCACATTAGATCTAGCTTTCTTTCTTTATGACCGATTGGGTTTCTCATCATCTTGATTTCTTTAGATTCTCATACTTTGCTCCTTTCATAGGACTGAAGTCTGATCAACTTCAACACTCGTCTCTGTTTAGTTATCGGTCCAGTGTTCCACTAGCGAATAACATCATCACACCATCCTAGTTTTTGAAGATCATCGTCGAATACTTCGAATCGGGAATCTCTATTGAATCCATTCACCAAGCTCATCGTATTGACTCCATCTCTAAAGACACCGTCTCTGATCGAATATTTGTCATCCTCAGAAGAAAACCAAGCCGGAGGCCAGACAGAGCACATCTAAGTTCCAAAGATCTTGCCTTTTCTTCTGATCTCCACTTACAACATTACCGGCCAGGCACGAAACATCTACTACTAGACATGTCGGATTTTGATGGTGTCAAACACGCTTCACAGTTTTGACTTATTGTCATCGAATTACAATCTTCAATGGAGAACACCAAGGCTTTGTTGGGGGAACAATCGATCTTTAACTATTCAAGAGGTTCTCGATTATCCTAAGACGATCATTTTTAAGACTTGAATCGATAAAGTCGCTTTTTTACTCTGGTGAGGACTTTAATTTCGATCTGGGTAACAAGTCTTTGTTGCATGAAGAAAGAGACAACGATTGATTAATGAAACAAAAAGAAGATATAATTTGAAGGACGAAATCGAAATCGAATTGATGAGTGATAAGGAACACTTTACATAAATGAATAATGAAGAAAAAAAATCAATCAAAAAAAAAGAATGCTACAGGACTTTTCTAAAAAAAAAATAGGATACAAAAATAACTTATAGGTCTAGTGATGAGATCAGTTGGGAAAAGGTGAGGTTGATGATGAAGAAATAGTAAGTCATAAGATGGTTTAGGATGATCTCTTGAATTAATGGATCCCGAATAGAAAACCAGATTGATAGAAGTACATATACACCACGAATTTCCGAATTTCTTAAATTATCGGTTCAAGAAAAAAATGTTCCAAGAATTGATAATGCGGATGATCACGAATCAGAACGATCACTAGAACAAAGCTATGCGATTGATAAAGAGGTGTCAGGATCATTTCATCGTTAAGGATTAGATTAGAAGTGAATTTACATTATGGTCCAAATACCATGTCATAAGCTTCTTGGACCCATGAGGTTGATATCTGATGGGCCAAGGCATCGGTCAAAGCGGCATCGCTCGAAAAGATATCGTTTAAAGTGACATCTGCCGAAGGGACAGCGGTCGAAACAACAGCAGTCGAAGTGGCATCGTTCGAAGTGACAGCGGTCGAAGTGACAGTGGTCGAAGCGGCGTCTGTCCCTTCACGAGTTTTGCTCTAATATCTCAAAAAAAAATCAAAGTCAGTAAAAAGAATCAAAATCGAGAGGAAAACGAACTCTAATTCACCTTTTGTTCCACTTTGACCACTTTGACTTTCGTAAGTGGCACTCGAGAAGCCGAAGGGATTGGTTTTGGAAGATCCGATGGATCGGTGACAAGAACGATGCGTCCTTTGATCGTAGGTCGGTATGAATGTTTACCCGAAGCCGTACGAGAAAGTTTGGGTTTACCGAATTTGGTAAACAGTGGGATCGACTTCTTGGATCGAGCCTTGAGGGGCGTTGATTTTTGAACGAGTGGTACGGACACAGGTACTTTTCTTAACCGACCAAGAGAGTTGATTGGGTTTGGCATCGATGGGAGTGGAGCCGGTGGGGTGATGGATGACCGTGTGGGTTCGCGAAGATGCTGGGGTAGGGACTTTCCTCGTCGATGCATCATTTGACGAAAGAACAACAATTCACGTGGTGAAAACCCACCACGATTGGGTGGTGGAATGATGTTACGATTGGTTGGAGTTGGAAGGGCTTGTGAAGACATGGTGAATAAAGTAAAGTAAAGTAAAAATAAAGTGGATGATCGGGAGTTTTTAAAAGTTAGAATGAAGTGGTTGGTAAGAAAGTTGAATGGGTTAAAGAAAACTCAAATCGGTCGAAGAGGTCGGCTTTGAATTTATAGCTAGCAAGAGTAGTGCTTTAGTTCGAAATCAAATCCCATCAGACTGAGGTTCATAATCAGCCATTTGCATTTCTCAGTGCCATTATCATAGATGGCTTATTGATATCACTTTACCGTTGTAGAATAGCCATAGATAGAACAGAAAACATATTCATTATAGGGCACAATATATACTTTGATCGGAATCCAGGTCCAGTGCGTATTGAAATGTACGTTTCTTCATCTATCCAACCTACTGGTCTTTCAAGTCAAATTGCCAACCAGACTATTATTCAGTTAGTCTGGTTGGCAATTTGACTCGGAAGACCAGTAGGTTGAATAGAAAAAGAAGATACAGGGACTATTGAGCTTGTCTTGCGGTGAGAGCTTTGTAAATGCCATCGCAAGTTAGATATACAGATCATGGCGATTGGATCGCGGAAGAAACTCCTCAAACTCATGTTGGAGTCATGGAAAGCAAGTTGAAATTATTGATTAGCTTTTCGGAGCATTGCTCCAAGGTGACCGTGAGGTGACCTGTCGTGAGTCGTGATAGATTTTTTATTACATCCAGTCGATATGAACACTTTGAAAAACATCCACAAAACTCATGGATGTGACTGGTAGCGTAGCTATAGACGACGCTGATGACCGTGTGGGTCCAAGTCTGGGTCAACCGATTTTTTTCAAACGAAACTCCAGCACAAACCATCAATAGTTTTGGAGGACTGAGCAAAGTAGCTCAATGATCAAACACCTTCTGTCAATTTCAAGCAAACTTCAAAACCTGACTTAAATCTATCACCACGGAAGCACAGAAGTCGCCGAGCCTACAAAAGTGATGTTGAAGAGAAATGACATGCATATTCCCGCCTGCGGAACAGATGATAGTGTTTACCTCCAGGCTCCAGGGGATGTATGGTTAATCGTTGCCCAATCTTTCCAAGGGTTCTTAAGACCCCCGAGAGCCTACTTTGACAAATTGACGCCTCCGCAAGATTTTGGTAGTGAGGCAAAGGAATGCGAGGTTTACATGCGCCTAGGCGATATATACAAAACGAGGGCCCGGGTATTGATTCCTTTTGATTTTCCCCTCAGCTTACATCCCATCCTCGTTCCCTCTCATCGGTTCTCCTTGTACATAGACTACCTATCTCTCCTACCTGTTTTCGACGAGATCTTTCTTTACCACATACGCTGATCCCAAGGTCCTAACTAACCAAGCCAATACTAAGTCTCGAACGGACACCTACACCAGGTCAAGCTCCAATATCATGTTATCCTTACACGCAGCTATTGTTCTGGGTCTTTGGATTGTTTTACCAAGCGTGCGTCAGCTTTGAATACAAAATAGTTTTAGCAAAGCTAATTCGGAGTGATGGTTTTTTTTCTTTCTCTCTCCTTACGGACCTTAGTTGACCTTGGTGGCACTGGCAGGTGGACCAAACCTACCTCAGAGTGCAGAAGTGTTTTGGCGTTGGGAAGATAAAGGAGACTCGGATCCGAGTCATCACAATATCTTCACTGGTACAGCTAACGCTACCTGGGTTAGATCCGCAAGTTGTAAGAAAAGAATGGGATCAGAAATCATTCACCCCAGAATCAGGGATTCCCATGTGGACGTCAAGGCGGCAACCATCAATCATAGTGGAGATTGGATGGATCCCGATAGCATTTATAGTTGGCCTCATGCCCAAAGTTCAGGCTTTGGAGTTTGTAACGCGTATTCGAGGACTGACTTCTGGGTTCATAATCGAGATCGATCGCGTGCGATGAAGATTCGATTTCCTGATGTATGAAGCTTTTATCTGATCATCTCCTTTAACACTTTTCTTTTGGACGAACCCAAAAGGTTACTAAACCTCTGGGTTTTTTCTCTTCACACACCATACAATCGACCATATGTGATATTGGCATCCATCTCATCAGATTTGTACTGGTACGCAACCGAATTCGATTTCTCGCGACTCTTTCTCCTCCAAGATCCACATTTCACTATAACTGATCAGATATCTTCTTTTTGGGAATCTTCGATAGATAAAGACTGTGCAGGTCCAGACCACGAGAGACCGAATGTTCAATGTTTGAATGGTCAGTGAGACGTTTCAAATTGATCTATGTTGACTGTAAACTATTTTCTCAATTCATCCTTCTATTTGCACCCACTCACAGGTCCGAAAGGAAGGATTGTCATGTACCTTGATAAATGGATCAATGAATGTATAGATCCTTGAGCTCATGTGATCTATCTTCTCATTTTCTTTTTACGATTCAAAGAAAACGCAAATATGACCTTGTGTTTTTGTTTTTGGATTGGATTGTATCTTCTTTCTTCGGTTTCCCAATGTAGTCAATCCTAAATAAAGTAATTCACCTCTGAAGTCCTCTGACAAACATATCTTCTGTACCTTGTTTTGTTTTCTTCACCACATCTTTCCATCAACATTTCTGTGTGCTATAGCATAATAAGATGCATATGAAGCTGATGCGACTTCTTACTTCATAAGTGACATCACTTGTAGTCTACCTCTTACAAGTCCTGCCCTTCTTTGATCCTCAATCACGCTAGCCTTGGCTTCAAGTAAATTTCCTTTTGCCACGCGTATGTTGATGAGAGGTTTGATCCGCGCATTTGATCAGCAGGATGTCAGAAAGGAGGTGTGCTTTCAATTAACAACAAAGCTGATATCCGTACCTAAAGTACCTGTTAGCTCACATAGCTGTTGATTGCCAAGTCTTGATGAGACAATGTCAATAGCTTCTTCCAGAACAACTAAGGTTTTGGGAAATCAAGAATGAGCTCCCTTTTAGAAAGGGAGCAAACTGTAGGATCAGCAAGATGTTGCTTGGAGAACGCTGGTCTCCTTTCAACCCCATCACAGTGACCATAAAGGTTTGAGTAGCTGTTCATCTCTTGTGAAACATAGCTTGCAGAACCAGCACTTGTAGGAAAAAGAAGGAAGACCTTTTCTTTGCTGAAGGAAAGGAACAGTTTGCTTGAGTATGTTGATTGAACTAATTCTTAGGATGTTAGATATGAAAAAATACGTCTCCAGGTAGGATATCAAGGAGCATGGAAAGAGCAGAGTACAATGGATTGGCCAGGCGCTCCCCGGCCTACAAGGTAAGCTCTTGATCAAGGAGTGATGTTTGGCCGTACCTCGGGATCTGAATCCTGATCCAAATCCATACCCTTTACTTGATCACACCAAGTTTAAAATTCATCACAATCACAATCCAGATGCCAATTACATACAAACAAGACTTACATTTCTGTTCACCGATCTTATATTTGTGTTTGCCTGTTTTTGAGAAACTTTAACATGCTTCACTTGTGAGAAGGCTTACAAGTAAGTCAGACTGGGGTTTCTGGATAATTAGAATCACCACCATTGATGATTATAACATCTGGCACAGATAGAGCTGTGACTGGGTGACCAAAATCACTGGCTGGAGCCTGAGGGAGAGGTAAGCCACCAGAGGGATCTTTGAGAACCAGGAGGAGATGAATAACCATCTGATTCACAGGGGAAAATGAGGCTTTGGGTCCTTAAAATTTGATCAGACATTTGAGTTGGTAGTGGAACTACTTATATTAGGTGGCTTGTACCAAAGTATAAATAACATCTTTGAAAGGGAGAGGCATGAATTGAAAATCAGAGAAAAGCATCTTGAAGTATGTATGGGGTGAGGGGATGAAGCTTTGGAAGAACATACTTCCTGGAGGTTGGTGTTCAACCAATGGTTTTGTTGATGTAATTGAAAGGCTGAGTTGCTAAGTTTTTGTAACAACTATGGCCAATTTCATATAGCAGTATTGTATTGCTGGGGCAATAGTGGCTCTCAAACCTGACCCAGTTTCAAAAAACCCGGTTGCCCCAGTTGAATTTTTGGCTGGGAGCTGTCAACAAATGTCAACTTGATACACAAAGTTACTGCCAAAAAACAACTGGGTCAACTGGGTTTTTTGAAAACCGGGGCAGGTTTGAGAGCCACTAATATCCAGGATACTCTAATATATTGTAGTGCCAGTGGTCACACAATATATGCACATGCATGTGCCTATGATGATATCACAACTCCGCTACAACTCATGTGGTGTGCACAAGAGTAAGAAAAATTACACACCCCATCACTTTTGAGGGAGATTGAGCATGCCCCTATTTAATTTTTGGCTAGGGACACAAAGAGGAGCAAGAGGTGCAAAAACAGACAAAAAATGGGTCAATTGTTTTTTTGATTATATCTCATCACCCAGATCTTTTCCAAATCCATGTAAACATCAATAGTCCTCATACAAATTGAAATCCACTCTACACAAATCTATGACCATCCATATGACACAGACACCTAAAAATCAATCAAATCAAAACTAGTATGAATAAAGATGTGTTGCTATAATATCATTGGATTCTGAGATTTTCTTGCTGTGGTAGTAGTACCTTTCAATCCAGCTTATAGGTGCTTCCATGACTAAAGAAGATGGTATGGGGTGGTGCAAATAACACTAAGGCGCCAAAATCGCGCCGTGTCCACCACTTGAGCTATGATACACCTATGAAACAGCTATTCCTATCGGAGTGATCTTGGCATCGCCTTTCTCATCAAACGACGCCTTCCCACCATCCGTGGTTTCCCATAAAGGAAGTGTCAAGCTTTTCAATCTCGGGCTTTTTCCATTCTACAAATCGAAATCATAATAAAACTTCAAACTTGCTTTAAACCAATGAATGATCCCAATCAATTCACAAAAAGCTCAATATAATCCAAACCACCTTCCTTCTAATATTTCTAAATCAAAATTTCAAAAAAAACCAAAACCCTTCAAACCTTCAAAAAACAACAAAAACCAAAAAAAGAAAATTCTGAGCAAAGTAAAAAAAGGAAAAAAAAACCATGATCTTTCATCTACTTTATTTATTTCTAAATTCTATAAACATTTGAAGAAAAAAAAAATTCTTTCCAATTCAAGTAAACAAAGTGATTCAAAAAAATAACACACACACACACTAAATTCTTTAAGCTAATTTTTGAATAATAGCATCTACGAAAAAAAAGCAATCAAGAAAAAAAACCTATTAATAAACCATTTATCGATGGATGGATTGAAAAAAGACTTAACTGGTCATTTCCGTAGTATGACTCTTTCCACCCATATCAGGAGTTCTAACTTGACCTTCTTCAATGACCCCATAAACCGCTCTAGCAATCGAGTCAGCCTGAAAATCTAAACCTAAATGTCTCAACATCATGGTAGCTGATAAGATCATGGCAATCGGATTGGCCACATCTTGACCCTAATGAGATTAAGATGATCCAAAGATCGATCCATCAGTCTTTTCCGATCAAGCTTTGAATCGGATCATCAAGAAGAAATTCACCATGATGTCTTTGGCTACATGACGACAGCCTGGTTCGAACAATGCAAACTCTCGACCAATGTTCGCTCCAGGTACGATTCCAGGTCCACCCACCAAAGCAGCTCCAATATTCGCCACAATAGCACCATACCTATTCAAAGAAACCCAAGATAAGCAAGAATCCTAACCAGAAAGCCCCCTTTTTAAGAAGAAAGCTAGAAACCCAAAGAAAAAACAACTCAACAAGTTAGGCATCACTAAAACATCAAATTGTTGAGGTTTAGCCACCAATTGCATCGAAGTATTATCGACAATCATATCATTAAATCCGATCCCATCAGCCTCATACTCCTTAGCGATTTGTCTACAAGTATTCAAAAACAATCCATCCCCAAGTTTCATAATATTGGCTTTATGTACACAAGTGACATGTTTGCGATTATTCTTGAGTGCGAAATCGAAAGCGAATCTAGCGATCCGTTCACACTTTGATCGGGTCATGATCTTTAATGATTCAATGACTCCAGGTACAGATGCATGTTCTAATCCTGAATATTCTCCTTCGGTGTTTTCTCGAATAATAGCAAAATCTACATTCTCGTGTCGGGTTGGGTAGCCTTTGACCGATTTACATAACGAGATTGACGCGTAGATGTCTAGTTGTTGTCGCATGGCTACGTTCCAGGATGGATGTCCTTTATCATCTGATGGAGTATAAAGCACACCTAGATCCCAACATCATACACACACAGAGAGAGATGAGTGGTTTTTTTTTGGAAAGATTTGGAACTGATCATGAAGAGTGTTGGATTTACCTTTTAAACCAACTCGGTTTCTTCTTAAACTTTCCATTGATCTTTTAAAGATAGCTTCATCTTGAGACGTTTCACCTGAAATATTAAATTCTTCAAATCTAACAAGAACAAAAAAAAATCAGAAATCAGAAGTTTGAAAGTCAAAAGAAAAAGAGATCGAGAAGTGATGAAAAGAATAAGATTTACTCAATCGGTGCATTTGTATGTTCAAAGATTTCTTTAACTGAATTTGTGATTTCTTTACCGATTCCATCACCCGGAATCCTATCAATCGAAAGAAATCATAAACATAAGTGATTTGATTTTCGTTTGAAGATCAAGAGAGAAGAGAACTCAACAAAGTCACAGTATAGATCCCACCATACTTAGTAGGAGCTCTTGCAGAGATCCGAGGAGCTTGAAAGATAGAACGATGTAAGTGTAAGATCGAATGAGGTTTCATTTTGGTAATGAGTAGGTTATGAGTGATGGAATAGAAGTGTAACTTACGGTTTGCTAAAGCTAGAGCAGTAGCTGATGGGTTTAAGTTGGTGGACTGATTTAAGATTTTAATTTCTTAGATTAGATTAGAGTTAAGCGAGTTTGACAGAGACAGAGAGACAGAGAGAGGACTTACAAATGATTTACTAGATTTGATAAGTTGATTATACGATCTCATCTTCACCAATCAAATCAAATCAAAGTCAGAGTAAAGTAAAGGTAATCAAAGTAAAGGAAATCAAAGTAAGGTCAAGTGAAAGCGAGAAGTGGTGTTGAAGTCAAAGTGTCGAGTGATACGAGTTGCCTTTTTGAAGAAATCGAAATTGAAAGGCTTGGTAACTGCTTCGCTGAGACATTCTCGGTTCTCATCGGGATTGGATACACATTTCGATTTTCAAAAATTCAATTTCCGATTAAATCCGTTTCAACTTCAACCTCAACCACTTCAACTTCAACTTCATTCCATCAATCAATCAATCCATCAATCAAGCAATCAAGCAACTACAATCCATCCAAACAATGAGATCCAATCTATCAATCTTACGACAATTCTCAAGTTCTTCTAGACTATCAGCCGCTGCTCCAACCCAAGCATACAAGCCATACAAATTACCAGATGGGTAAGTTTCTTCAAAACCTCATTCATAAGATCTTGATCTGAATTATGTTTTTTTCTATCAACTAGTACATTCAAAGTGACTCTGATTCCAGGTGATGGAATAGGTCCTGAGATTTCAGAATCGATCAAATCAATCTATTCAACAGCAAAAGTAAACTCAATTTCCCCAACCCAATTCCATTAAAACCAAACTAATCCATCTATATGAATGGTCAAACCTAGGTACCAATCACATGGGAAGAAAGATCAGTGACTCCGTTTATTTTGAATGGTCGATCGACTATTCCTCAAGACGCGATCGATTCGATTCGTCAAACGACGATCGCTTTGAAAGGTCCATTAGCCACACCCATTGGAAAAGGTCATGTATCCTTAAACTTGACTTTGAGAAGAACGTTTAAATTGTTTGCAAACGTTCGACCCTGTCGTTCTATTCAAGGTTTTAAAACTCCTTATGATGATGTTAACTCGGTTTTGATTCGTGAGAATACTGAGGGTGAATATTCTGGGATCGAACATGAGGTTAGATTTTTTTTCATTTTCTTTTCCTTTTTATCTTTGGTGTGATTTTTGATGGGGATTTTGTCTTTCTTTTTAGGTGGTAGATGGGGTGGTTCAATCTATTAAACTCATCACAATGGATGCATCAGAAAGAGTAGCACGTTATGCATTCCAATATGCTCAAGACAACAACCGACCTCACGTAACAGCCGTTCACAAAGCTTCGATCATGTAACAAACCCTTCCCCTTCTCAAACCCAAGATCCCCTTCAGGAATCATTCACTCATTCCAATCCTTTGATTTCGGTTGACTTTTTCTTTTTTCTTTTTTTGTAGGAAAATGTCAGATGGAATGTTTTTACAAGCTTGTAGAAAAGTTGCTCAGGATTATCCCAAGATCAAGTATGATGAAGATATCCTAGACCGAGTCTGTTTAAAAGTCGTCCAAAACCCAGCTCCATACTCTGACCGAGTCATGGTCATGCCCAACGTACGTATTCCCCATCCCCTTTCCTTATGAAACCAAAATTCTAATGATTATTTTTGGGAATGGGATTTAGTTGTATGGAGATATTTTGAGTGATATGTGTGCAGGTTTGATTGGAGGATTAGGTCTGACTCCGTCTGGGAATATCGGAACGGATGCATCGATCTTTGAAGCTGTTCATGGATCTGCTCCTGATATTGCTGGTCAAGGAAAAGCTAATCCGACAGCACTCTTGTTGAGTTCATTGATGATGTTGAGACATATGGGATTAAATGAATATGCTACAAAGATTGAAAAGGCGGCTTTGAGTGTATGTGACCCCTTCCTTTCACTTTTGTTTTTGGTTTCTTTGGTTGAGAAATTGATGTGGGTGTGTGGTTTTTTTTGGTGGGGTCATGTGATCGGATCGGTTCATAGACTATTGCTGAAGGGAAATTCATTACGGGTGATTTGGGTGGGAAAGCTTCTACACAGGTTTGTTAACTTTTTTTTTCTCTTATTTCTGCTTTGTTTGGGGTTTTGAAAAGAAAGATGGACTGATTATTTGTTTTCTTTTGGTTTAGCAATTCACTGAAGCTATTTTGAAGAAATTGTAAAACCAAAAATCAATGTTGAAATAGAATCAACTTTATTAGAATGATTTTTTTTTTGGTTGAGAAATCGAATGGGAAAATAGAAAAATCAAAGTTGATTTTTTTTTTTGGTTTTACAAAGTTTTTTCTTTTCTTATTATTAGAAATTCATATTTGAAATTGTTTATATTCCTGCGCTTTCCCTTTTTCTTTTTCTTTTCTTTTCTTTTTTTTTGTGAAGAGTTTTTTTGGATTTGTTTTTACTTTTTGTGAGAGTTTTTTGGTTTTTTTCTAGTGATTGGGTTGGATTTTTTTGAATGAATGAATGAAATTAGGATAGAAATGTTGGAAGAGAGTGTGGGTGTGAGGGAAGGAAGTTTAGATGAGAGTTGAGATGAGGGAAAGGGTTTTTATATAAGGTTTCATGGTGGATGTGATAGTATTGAAGAAGTCTGTGAGGGGTTGATTAAATTGAAGGTACAAGATTAAGAAATTGAATTTTGAGATTTCCTAAACTTTGTGGATGTTGATGAGCTCTGGCACAGGAAATTTAATGATTTGTGTAACAGATCAGCTTGGATTTTTATTGAGTCATTTGGAATTGAATGGGTTTCAAGATAAATTGAGAAATTCTCAATTATATTTTGGTCTTTTTGCCAAAATCTTGTCAAAGATGAATCAAGATTTAACCTTGAAATTTCTTCTCTGGATCAATTTTATTTTTAAGCTGGAATGTATCTACTTGATAGATACTTATTTGTACAATGACTTGGTTGGATGGATTGGGGGATTCAGTTTGTTTTCTCATAGGACTTCTTTTTGGGAGCATTAAGTTTTGAGGGGAAATTAAAGACTCGGAATCTTGGAATCTTTGGATCTTTGGATCATCAAAATACTGTGGCTCTCAAACCTGACCCAGTTTCTAAAAACCCGGTTGCCCCAGTGGAATCTTTGGCTGGGAGCTGTCAACAAATGTCAACTTGATAGACAAAGTTACTGCCAAAAAACAACTGGGTCAACTGGGTTTTTTGAAAACCAGGGCAGGTTTGAGAGCCACTAATACATTGATGAGCAATCTTCTGTTCTCCAAAATATTCTGAACAACTTGTGTATGACACTGTGTTGTTTGGTATGAGTAAGTCTGATTGATTATTCTGTGAGGTGTATCACAGTCTGTTATCAACTCCCAAAGCTTTCCACATGTCCATCTGTCATCCTTTCACTTTATATAAGTTCAAGAGACTACTGTTGGCTTCATGACTAAAAAGATGGCAAAGAATTTTATACAGGACAGCATAGATATATATATATAGAACTCAGTGCCTGCCTAATAAAATTGATGCCAAACTTATCCATGTGCTCCTTTGTGTGTATGAAGTCAGAGAACCTCCTGAGCTGCAAGATTTGGTGTCAGTGAGACAAAATTTGATATAAGTACTCAACCTTTTGTTTGCCACAAAACATCTTTTATTAAAGTATTAAACTATCTCTTAGATGTCCTCCCAGCAAAAAGCCTTGATGGCTTCATTTGACTCTTTGTATGTGTGCCCTAGGGGTGCACATTGATGACACCAAAGCTGTGAACGTACACAGCATGCAAGTTTTGCATGGTACCAGACAGACCAAGAGATGTGAAATATCAACAGTTTAATTTATGTGCATGAAATCTGAAACCTAATGACACAAAATGAACTATACTTCAACACTAACCTAGTCATAAGAGCAAGATTGAGAGATGTCCACTCGGAACTGTCTACCATTTCAACCAAACTGAGTCATGAAAAAGGTCAAGATCATTGAACATCAGATGTTTTGGACTTAAATATTCCTCCAAGTCTAATCATATCTCCCTGTGACATTCTCAGCACAGTTTTCTTGGCAGAACATGCCAAAATGAACCTTGAAGCTTTCAGGATCTTTCTGGTGAGCTTGAAGAATCATCAGAAGAGCTGATATTTTGCTGGCTCTCAAATAGACTCACAAAAACTTAAATAAAGGGGGTCTAAACAGTGTGTGTGTGTAGCAAAGCACTTGAATTTACAAAAACACTTTGATTGAGGTCCCTTAGTATGCTTGTATTCTTAAAAAAAAACTAACCTAACTGGATTTTATTGGGCTGCATTTGGGATTTTGGGCATCTCAATTGATCCCCTAAATGTTGAGAGTAGAGGTGATCATAGTATTCTTTCCCAAATTCTTCAAAAAAGATTAATTTTCCTCCAGATTCCTTCAATTCACAATTTTGGTAGTGTTCAGGTGATCAGCCTGTTTGATTCAAATTTTGCTTGAAATTGCTGGAGAATGCTCATTTCCATCTTGGATGGACATTCTTGAGAAACTTCCAAGATTCCTATGCTCACCCATATGTGAGCATCTACTTTTGCCTGGCCTGTGACTCTTGACATCCTACCTCGCCACCAACATACCTCTGCTTGCAGAATCCAAGGCGTCATTGGATGCAAATCCTTGGACAGATCTTGTCCAAACATTTAGTCTGAGGTATCTTTTGTGCCAATCAATACCTTGGATCAAAACCTTAGAAAAATTCTGACCACTCATATTTTTCAATTTGAGGTAAATTTGTTGGGAGTGTGTTGAATTTTGTATAAGGACCACAGCAGTCTTTTTTGGTGTTTTCACCCCCTAGATTCTCAAGAGCCCATAAAATACAAGCTCTGCTGCTGATGATATCTTATCTCAGCATACTGGTCATATTTCAAGTCTCAGCTTTCAAGGCATCCAGCATCACATGTTGAATCCATGAGATGTAACAAGGTTTCTTATCTTATTTTTGTACCTTCACTTAAGATTCTTATGTGTCTGGTAAAGTTTTGTGGCAAAAATTACTCAAGCTTATATAATGGGAAAGATACTCACGTTATGTAACAGAAACCAAACAGCCAAATGATATTGGATCAAATTTACTAATTGAAGTGCCATCAAACTAATCATTGTCCTGATATTTAGTGTGTCTGGACCCCCACACTACCACACATCTCTGAGTGTACCACCTCCACAACAGATAACATCTGCAAGGGGCCAAGATGATTCACAATCAGATGTCCTTACACTACACCAAATGTAATCTTTACCGGGCGGTAAAGAAAACTACTGACATAGAAAAGTCCTGAGGCAACAGGAAGAGAGCTAAAAATCTGAAAAAATATGCACCTTGTTCCTAGATGTTGGGGCGTCATGATGAGTATTTTTTTGTATTTTACACACAGATATTGGTAGGGGTATGACCCGGCCCCGCAATTTCAGGGCCGGCCCTGGGGCCGGGTCAAAACCGGCCTCGGCCACGAGGTGCCTCAGATGGCTAGCGGGCAGGCACGGGCAGGCCATGGGTCGGGCCTGCCTTTAGGCCCGGGTCGGGCCAGCTGTTTGTGAGGGGATTCGAGGACACAAATTGAGTTAATTGAGCAAAAAGAGCAAGACACAAATAAAAAAATCTTTGTAAATGAGGACACAAATGAGCGTGCAGAAAGAATAAATAAACAAAAGACCATTAAAGAGTGTAGAGAAAACAATAAAGAAGTTTAGAATAGAAAAAAAAGACAAGCCAAACTACACGGAAAGAATAATCCCCCATGACTTGAGACAAATCTGAGCTTCAAAGTTCTGATTGGTCATCTGTGATCGATAATCAGACATCACCCTTGAACCAGCTGAAAATATCCTTTCTGAAGGACCACCCGAAGCAGGAATAGCAAGCATTACCATAGCCATCCGAGCAAGGATTGGCCAGTTTGAGCGATTAGTTTTCCAGAATACTAAGATATCGGTACGTTCATCCACAAGAGGGGCAAGAAGGTACTCCCTCACTTCATCTTCAAGTTGAACACATTTGCGTCGTTTGATAAAGTGGTGTGGTCTATCATCGTCATCTTCGAACACAGGGTCTGATTCGACGATTTCGATCTCAGGATCGAGAGGGGGTTTGAATTTGCGAGCTTGCTCGGTAAAGTAATTTATGAGTTGATCTTTGTCAAATCCGAGTTCTTCTAAAGTAAAAGCAGTCACAGCATTGAGCTTTCGGCGAGGGTCGAGAATTGGGGAACATATGTAAACAGGCTTCTTCAAAGCTAATGTGGAATATCGGACTAGTTTCTTGACCATAGGACGAATTGCTGCCTTCAAGTTGGTACAATCAGAAGCCCCCCATGCCTATGTTTGAAAAAGATTGGTTAGAAATTGTGTAAATATCCATAAGTGGTTAAGGAAAGAAAAACTTACTTTTTCGAGTTTTCAATGAGCCATTGATAGTCGGGCATTGCTCGTGAGAAGGTGGGATAGTCATCGGCTTCAATTTCCTTGATCACAATCGCAAGAGGTCGGAGAAACTTGACTAAGTTGCCAACCAAGGTCCATTCGTCTTCGGTTAGGGCGAAAGGTTCTAAACTATCATTGACATTGCAATACGATTGAAGGACCTTCTTGAGTTCAAAGAATCGTTCGAGAGAATAAAAGGTTGAAGACCATCGAGTTGAAACCTCATGAATCAGTCCGACCTTTCGAGGCTGTGAGGAAGTGGCGATGAATTGGTCCAGAGCCTGTTTGAGCTGAGTGCTCAATCGGACTTTTTTATGGAAGCTGCGAATTCGAGTTAAGATTGAGTGGACTTCGAGATGCGGAGTAGGTTCAATCAAAGAATTAGTACCATCAGGAATATCGTCATCTTGAGGTAGTTGAGGATCTAAAGCACTGAGAGGATCAGGAGGAGTCTTGCTGTCAAAAATCGAGATTCCGGCTTTGGCGACTAGATTGATAACATGGGCGACACAGCCATGGAGGTTCTTCTCAGGATCGAATTGAGGTATGAGCTGTTGGAGTTCTCGACCCATGGTTTGATTGTTTGAAGCATTATCAGCAGTAATGGAGTAGAGTTTATCGGTGATACTGAATTGATCTAATGTGTGCTTGATGAGAGCAGCCATGTTTTTACCAGTATGGGCTCCATCGATTTCCTTCAAAGCTAAAACCACCGATTGCATTTGAAAATCCTCGGTCATCCAGTGAGCCGTAATTCCAAGCATCGGTACGCTACTAGGTGAAGTCCAAGCATCACAAGTGATGCTGATGTAGTCCAATGAAGCGAAGAGGGAAGTGAGACGGTTGCGAGCAAGACGGAATTGAGAGAAGATACCGTCGGTGATGGCGGTTTGTTTCGACATAATCGGGGCGACAGCTGGGTTAATCCAGGATAAAAGCTCGCGGAAGGAAGGAGCGTCGACAAGAGAAACTGGGAGTTCTTGATTAACGATAAGCCGGATAACTGCATTTGTGAGGTTTCTCCTGTTAAGAGATCCCATCTTGAAAAAAAAAGAAAAGTATGAGAAAAAAAAAGGAAAGTATGACAAAACTTGAATAAAAATTTGAAAACAAATATACTTACACTACTAGTCTTTCCACTTGCAGAAAAGGCTGTAAGGGTTTGTTGAGAGGTGTCGATCGGAGCAACAATGCCATGAGCACGCAAGAGATGGCGGCTCATAGATTTGGTACTTCCAGTCTTATCGATGGCGATCGGATCTTGACACACAACAACAGGGGCCTCCAAGTCTGGAACTGTGTCAACACGACCTTTGTTGGCACGGCAGACATTTGAGGTGGTGCCGTCCCTGAACGTAACGGTTGAAAAATACTGCCACACCCAAGAGGTACGGTTGGTGGCAGTATGTTCGGATTCGACGGCACTAGCCACCGCGGAGACTGAGTCGGATGGTGCGATTGAGTTAGAAGTCGTACTGGAGGTGGTGGACATGTTGGTGTTGGTGGTGGTGGGTTGTGGATCGGTGACCTCACGACGAAGGCTTCGTCGTGACATTGGGGTGGATGATGGGGTGTGAAAGGGTGCGAGGGTATGCGGAAAAGGGGTGGAAGGTGTCTCAACAACCCTTTCACCCCTTTGTTGGGCCAGGATTTTACGGCGGCCCTGGCCCCGAGTGGCCCTGGAACAGGGCCTTTGGCTCTATCATCAGGTTAGGGCTAGGGCCCCGGACCGAGCCCCGTGATGACTTCAAAACCCCTCGGGCAGACTCGGCCGGGCAGGGCCAGGGCCGGGTCATACCCCTAGATATTGGTTTATGTACTAACAACAAACGCTGAAAATCATCAAAAACGCACATGTAACAATACCTGAAATTTGGGTCATGAGTATGAAGACAATATTTTGTGGTCTAAAAACTTCAATAACTTTTGCAATTCTGCTCCAAATAACTCGATTTTTGGTTCATTCAAAAGCTGAACTATTCTCCTTCACACTTCATAATGTCAGTAAGGTTCTATCTAGTCATTTAAACACTCTACATATGTTCAAACAGTTCTGCATGAATAGCTCTGTAGGATCTTTTTTAGACCAGCTACAGATGTGATGTCTCAATGAAAAATGTAGAGGAAAGGCTCACCTTTTTAATGCACTTCAAATCGAGTGATTTGATTCAGAACTGCGAAAGTTATTGATGTTTGAAGATTCCAAAATCCTGTCTTCAAAATCAAGGGCCAAATTTCAGGTATTGTTACAGGTGGGTTTTTGATGATTCTCAGCCTTTATTGTTAGTACATTAACCAATATCCGTGTGTAAAATACAAAAAAATACTCATCATGACGCCCCAACATCTAGGAACAAGGTGCATATTTTTTCAGATTTTTAGCCCTCTTCCTGTTGCCTCAGGACTTTTCTATGTCAGTAGTTTTCTTTACCGCCCGGTAAAGATTACATTTGGTGTAGTGTTATCAGCTGAAGAAACCTCCAATCGTATCCTGTAGCTTGTTGGTTGCACAGCCCAATCTCTTGGAGAAAGAGCCCTTAGATAGATTGGGAATTGCAGGTTTTTCCATTGAACCCATCTTAGGCTTGACATGTCTTGAGTCTTGCAGGAGCTGTGCATCACAACTTGTGTGAATGGTTTCAGCACCCTAAACTTAACCTGTGACAAGTTTGCTGTCTTTATGCCTTTCATGACTGTTTTTTGTAGTGCAGTACATCAAAGGGACAAGAAATTTATGGTATAGAAGAAGCCAATCAGCCAGATAATGTCCCATCAAGCTCAACTTTAACCAAGCTTGAGATTCCTACTCATTATTCAAAATGTTAGATTCTATTCTATATTCTCTACTAATTTCTATCCTTTTGTGGAGAATTGTGGTCCTGACAATCTATCTCTTTTGTGTCAATCAGATAATTGGGCATCAATACTATACAAACCCTTTTCCATAATATCTGAGAAGACATCCATAATTTTTTTTTGGTGAGCTTGTGTTTTGTGTTATCAATTTTTTTGAATTCATTTTCATTCATTCAATTCCAATTGACTGTGATAATCTTTGACTTGGTTTTGTGGACCATGTAAAGAGGTTTTTTCATAATATCTAAGCATTGTACTATTGGATTGCTCATCATGCTCTTAGATACATTTCCAATTCCGGATAGCTGATATTTGTTTAAAAATTTGACCAGGTCATGAAGATTCATCTATCATTGAAAGCCTTTACTATTCTTTCCATAGTCAGCCTTGGTGGCATCCATGCAATGGTAGAACCACTCCCACTCGACCAACAGTGGACAGATTTTACCCAGCACAGCACAAGTGAGGCAACACTGTCAAACCTGATGGATGTTTGGTGGAATGAACCATTGACAATGCCCGAGTTTAAATCGGTTGCTGAAGATAGAGACCAAGAAGCGTATTTTGACGTACAGATTTTGCACAGCACTGGACCTGACTGCAACCGTGCTCGAAGTCTTGGTATAGTCTCTAGCAATAACAGAGATTGGACTGTCCCACGCAGAATTGGGAAGTCAGCAGTTGTGATTGAAGAAAAACATCTGTTTGCTGGTTCTGTTGTTTTCAGACATAACCTTCCACCATTCATCAAGATCCGGTTATGTCAAGTACCAAAACCCAAGAAGTGGTGAAAAATGCTGGTGTCAAGAAGGATTATGCTACCAAATTTTTGTATCTTCAAGACACCAACTCAAGGGCCTTTCCACACTAGTTTTGTACAATCAAATAGCTTGGATAGATTTGGATCCACAACCAGCAGAATGTATATGTGATACCTTGTGATACATATTGGATGAAAGAACAAATATAAAGATTTTGAAAATAGTGAGGTTTATCTTATAATATTTAAATGTCATGGACCCGAGCATTTAGGATATCGAGTCAGAACACTCTAAAGTCATACCCGTTTGTTAGGGTTTTGTCAAAGATTGCTGGTGTCCTCAACAGGTCCCCAAAGCTAGCAGCAGTACAAGGGTCTGTTTCTGAGAGATTGTGCAAAATTTAATTCCTTTCCAAAAGACAATGTTTTGAGCATAGACAAAATAATTACAATCAAAACAAGTATTCTGGATAGGTCAAATGAAAAGGAAGAGTGCCGTGCTGCTGATATGATTTTTTCTTAATGCTTAATGAGAAAGAAAGAAATGAGGAAATGAGAAATGAGAACTTGGAAGCTCAAACTGCTGATGAACGTCGCGCTTTGAAATTTGTCTGTACAGAAATATTTTGATTCCACGAGTTGATCTGGAATTCTGGATTGAAGATTGGTTACTACAGTGGGTAAACCCAAGTACGTGTTCCAAGCCAGTCCGCATAGAGGTTTGGGTCCAAAATTTTTGAGAAATTTTTGCCATTTTTTCTGCTTTTTTTGGCGGGAGAGTAAGGTTGAGGGGTGGTGTTAGGCTGCAAAACTTTTGGTTTTTTTTGAAAAAAAAGCAAATTTGGTTGTTATTTGCCACTTGAACAGCCATATTCATTAAATTATAGGCCTAGTGCGCCGCTAAGTAGCTAGATAGGTACCTAATTGAGGCCTAGGTCCGAAAATCCAAACCTCTAAAAGAGTAAAATCATATTTTTGGTCTCCAAAACCATATTCCTAGATTCATCAAAGCAATGCCTTTTCAATGGTCTGGGTGCCAGTCTCAAACATTCAAATTGAGTGCCCCGACATTGACCCGAAAGGTGAAATTTGATTTTGCAGGGCAGGTCGGAACACGTACTCGGGTTTACCCACTGTACGGACCTTAAGGGAGTTTTAACTTCTAATTTCGATCTCTTTAAGTTATATCTGATCGTTTTGGACCACTTTTTGACTTGAATTTAGCCGTTTACGCTACCACTTAACAATCTCGGTGACGTCCTTTTGATCGGTTTGGGAAACAAGTTACGAAGAGAGAGAGAACAACTACCAACCAGTCAACCAATCATTCTCAAGTGATTTTAGCAGCTCATCTTCAAATCAAGTCAAACCATCAGACCATTTCACAACTTGATCAACCTTGACCACTAAAAACCAACGCAGAACCCGTCTGGACGGCATCAGAATTCATCGAACCTCATTCAACTTTATCTTCTCATAGAAGTTAGCTCTCATTAACTCTCTCAAGCCACTCTCTCAGATCTCTTATTGTCTTGCTTTCTTTCAATCAACCCCCCATAGAAACAATCATTCAAACCGATCTTTTTCACCAAAAACCAACCCCATCAAACTCACTTCATTCAACTCATTTCACCAATCACAAAAATGGCACCACCTGTCACTGATAAGGTAAGGCTTCACTAGTCATTCGAAGCTCATCACAGCGCTTATGCATCCTGAGATTGAACCTGACCTATTCAAAATCATTTGAAGGACCCTCTTTCTGGTCGAGTTGGTCATCTCTCGACTACCCAGGCCGACATGCTTAAAAAATTCAAAGAAGAATTAGCAACTGAAGGTTACTTCAAAGTTTGTTGTCCCTACTTCAAAACTTACAATACACTGCAAATTGTGCTCATTATCGATGTTGATTTTTTAGGAAGGTTCTGGGGCCGTAAAGGACGATATGTACGGGGGAGGTCTCCCTGGAGCTTCTCATGATGACGCCACTTTACTGTGTGTTTTCTTTTTGTGTTTCTCAATGCTCTGGGGCTCGGCAGATTCACGTAGCGATTCTCAACGTCATTTTTGCCCACTTCCCTTTCCTCAGTCGTTTTCTCCGAGCAAGGAAATTTGATCTCGAGAAGAGTAAATTGATGTTTACAGATAGCGAAAAAGTTTGTACTAGTTGTCTTTGCCGTCTTTCAATCTACCCAAATCGATCCTGAACATTTAACTTTTATGTTGTTTTTTCAGTGGCGTAAAGAATTCAAAGTCGATGAGCTCTATGCGACTTTTGAATACCCCGAAAAGAAAGAGGTTGATGCAATCTACCCTCAGTTTTACCACAAGACTGATAAGGTACTTCTAACTCACTTTACGAAAAGTCGCCCGGAGCTAACGATTTGTAACGATTCCTCCAGGATGGTCGACCTATCTATATCGAGCAACTTGGAAAACTCGATTTGACTAAGCTATACAAAGTCACTACCCCCGAGCGACAACTACAACGTCTGGTGGTCGAATACGAAAAAGTTTGTCACTCATCCACTTGGCACGTGTTCCCGGTCATCCGAACTAATCGTTTCTTGTGGGAATCTTTAGTTTCTTCGTGATCGGTTACCAGTTTGTTCTGTACAACAAGGCAAGTTAGTTGAAACTTCTTGTACTATCATGGATTTGAGTGGAGTCGGTCTTAGTCAATTCTGGAAGGTCAAGAATTATGTTCAACAAGCATCTCATCTAAGTCAAAATTACTACCCAGAGAGTAAGCACTTTCTGTTGTTTTTTATCTATCTTTTCTTTGATAAGCTGCTAATTTACATGTTTTATCATAGCAATGGGCAAGTTTTATATCATCAACGCGCCTTACCTTTTCTCTACCGTTTGGTCCCTCGTCAAACCTTGGTTAGACGAAGTCACCGTCAAGAAGATTAGTATCCTTGATTCGAGTTATCATAAGACTCTCTTGGAACAAATCCCGGCTGAATCCTTACCGAAATCATTGAAAGGAACTTGTGATTGTCCAGGTGGATGTAGCATGAGTGATGCAGGACCTTGGAAGGATGAAGAGGCTGTTACTAAAGCTAAGAAGTTGAAAGCTGGCGAACCCGCAAAGGTAGAAGCTGTTCCTGAGGTGGCTGCTACGGAGGAGGAAAAGAAACCGGAGGAGGCTGCTGCGACTGAGGCTGCGCCCGCTGAGACTACGACTGCCTAAGGATGGATTCGATCGACTTTTGTTCTCAATCTCAGTCACATGCTCGCGATCATTTGCCACATGGCCGAGCAGCTCCACCTCAGCTTTGAAAAGGGTTGCTTTTCTTAATGCCTACTTTTCCGATTCCCTTTCATGATCTCCTTTTCTGCCTTCTTGACATTAGTGGTGTTATCTAGCGCATTTATTTACGTCTAAAAACAGTCTCACCGATTTTTTTTCTTACTACTTTTTTTTCTTCTCTCATCTTCATATATGTGTATGTTACATGATGAATGTTTTTGTTTCCTTTCTTTCATTCAATCCTTGATTTTATTTATCTTTACAATGATGCATAATCTGTGAGGCATAATGAGAGAAAATTCATTTTTTTTGCTATATCTATGAAGAGCAAAAGTGTTTGCAAGTTGCAGGAATTAAGAGTTCCTTCACACTGAGAAGTATTCCCTTCTGAGGTGTTCCCTTCTACCATTAACAAATGAAAGAAGTGGGTTTATAGTAATCCAGCTCACTTTCCGTTTTAATCTTGATCACCCCGGCCTCTGCCAATTGTCTTCTCATGTTCCTTGCAACCCATAACTGTTGATATGCTAAAATTGGTTAGAGGAGATGCAGAAGAAGACCTTGGAGAAGCCCTTCTAATTTTTGGCGAGGTTTCATGATGTTTTGAGTCCTCATATTGGGGATTGAAGGAAATGTGCTTGAAACTCTTGCTGTGCTCAAGCCAAACCCGGGGTTTTAGTCATAAGCCCCTCTTCGATTTCAGACATAATTTCGAATGACGTAGTCCGGTCTGACTTGAATTCCACAATTCTCATATCTAATTGCTTGTATCCCTGTTGACCCATTCGACAAAAACCGTACCATCATGTCAGTCATCACGCCTCAGTGGAAAAAATGTTTAAGTGAATCGATCGCTTCAAAGTAAGTCAGCATTCCTCCCCTAACTCTGATCTAACTTCATGTTTTGCATTTTTTGAAACTGACCATCGGTGTTATACTCATCAACATCTAAAAAGTATGAAAGTCAACAAAGATTCAATCAGTTATTGTCTCAGTACCGTTTCCCCAAACGGTCCAAACGGTCTAACTTTCCCTGAATCACGTTTTTGTGTACATCGTGGATTTGTTAATGAAAGACGTAAAGCAGACGATGCTAGTTCTAATCCTGATAAACCGGAACAAACTGGAAATGCTATGATGTTTTGTACTGATATTCGAAGTCCTAAAATTAATCAATTGGTGGATCGAACAGAAGAAGTTCAAAATGGTCGATCGGCTTCTGTTTGTTGGTGGTTTGCGGATTCGGGCGAGCAGGTACGTCTTTCATCTTATTCAGTTGATATGGGAGGAACCCATACTATCTTTGAGTTTTGGAAACTGATCTTGTTAAATCCTGTAGTACCGTATACGCGCCTTAACCTACGTGTTACCACCTCCATCTCTAGAATCAGAGTTTCCGCGATTCATGCCATCAGGTAAAAAATTAAATCCATCAAATTTAGAATCGATAGAATTTGATTGGGAATCAGAAAGAAAACGAATCTTTGAAAAAGTTTCACCTGAATTACAAGCTAGTTTTCTAAGATCTATACCAGGTGAAAGATTAGAAAATGTATCAAAAGATCAATTACCTAAAACTTATTGGCCTACAAAAATTACTACTGATGAGGAAAAATCAAAGGCTTTGAGTCGGTTTGCTTTGGTGATACTTGATCCTATTTCCATTGATTTGTGAGTTTTTGGATTCCTTTGGTTTTGGAAGAAATGGTTGGACATGTAACTGATCGTGCACATCGATTGTTGGGTGACTTTTTATGATGAAGCTTGAAACTCAAAGCTGAACCAAATGAACGAATTCAATGGACTAAACTTGATGATGGATCTTGGAAAGAAGTCAATGTTATGCCTTGATAATCTTCTGGACTATCAAAATTATGCCAATCTTGAAGATGAACAGTCTCACGTGGTCACTAGTATTCAATTTCTAGTCTTCAGTCTTCAGTTTGTATTCTTGTCCATTTTCCTTATCTGTACATGTCTAATGACACCATCTAAGTTGTTGTTTCATCTTTGTATCATTGGCCCAGTGAAGAATTTAAAACAGAAAGTGTTGCCTTTCCAAAGATCATATATGTAACTCTTTGTGAAAATCAAAGTCACTTTTTGATCAAAACAATGATGGACCATTTTTAACAAGGAGATATGAATTAATTATGACCAGAAGATGATTCAAGGAAACTTCTGAAGAGATCATGGAAAGACAAGGGGGAGGGCAACCAATAAGTTAGAGTCAACAAAGCTAGGTTATCCACCCTGGTATATCAAGGATCATATCACTGTTGTGCCAGGTCCTCATACATAAAACACATTAAAACTCATGATGTGAAGAAAAAGTATAAAAATGTGTCTACTCTGATTACCATGTATGAAGGATAATCCTAAATACAGACATGCCATGAAACCAAGAATGAGTCATGCTAAACCTAATAATGCACTAAGCCTAAAGAAGCGCCTCACAAGTGCATTGAGCACACCCTTGAAGAGGGGCTTAGGGCCTGGGCAGACTCATGTTTTTTGGCAGGGTGGCTCCAAGAATCAAGTCTGCTTATGTACTTTTTTCAGATTTTCCTCTACACCTCTCCACAAAAAGTTCCAGAATTTGCATATGTTCTCTCCAAAAATTTCTACATCTTTTGGTGTGCAATTCATGCAAAACAGACTGCTCTGGATAACTTGAGAGCTTTGTAAGACCTGGTTCTGACTCTTATGTCCTCTTGTGATGGACTAAGATAGCCTGAGCCTTTGGCCCAAAGGCTGCCACTATACTATACCAGTATATTATACTGTTGGTATAGTATATTTCAAGTATACTATACTAGGCATTATATGGAATATACTAGTATATTTATACTTATACTATGCTGAAAATATACCCAGTATATTTGGATTTACCAAACATACCTGGAAGACACCTATACAAGTTTTTGACAAGTTTTTATAAATATACTGCAGTATATTTCAATTATACTATACTATACTGCACAATACTATACCATGTTTGGAAATATACTATACCAAGTATATTTCAGGTCCAGTATAGTATAGTGCAGTATAGTACAGTATAGTATAGTGGCAGCCTTGCTTTGGGAGATGTCTCTGATGAAATTTGGAAGTGTATAAATTGCTGATGTTACATCACAATATCAGAGTACTTCCTGTCAATGTGAATCAACTACAGGGTACCAAATTATGTAGCAATATTTGGAGAATAATAGCTGTGTTCAGACCAAACAAGGTTGCCAAAAAACTGTGTACACTCAGTTGACTTGTTGGCTGGGAGCAGTCAAGAGCTGTAGTCAATGTCAAATGATACACAAAGTTACCAACAAAAAAGCAACTGGGTGTACCAGGTTTTTTTTGGCAACAGCATTAGTTTTGACCACAGCTAACATATTGAAATCCTGGAACCTTCTGTGGAGAGGGGAAGTGGAAAAGTAAAAAAAGTAGACAAAGATACTTATGTCTTGAAACTCCACCGCCAATAAGGTCAAGTCTGTCCTAAGAGCAACAGCTGTGGAGCCAATATTTCATGGGGTATTGCCAATACAGGGATCACCAAAAAAATCAATGCAGCAGTCCTTGCAAAATAAAAAGTGGGGCATCAAGAGTCTAAATTTTTGTTGAGAGTCTCCACATTTGGGGGAACGGTCAGGACTCTGGGTATTATAAATACAGCCCAATACACATCACACCAGCATGAACAATCCAGCTACATACCTTTTTTCAGAATAAAAGCTAACTAAACGGCCCAAAACAAGGGTTTTTTTGTAAATTTAGGTGCTCTGCTGTACAAGTGCTTCCGGAAAAGATATCACACATTTACTCCGCCAGCCCCAACTAATGTGTTGTATCTTTTCCGGATGCACTTGTACACAGACACTTTTTCAGACTCCCTACATTTTGAAAATTGCTTTCCGGGGCTTGTTTGGGAGCTCACAAAATCTAAGCTCCACTACTGAAGCATCCACAACAGTGCCTGGATTGTGTTGGCTCTCAACAATGTAGGGAGGTCAAACACAAAAGAATGCTACAGTGGACCTCACACACCCAGGGGTGAGACATTGAGAGCCCTTATTATTATTTATATTTCAAAAGGGGCTCTCCACAGCCCCCCACATCTACAGCCTATATATGGGCCCCTGATATCATTTGCTATCACCATACATGGGTATCACAAATGCCTGTACAGCCAAATTTTGAAAATCAAATGTATTACTCTGGAATAATACAGCTATTCAAGAAATTTGTGTCCTCAAAAAAATCTTTTTGTTTTTGTCAATGATTGACCAACACTTGAGCTGAAGTACATACAATACAGAGAAGGTTCTCATTCAGTTAGGTGCATCCTCCAGCTGATACATGGCTATATTTGCTCTAATTTGATGTGAGCTTTCAAGAAAAAGAAAATAAAAAAGTTAGGACACAGCATTCATTTCTTGAATATCTGTAAAGGATAATCATTCAAGCATGATTCATCCTAGTTGATCACTAAACCAAGTTTTGCTCCCTGGCTTTAGGTGGACCATTGTGCCAACAGTGTGTTTTTGACCCCCCTACATCTGAAGATCAAGATTGGGGGTCTATTTCAGAGCCCACACAATCTGGGAACTGTTGTGGATGCTCTAAGCCCTTCTTCAAGGGTGCAGTGAATATGCTTGTGAGGAGCTTTTTCAAGATAAATAACACATAGATTGTGATCACAACTATCCTTGTGTATCTGAAAGGCAGAGAGGCCATACTAATGCAAGGTATGACAGATTCCATGGCCCTTTACCTGGCAACAAGAATGCCACAAATGAGACCATAGTTCTGTCTGATGTATGAGGCCATCCCCTCTTGAAACTTGAGATTTATCTATCACCACAAGGGCAAGGTGGTGTGTAACATCAAATTTCATGGATTTAATATGCACAACTGCCATAATGGTCAAGAAGTGGTTTAGAAGTCTGTTGGACCAGTTAAGTATTTCATGATTGGTTTGCCAATCAGCATTTTGAATCACTATTGAATACATTTCTCCTTCAACTCATTCTCAAAATTAAAGGCCTCTCATTCTTGGTCAGGTCATGAGAGGAATTGGTGTGTTGAAAATTAAATGTAGGGACACCTCCACTGGTGGGATGCCGATGGAAGCACAACTTTCTCGGTCTTTGAGGGCATCCGGAACGTTCAAATCACGATATTGGACACATTTTTTAAAAGTGCGGCAATGATTATTCTGGTGATTAACACTGGATCTGAGAAACATATTTTTGAAGATCTTGCTGAGTCAACGGTTTGAAACGACAACTGCAATCTTGGCGGATCAATAGGGGGGCTCAAGTCAAAATATTTTACTACTTTTATCATATTTTTTTTCCCAATTGCATAAAATTTACGCAAAATTTTATGCGTAAATTTTATGCAATTGGGAAAAGTTATACAACATCCCAAATTTTTTTAAGCAGCAAATTTACACAAATTTGCGTAAATCTGCTGCTCAGAAGGAGATCTCAAAGAAATTTTTACGGTCCTTTTTTACAAATTGGGAAAAGTTTTTACAGCACAGTACCGTAAAAAACTTTCCCCAATTTTTTAAGAAAAGGCCGCAAAATTTTTGACTTGAGCCCCCTTAATGGTACCAAACCTTAAACGCGTTAATGCTACGACTAATGTGGAAATTGGAAGATGATGAGCAACTATTGAGAGAGCCTTCAGCAAAGAAATCTTCTATATAATCATTCACCAAAATGAAAAAACCCTAGTCGATTATCATTTTTTTCGATAGACTCGCATATATATAACTTTTTCTTAGAATTGATCTTTCTCTAAACAAATCACAAAGATCAAAACCAAGGAACTTACCAAACCAAAACAAATAACGACAAATAACAAATTTTGCAAGAGATCTAAAAGAAAAAAAACCAAGAAAAAATAAACAAGGGATACGAAAAAATAAACAAGAGATACTATACTATGTAAAATTGATGACATCAAATCAATTTAGCCCATTGTAAAACCACAGGATGAGCTTCGACTCTAAAAAAACCCCTCACATATTATTCCCCCCACACACGTCCACAAAACAAAACACGATGAGAAAAAATTCCACTAAAAATGATACTTGATGAAAGATGAAAATCAGAAATCAAACATACATTCTAGGTTCGAATCCGATAACTTGTAATGAATCTAAACTGGTAGCTCTAGATAATGCTACATACACTTGTCCCTATTCAAACATCCAAACAATCGATCAACTTGTTATTCTAAGTGACCCAAAAAACTTATGATATTTACTTTTTCTATAAGATATTGGAAGAGAATTTGATGATCAACCAAATACTATCAGTTACAGAACGTCTTCAATGATCCGAAAGGTTAAAACCAAAACAAAAGACTACAAATTACCGAAAGATTGTTTAAGGTTTACAATCACTCTCTCTAATGTTTGTCCTTGAGATTTATGTATACTCAATCTACCAAACCCCCCAAAAAAGACCAAGAAAAGAAGTGTGAGTAGTTATTTGATGGAACGATTTAGATAGAGTTGATAAGAAGGTACTAACGCCCAAGCCAGTATAAGTGGAATCTGGGCACGACTAGCCAGCACTGTTCCATCAGCAGCTTCAATATCAAATGAAATTGTCGAAATCGTCATCTTTTTTCCATTTGTAAATTTGACAATCGGAAGACTAACAGACGAAAAAAAAGGAGAAAAAAATTTAATGTTTTCTGTTTTCTGTTGTTTTCTTTCTTTCTTTCTTCTGGAGCTTTAACTTACGGTCTTGACAATTTTCCAACGTTTGGATGATTCGGATCGCTTGGTAATTGATCAAATCCAACAATCACACCCACTGATCCATTCACCAATTTCTCATCTGGCATGTTTTTCACTAACATCACTTGTGCACCAATCTTTAAACTTAATCTAAATGGGACCAACAAATTCTAGGGGAAAGAAAAAAAAACCACAATTGAATCAGAAAAAAATCATATATCATAGTTTAAAAATCAAACTTCATTCACTTTATCTAATCTTGCTTTGATTTCAATTGGTGGTACGTTTTGTAATGGTTCACCTGCTCGATCTTTTGCTTCAAAGATATGTTCAGGTTGATTGATTTTTTTTAAATGATTCGAATTGGCTCTTGTGACTTCATCTTTCCTTGGATATCTATTGTTTTTTTTTTGACAAGTCAATTTTTGAAATTTAAATCATCAATTTTTTGAAACAAAACTATCTCAATTAGATTTAATGTTAATAATCTCAAAATCACTTACAATTCAGTAGGTAAGATTTCGTCATGATATTTAACTGGTCTTGATAAAGATTGTAATAATTTTCGATTCTTGTCACTAACTTGACCAATTCTCATTTCATTTAACAATTCCACAAATTCTACAAAAAAAGTCCATATGATCATCATGAGTCCATCAATTTCGATTTATCTCAGAATTCTCAAAGAATTTTCTGTGTGTGTTTTGACTAACCTCGATTGGTTTGTCTAAAAACCAATTTAAGTGTAATGACTTCCGGTACACATCTTGGCCAACAAGTAGCTTGAAAAGCATAAGGTAATGCTTCACCAATACTCACAGGTGGTAATTGAAAAAAATCACCCGCTAAGATTAATTGAATCCCACCGAATGGGACTTCATTCCTTCTAATTGATCTTGCAATATATTCAAGTTTCTAGATCATAGAAAAGGGTTTTTGTCAACTTTGAGAAACTTGGATGAAATGGAAAAAAAAGATTGTGGACTTACGTCTAATAAGATTCCATCAACCATTGAAACTAGATTTTTTTTTAAAAAAGTCAAATAAGTGATTCACTTTTAAACCCATCATTTTCAAGAAAGATTTGTGCAAAAAAATTAAAAATCCTACTGACTTTCATCAATAATCAAAACCTCTACCATCTCCCATCTTTCTTTACTATGTTTAGATTTCTTAACTTTCCCAACCAATTCAGCTTTTTTTTCTTTACCTAAACCGATACCAGCAAACGAATGTAAAGTAGTACCCGACAAATGTGATGCTGCTATACCCGTTGAAGCAGTGACGGCTATGTTTCGTTTATGGTATTTGAAATAATCGATAATCGTTTTGAGTAAGAAGGATTTGCCTGTGCCTGTTTTAAAATAGAAAATGTGATTTTTTGGTTTGTGGAAATCGGATGAGTTTGAGAGGTATGGGATTGGGATAAACTTACCTGCTGAACCGGTGAAGAAAAGTGATCTACCTTCTTTAACTGCATCAAATACTTTTCGTTGATCGTCTGATAGCTTTCGGTATGAATGTTCCTAATCAAATCAAAAATGTAGAAAATGAGCCATTCTTGCAAAAGCTTAAATTAGAAACATGTATAAAGTTGACTAACAGGATTTTCCTATGATATTATTGTATTGAAATCAAAAGTTTCTTGGGTTAGTGTTGTTAGCTCTACATTGTACACGAAATACTTGAGAAATCGATTTACGTGAGCATAAGTCGAAGCTCTTGCAGCTCTTTGAAAGTCTCCCTCAAGATCTTCGTAAAATGGATCATCGATGACTACAAAAGTTATAAGAGAAAGATATTGAGTAGAATCAGTTTGGTGTTTCGGTTGATTTTCTTTGTTCGATCAAAAAGAATCTTGAATGAAATTTGAACAACTCACTTTTCAATTTCTTTTCCTCTTGTCCATAATTCTGCTCGGCATCATGATCATCATCATCATCTTCTTGTCCATGAAAGTATCTTTTACGTTTGTGAAGTGTCGGATAAGACGTTCCGATTTCTTCTTTAATACGTTGACCATGAAGTTGTGTATGATTAGGTTCTTCTTTAATCCCATTTCGAAACCAAGTTTGAATTGTCTGATTTGAATTTGATTTTGATGTTTCTTCTTGAGATCCGATCTCAAGCCATTCACGTGCTTGTCTTTCAGTTGGAAAACTTTTATGTCTTGCATTTCGAAACCCTCTGACTTGTTCTTCGGTTTCTTTCCATGTTGTATATACGTTCGGTCCACCTCTTCCTACTCTTACTGCATAGAATTTGGGTAAGGCCATGATGAGAATGATGAGGATGATAAGGAGATAGCAGAATGATGAGGTTTGATCAAGTTGAGTTTTTTAAAAGTGTACCACCCCAATGTTTTTACAGTCGTTTTCAAAAAGCTTGCCGAAATTTGCCCGCAAAACTCGAGCGATCTGGCGGTGAATTAGCGGCAAGCTTTTTGAAAACGACTGTATCATGTTTGTAACACTCTGTATTGATTTGCTGAGGAACTCTGATTACATATTGATATGTACACGCACTCGCAGTGAATGTTTTTGGATAGACGCGTCGGATCGAAGATCACGTGATGATGGTGTTTGAAATTTGAGTTTCCTGATTATGTAAGGCTCGCTTAACTCATCAATGCTCTATCGATTTACATTTCTCAGTTCTGACTTGGCTTGAGTCTTCAAACTATCAATATACATACTTGACTGACGAATCGATCGACTCAAACGAAAAAGAAGATGATATAAAGGAAACAATCAAGATTGTAAATGAATGAATCGAAAGGTGATCATAGGAAATACGAAGTGAATTGGTCGATTAAATGAAGTGATTAGTGAGTAAAGTAAATGCAATGGGTTTTGAAGAAAAGGAACTAATCAATCAATCATCTCATGACATCATCATCATCATCTAGTCATTCATCCAATCTCATCATCAACATCACCATCACAGTCTTCTCACACAAGAAACTAGGATCACAACATGAGCAAACTAACCATCAATCAATCATCCATCGAACTAGAATCTCATTTATTAACCACTTATGATAATCTATTAAACAGTACAATCAAATCAAATCAACAACAACTCAAAATCAGTCATCTCTCATTATCGATCATTAAACAATTCTTGATTCATTTCACTCTAGGATCTCATCATCAAAAGAAAGATGCTATCGAGTTTATCAAATCTCAATCTCAACTTCAACTCAATGGTAACTTAATCTTTCATCTGTTTCAATCAATTCAATCTTATACTGATCATCTCTTTCAAATCATCCTTAGCCACCATGATCTTGATCAGATGGATCTCAAAAATTTCAGATCGAATCTTATCTACCGATCCACATCAAATCGATGCTGAACTTCTTCATCAATTCGTTTTGGCTCTTACTCTGATCCAAGGTCTTCTTCACTTACATCCTCCATCTCAAAAGTTATTCTCATCTCAATTCAACTTACAGGTCTGTTAGCATTCCAAAATCAATTCATTTTTAATCCTGAAATCCTAACATGAATACTTCTTTTTGGTGACCTTTTTTTCAGATCCTTCTCAGGTTCCTTTCACCTTCTTTAGAGATTCGTGAATTACAATCAATCACGATCCCTTTACTTGATTTACTTTTAACTACTTTTATAGATTCAAGTTTTAATAAACAACTGTTTGAATCATCAGGTGGACTTGAAATCTTAATTAAAGCGATGAAAAATAAACAAATCAAAAAAGAATTTCGTGTAAAAGTTCTTGAAACTGTTTGGGGTTGGTGGATTGATGAAGAACTTGATGATGATGATGATACTCATAATCCGATTTCAAAACCATCTAAACTGAATCCATTTCAACAACAAAACACTCCAACTCAATCTTCTGTTACTTCAACTCCTGTTAGATCTACTCATCATCAATCTGATCGAAAAGGTCGAGGAATCGATCGAAATGATGAAAACTCAAAAGGTTAGTCTTTCAATTTACATCGTGTCCTATTCAACATGTTCTGATTATTTTTTTAAAGCTACTCCAGGAAACTCTCGTCTGCGACCAATCTCGTTACCACCACCATCCATTACCACCACCATGGCCGATAACGATCTTGAAACGTCAGATAAAGAAACACCAAGAGCTCGTAAGATGTCAACTCCAATTCATACGCCTACTCCAGATTCTCATCGGACTAGAGGGATCGGTCAAGGTCATTCTCGAGTACAATCATCAGATAGGAGATTAGGTTCATCTGATATGATCAAATCATCATCAGCGCCAAGTCCTATGGTCAAATCAACCACCTCAAGTCCCATGATCAAATCATCTTCTTTATCAAATGGACTTCCGAGTCCGATGGTGAAACCTACTTCTTCTGGTCTTCCAGGAATCACAACACCCGTGATGAAATCTTCTTCTGGTCTACCTGGTACTCCGAATCCAATAGTGAAACCACCATCATCATCAACAACAACTTCGATTCCTCCTCGATTGACTGGTGATCCATCCACTAGGTTACGGCAGATGTTAGAAAACACAGCCAGTGATTTCGTGCCAGCTACACCTCAACATAATCGAATCAAACTTACACAAACACCTACTAGAAGAGGATACGGATTAAACAAATCACAACCGGCCACTTCTCGTAGTAGTCATCGACAAGCTCATCTGTCATCAGAGAGTGATGATATTCCAGAAGAAAGTGATGAAGATCAACAAGAGACACCTACTAAATTGTTTCCTAAAGCTGAGAAATTGGGAAATGGATTGGGTCATCAAGCTTTGAGTGGGAGAAGGGTTGGAGGGATTAATACGCCACAGAGGATGTTGAGACATAAACAGTCTGCTTCATTAGGATCGATTCAGTTTCAAAGTACGAAAGCTAGGATCGGATCTGATGAAGATCAAGAATCGCCACAAGTTTATCGAAGAACGAATCGAGAAGAAGCTTTTTGGAATGGAGAAAGTAGTGGAGATGATCAACCAAAAGGAGGAGTGAAGTATGAGAATGAAAAACGAAGGAATCGAACGGATTTACCATTGAGTAAGGATCGAATCAATTTAAGAGAACGAACGTCTTCTTCTGAGACTACGAATCATGAGACGAGTTTGAGTCAGGATGAAGGACCTCATAAAGAAGAAGCTAAGAGAAGATTACGTAGGTCTAGAGGATCGATAGATGGAGTGAAATTAACTTCGATCTTGTCTACTACTACAGCTTCTAGACCTGGAACACCTAATTCAAGTCATAGTAGACCTATTACGCCAGTTTCTAGACCTATGACTCCTTCATCTAGTGCTTCTTCAACACCTTTGAATAAGAAGATGTTTTTAACTAAACCTAATCATCATCAACCATCAAGTTCATCAAGTTCATCATTAACCAACACCCCGAATATGAAAAAAGTCAATAAGAAAGATATCGAAATGATCATTAATGAAGATAGTGGAATACTTGAACAAACTTTTGGTGAAGGATCAGGAGCTGGAGGAAGTAGTAGTAGTGTGATGAGTATTAAGAAACATCAAACGCTTGAAAAGTATATGGGAAATAGTGAACAACTTTTAAGGAGGTTTGAAGAGATGAAGATCGGATTGAATATGATGATGGTTAATGGAACTTAATGCTTCTTGGAGAATGGTTGGTTCGAATTATGGGGAAGTCTAAAAGATGTTGGAGTTAGGAGACAAACGGGAAAAAGAAACACCAAAAAAAAAGAAAATGAAAGCTTTTGATGAGGTTTTAAGAAGGGTTTGGGTTGAAAGAAATGGTTTGGGATCAGAGAGGTTTGAGATTTTCTTTGGGAGTGATGATTTGAGTTTGGTTAGTGTACATAGTATTAAACTAGTTGGTTTTCTTATATATATATATATAGAGTTTTGTGGTTATATATTTTATTTTGATCATTTTTTTTATTTTTTTATTTTTTGAATAAGAAGAATAACTTCATGTTGGTATAATTGTGACAACTGTTTTGGTTTGGTTTGGTTTGATTTGATTTACTTTTTTTTTTCAAAAGGCTTGTATATTATCTAGTAATCAGTAACTTCATTCTTTTAAGAAATAATTATCTATTTAATTTAAGAAATCAGTGTGTTTTTTGAATTGTTTGAGATTGTGAGGAGGTCATTGGGATCGTGTTTGTTTTTTATGTATTCAGATTCATTTTAAGAGCCAAAGTTGATGGTTTGGGCTGGTAGTGGCATAAAGGGTTTGCAACTTAAGGCATGTTTGAGTGGTACATAGGTCAAGAGTTGTTCAAGTAGAATGAAGAGATTGTGGTAGGTTTTGAGACGTACATCAGGAGCAAAATTGGTAAGAACAAATGTGGATCAACCATTTTCAAGCTTTATAATGAGACACATTTCTTGTGGGGAAAACTTAGGACCAATTTTGCAACAAAATTTTGAGATAAGTCATAAATCCTTTGTTTAAGCTTTGGTCTGACATGAGTGAAGGATTTTGATTTATTTATTCCTATGTGAGAAATAATTGATTTATGTATGAAAATCTTTGAGAAGCATTTTGAAGACTTGATAAGAAAAAGTATTGTGAAAAGCCCTTTTATGTGATACAAAGAGATGACTTTGTTTTTAGTTGGATCATTCATTCTTTGATCAAAAGAGATTCAGTACTGTTTATGATGTATAAAGTTGTGTACCAAGCATACCACAGAACCCAAATATCAAAACTCACAAGAATCTCAGTATAACACCGCGGGAATTAATTGGTTCAAAACCCGATTGAACCAAATTTTGGTGTCCGGGTTCGAAATTTCCTTGAATCATGAATTTCGTTCACAATTTGTTTGCAATAGGTTTGCCAATTGCCCTCGAGCGGTACTCTGTTGGCCCCGCGTATGTATGTACAGCTACAACATACAACAACAACCCCATTTCCAACCATTGAGCCATCTTTCCTTTGTCATGCATCCTCAGTCTTGATGCTCTGCACATTGGTGAATCTGTGGTGACTGTTGTTGAAAGGTGTTGTTGTTGTATGATGTAGCTGTGCATACACCGGGTGAGCAGAGTACCGCTCGAGGGAAATCGGCAAACGTATTGCAAACGAATTGTGAACAAAATTCACAATTCGAGGAAATTTCGAACCCGGACACCAAAATTCGGTTCAATCGGGGTTCAAACTAATTAATTCCCGCGGTGTAAAGAAGGCTCACAAAGATTCTGATCAAAGTGTTAAAAACTCTATATGTAAGAATAAAATTTTATTTGAGAAGATTATCAAGAAAAGTTAACAAATAGACAAACAAATAAAGAGATTTTATATAGAAGAGATTTTATAAAGATAAAATGAAAACTGATGTCGTATCTTTTTCCGCGAGACTGAGTGCCTGTACTACATCGCAAAAGAAAGAAAAAGATTGTAAATAGGATTGAATTTGAAAGTTTTGAAAGAAAGAAACAAAAAAAAACCATCAAATTTTGATTTTGAGCCAGTCTTGAACAATCAAAAGATCAAAAGAAAAATGGAAAGGAATAAAAAACCATAATCCAATTGATTATTGTAAAACGGTCATATTAGGATTCATACAATCAGTAATGCCTAATTTACTTGAATTCTCAACACTAGTATTAGATGTTGTAGAATTAATAGAATTTTTAGTAACCAGATCCGACGAATTTGAAAGTTTTTTAATCAAAACCTTTTCAAATCCAAAACCCCATAAGAAGATCAATAAGATCCCAACCGAAAGATGACCATAGAATCCAAGTAAACGATAAGCCAAGTAAGATTTTTTTAAATCTAATAAAACAAATGGAATCACTAAATAATTTAAATTAGTTTGAGTTAAGATTAATGAAAGGAAATCGTAAGATGATTTAAGTGCTAAGGTTGATGAAGAATTTAAAAAGAACGGTCGGATCGATCTTCGAATCGATCTGGCTAATGCTTGTAAAACTCCACCAGATAAGAAAACAAAAAAGTAGGCGGGTAAAGGTCCATGCCAACTATATCAATCAAACCCAAACCCAAACCGAAATCAGGATTTCTTTGATCTCAAGAAGAAGAAAAAGAAATGAGAATTATCTGTAGACTTACGCAGCAGAAGCAGCAAAAGTGGCCATAGTCGAACCAAATCCAGGCTTCTTAACTTTAACCTTCCCATCACTTTCTTTAATGTTCAATTCAGACACCCTTTTATAAACCGTTTCTCTTAACCAAATATTAGTTTTCATATTCCAATGATCAAAGATGCCTTTATAATTTTGAGCGAATTCGATCTTGGTAATATCAATGTTTTGACCTATATCTGATTTAAGAGTGATTGGATTATAACCACAACCTGAGATTGTGACAGAGGCTTGAGCAAAGAGCCAGACTAGATAGTAACGTGAACGGGCCATAAAACCTGCGATTTGAACATGAAGAAACCTTTTTTTGAAAACCAAAGAAAATCCAAATGAATCAGTTCATTGTATTATTGATCTTCAATGGGTTTTTTCTTTGGATTAGAAAACCAAAAAAGCTTACCTTTGGATCCAGGATTTGTTTAAAAATTGATCTTCTAACATCTTTTCATAAGACCAAGTTGAACCATAAATTCCAACCAATCCAGCAAAACCAAAGCCTAAGATTAATGATTTAAAACTATCTTGAAACCTATTGGGAGATGAAAGATTATTTCTTGAATAGAAATTCATGTAATCTTTAAATGGAATGGCAGGTCCTACAAGTAAACAAGGAAAGAAAAAACTAAAAAATTGAAAAAGAAAACAATGTTAGTTTGTTTTGTTTCGATTTTCGGAAGGTTAAAGGATTGATGATGTACCAGTATGATAAGAATTCTAATAAGCTTGGTAATTTGGTGATCGAGGTGATGGATTGGTATGAATCTAATTCGGCTTTAGATCTATGATGACCATCATAAACGTTCCAAGTAAAAGTAGAAAGTTTCATCACTAAAACCATTTGTGCACCTGTGATCTAAAAAAAAAACATCAAATGTCTTCATTAAATTTTTGTTCATGATTTGAGTTTTATAAAACGATTTTGGATTTTGGATTAGAAAAAGAAAACTTACTTCAACTGTTTCATAAGGAATCTTCCAAATAATCCTTTTAGAATGATTAAAAGTAAGATGAGTTAATAAACCAGCAAAGATTCCCCAAACCATTCGTTTTGCTTTTGATTTCTTGGATCCATCTTTATCTTTTTCTTGACTTAATGGAATAATATAATGTTGACAAATGAAATAAGTGATCAATGAATCTAATAAGAGTTGAATGAAACCTGATTTTAAATTAAAGATACCGGTTAGAAAATAAATTGAGATTGAGATTGAATAGATGTGAAAATAGATTGGGTTTAGTTTTTGAAGATGTGGGATTGGAATCGAGAGTGGGATTGAGATTAATAGTGAGCTTAATAGTTTGAGTATGTCTGGCTGTTTGTTTTGTTTTGTTTCGAAGTGATCGTGGTGGTGATGGTTTGATGGATGGTGGATTGTGATATGGAAAGTGAAGTGAGTTAGTTTTTGTTTGGTTTATACTCTTTCAGGAATTTCTTTGACTTACAGCAACACCAGTTAAAGCAGAACCAATTAACCACCAACCACCTGTTTGAGTCGAACTCATCCTTCTTTTACTTCTAAGTCTATTCAGCTTATAATCGAGGTAGGATTTGATTCTGGAAAGATGAGAGTCTTTAATAGGTTGAGTACTGTCTTGAGAAAATTAACCGAGCTTCATTTAAACTGTGCTTCTGAACTGAACACTCACCGTTTAAAACGTCTTTTGCTCAATTAATTCTCAGGAGCCCTATTGTATCTCTCAGTATGTATCTCTCCCCTGATAATATCAATCTCTCCCCTTCAACCTCCTTTCGGTACCATCTTATAAAAACATAACATCCCCAAACCTTTTGGTAGCATTCAGTATCTGAGCTTGTACGACTTGGAACAGCAAGATGAATTAACTTTTATCAAGTCTCCTTCAACTTGAAAATTGACATTTTTTTTGGCGATGTGATGATTATCTTTTTGATAGACTAAGGAAAAAGTCACTCCATGATCGTACAAAATATACACATAGTGTATGTTGAAGGTGATCAAGGAGATTCATCAGAAAGTGGATTTGCAAGCTTCATGATCGCGCTTCCCAAAAGGTTTGTGTTTCAAAGTGCTGTTCCATTTCTACTACGGGCGTAAGGTTTTAGGTTTCAAGCTTCCTAAACTTATGTAAATCTGTACAAGTATTTATTGCACATATTTCCTATTGTTCCTTCCTTGTCCGGGCCCTCAGCCTTATGCTACCCTACCTAGGTTCTCCTAAGGTGAGGGTACTGTGGGGGGGGGTGTCCAGAGCCGTGGGGTGTACCGGTGCGTCTGCGGGGCGCTATTTCTAGGGCCCTGCGTGTTCAGACGTACCGGTGCGCCCCGTGCTCTGGGCCGCGTAAAGTGCCTGAAAGGCGCCGGAGGACTCGGTCCTAGCCTACCCGGTCTTGGGGTATCGGAGAGCCCCCGAGCTCGCTAGGACCCAATCTCTCCGGTAGCCCATGACTTCGGCTTCACGGCCGGCATCTTGTGGCGGCCGATCCCTCTTACCCCCTTTCTGTATGCTCTCATTCAATTGTACAGATTTGTGACTCAATTGGTTTCTCATTTCCTTTAACCTTATTCTCAGCAAGTGGGTTTCTCACGGTCTCTCTTTTCTTTTACTCCTCTCTCTGAATCGTCGTTCTCATCAATGCTCATTACTCTATGAGTTTGTTTTCATTTCCCTCGGTCTCATTTCATTCATTTTAACTCCACTTGTCGTAACCAACTCCTGTTCTCTTCTATCTCGCTTCTGTCAAACTCTCTCAGATACAACTCGTAAGCTTTTGATTTCCATCGTCCCTTCTCGACTATGGTTTCCAAAGGTACTTTCTCGTTCCACAAGAACGATGCCCCGCCAACGCGAAACAAATGTCCTGTGAGGCCATCGTAACCATCTTTCAACCACGATTTCCGTAGGATCCCCATCACTCCTCCTTTAGTCAACGATGTTCCTACGTCACCATCAGGGTGTGTAAAGCTGAAAAGCGGATCTTCCACACCTAAACCATCTTCTAACTGTTTCTTCAACAATCGTTCTAGCGCTCCCACTGGGTCTAGCAATGATTTATGTTTACGTAAGTACAGGTATTGAATTTCTCCAGGCTTTGACGTCTTGGCTTCTCTCAATGCTAATCTTGCCATGCTTCTGTCGTCTGTCCACTCTAGATCGCCAAGCCTTATCCTTTTCGTGATCCTCAGCGGTACCAACTCTCCCAACCGAGCCATGCCCCAGAATGCGATCAAGGCCACAGTAACCGCCAGTTCGCCTGCTTCGTCGCCTCTCTTCATATGCCTTAGTAGACTAACCAGATGCTTAATTTGCACCGGGTTCTTCAGGGGTTTCTGTTCTTGTCTCGAGTCTAGGAGCTCTAATGCTTTTATACATAGGTTGATTTCTTTTTGCTCAATGTCGGGGAATTTTAAATGATGAAATAGGTGCCATGCTCTTAGGCCGGAAATGTAAGCTTCAACCGTTGATGGTTTTATTTCTTGGTTCGTCTTTTCTTCTCCCTCTGCTTTTATGCCTGCCCATTGAATAAATAGTCTGATGTTTTCCGAGGTCGCGGGTAGCAATTGATGTTTCTCTAGATTCTCCGATTTGCCGTACTTCATGAATTTCGTAATAGCCGAGTTGTATTGTAACAGGGTATCCGCTGACCAGCTTCCACCTTTCAGCATGAGTCGCTGCACCGGATCTTTCTCTAGGTTCAAACGCCCCCTTCTATCGCTAACGAAATTCAACACTTTCTCAATGTCGACTGTTTTCTTGTTGGAAGTAGTCATGTTTGGTACAGGAAGGGTTCTAGGTCGGTTGGTAAGTCTACTTTTACCTTGTCTCGCTTTTTGAGTTTGGTTGATATGATTCCTCTGGACAGTTCATCCGCGTCGTTATCGCCTGACTTGACCCTTTTCTGTTTTATCGTGCACTGACTTGTCGTTAGAATCTTTTGTATCTTTTTCCATTCGTTATTAACAGCACGGTCCTTCGATCGCGAGTTTCGCATTGCCGCTTCGGTGGTAGTGTTGTCTGTCCAGACTACGAAACTCTTTCCTCTAACTTGTCTCAGCTTTATTATCATTAACAGTCCGATTCTCACCGCTACGGTCTCAATCCAGGCTATGTTCCTCTTTATCGTATCTGTTCCTATGTCATTCCATCCGGGTTTCAGCTTGAAACGACTCCAATTTGGTCCTATCAACACTCCGATCCCGTACGACGTCGATGCGTCCCCCACCCAGCTTACATCCTCTGCTCTGGTGTCGGGGATGATTCGCATATGATCAAACGTTGTCAGTACTGATAGCCACTCCTCAAGATCTTCTCTAACGGCTTCTGTTATCCCTCGTCTGGCTTCTGGGTTCCTCCAGGCTTCTTTCCAGCCGTATAGTTCTTTCATATAACATCTCATATCCGGAAGTATGTAAGTCGTGTGTCCTAGACGTCCGACAAATTTGTCAACGTCTTTCTTTTTCCACTTCGCCCCTCCTAAAAGGTCCGTAATGTTCTGTATCCGTTGTTCAATTTTCTCCGTCGGAAGTCTGACTGTTTTACTCCTTCCGTTCCAGATGAATCCCAAGTATTTTTGTTCATCGGCGAAATCTGAGTACTTTGTGTGGTTAGTTTTTACGCCCATGTGTTGGCTCAAAGTAAGGACATCTTCCATTCTAACATTGCTTCCGACTTCCCTGATGATAAGATTATCATCAACCCATCTGAAGATCTTGGGGATGTTCAGAGCTAACATCATAATTTCCTTCCAGACATCGGCGGCTCTACCAAACGTTCCACAACCTGCCACCCCACCAAAACCCACTCTCGTATCTATCCATAGACGGTTGTGAAAGTCGAGTATTAGTAGGTATCGCCATTGTGAGGGGTGTGTCGGTATCTGCCGATACGCCTTCTCCCAGTCGAAAATAGCTAACTCCCATTTGTTTTTACTATTTTTTAGGAAAACAGCCACTACGGCAAAGTCGTCCCAGGTCGTCTCAAAGTCTTCTTTGTCGACAAATGAGTTTACCAAAGGGATACCTACATCATGTCGAGGGAACCATAGGTTGCTTATCATTCGGAAGGACCCGTCATTATTCGTGACGCTGCCCATCGGATTCGAACGAAAGAAGCCGAAATGATCGTATACCTCCTGGTGAGTAAATGGTCCAAATAGTTTGCCTTCACCTTTCTCTTTCTCGATCATTTTCTCTATCTTGTCCCTCACCAGGTTAGCTGATTCCTGGTTTGGTGGAGTGTACCATGGTCGGTCTTGGATTGTATGTACCGGTATACCTTGGTCAAAGCCCTCTTTAAAACTTGTAAGCACATCACCCCATTCTCTCATCAAGTCGAACTCCTTCATCAACTCTTCCCATTCCGGCACGTTCAGTTCACATTTGACGCCTGATGGGAAGCGGTCATCTCTCCTCACGGTGAAGTGCGGGATTCTGAAGTTTACTTCTGGGGTTTGGGAGTTCATTTCTTGACTACAGTCATTCGGTTGCATGGAGGAAAACATGGGGTCATTGTCAGTTCACATTCTCACATCTCACTTGGGTTTCTCATCTTTTAGTCAGGTTATCCCACAAATTTGTCAATTCTCTCATTTTCATTCCATCTCTCCTATCTCTTTTTTTTTTTTTTCAGAGACATGATGAGAGATTTGTTTGTGGTTCCTTCTTCTTAACCAACTACAAGAAACTTTTCGACAGTAGGAAAAAAAACAATTAGGTATGTAGTACCAATCTGGCACTTACTTCTTATGAGCGTAGCCTCTTCCAACATTTCCTTTCCCGTTTCCTTGGTTCTGGTGACCTGAGTTTTCCTCGATTTGTCTACTTCTTCCCCAATTTCCTGGGACACTTCCCGATCCACTCTGACTGCCATACCCAGATCCGCCTTGGCCACTACTCGACCCGCTCTCTCCTCCATTGCTTCGGCCGCCTTTGAAGTTTGGTCGATAATTATGAATATAATTTGCGGGATTACCTTTATAATTAGGATTGATGGCGAGCTTGTGATTTGCTGGCTGGGTCGGGGGTTGGAACGTTGGGGCGAAGGTACTAGTCGATGCATGAGTGACGTGAGGTTGGCGGTTGAAGATCGCTTGGGTCGTTTGATGGTGCGTGTTGTGCGGTTCACTTCGATTTTGCGCCCAAAGTGCTGACCTAACCGATTGGGTACCTTTGTTGACTTCCCCTTTCTCCTCTTTCGACTCTCCCCTGCTCGGATCATCCCACGCTGATGTTTTTCCTTCCCAGTTCTCTCCGTCAATCGGGTCGATGTACTGTTTGACTTGTCCGTGGGCGTATGGGTTATCTAAATAAAGATCATCGCCTCTCTTTATCGTATTCCTTTCAGCTCGTTTTTCAATTGCCTTATTCCAAACACCGATATCTGCCATATCTTCCTCTTCACCAACTCGAAAGGTAAGATATGTCTGTCTCATCTCAATATCGTAACGGAACGCTACAACCCAGCCACCATCGTTTTCATTTTGAATCTCCAGGACGTTCGCGAAGTGTTCTACCATCGACGATACGACTTCATCATGTTTATAGAACTTCAGGTATTCCATGAATAAATCCTTCTGTCGGTGCCATTGGGCCACCGAAGTTCGCCATTCGCTCGGTACCGGGGAGCCGTTATAGGCTATCGAGTCGGCATCTTTGGTTTTCGTCCGTGATGATTTATTGGACGTGAGGTTGAGGTCCTGGCGGAGCCAGTTGGGATCAAAGATCGAGAGGGGGATGTACCTCGAAAGGTCTCGCATCGCAGATGCCCAGTAAGGTGACAAACCGACTAAATTGTTTAACAATTCTTTCCCCTTCACCACTTTGATTTTCTTTCTGGTGGTCGTTTCTTTCACGCTCTTTTCACCTGAAACGTTCTGTTCATCTGACTTTCCTTTTGACTTAAACTCCACCCATTTCCTTTTATCCGCGCATAATTGGTCGTACAGGTTTCTGTTGTGGGAATTGAAAGCTGCGTTGATTTGAGCATCTAGCATCAACATCATCGGATCTCCTGTCTCCTCCGGATTTGACACGACCGTTCGTTCAATGACAGGTTGATCTCCTGTGGAGTCTGGTTCCCAAAATTAGGTTCTTGTCAGTATCCAGCTTTCGTTTTTGTTTTCCTTTCATCTTTTTTTTTTTTTTTTTTTTTTTTGGATGTGTTCCATTTTGGATGTGTTCCGTTTGGATATTGTCCTTTGGATCTATTCCGTTTGGATCTATTCCGTTCTCCCAAAGGAGTTTTGTCATCTCCTAGGAGGCATTCCCATTACTGGAAGAATTGTTTAATTTCAAAGCTGTGGCTTACCATCTATATCATCATCTAGGTAGATACCTCCTACTATTCGGTTCCTCCTTTCATCAGTCTTTCTAGTTCCATCCACACTGCCATTTTCGGATTCACTTTCCCATTTGTCTTGCCTCCGGTCGGTGTGGGCATTCGTCGTCTGTTGTTGGGGGGGTGGGGGTCGGTTCGGTTGGGTAGACTGATGTGCTAATTGAGTAAGGACGGGGGGGTTGCTCGTTGGGGGGTTTGTCGATGTCGACGGATTAGTGAGTTGGTTGTCGAAGGGTTCCATGGGTGCTTTCCCCTTTGGTTTCTTGATCCTAACGGGTCCAACTAGCTGGGATCCTGACTCTGGTTGTTCTCCGTTCTTGCGCTTGGATTGTCTGGTCGGTGCCGTCCTTGCTTTAACTTGTTTGCTTGCTTTCAACTTATTGCCATTTTGATTCGCCTCTTGATCTTCTTCTTCAGCATTCTCTTCTTTCTCTCCACTCTTGTTTCCTTTCCGTTCTCCTTCTCTGTCTTCATCGTCTGCTCCTTGATTTCTCTCCTCCCCTTCTCCCGTATTTGCTCCCCCTTCTCTTAAGTTGTCTCCTTCTTTTTCATTGCTTCTTCCTTCTGTGTGATTTCTAACTTGGTCGTCGATTTTCTTCTGAAAGTCTTTGCTGTCCATGATCGGATTGATATGTTTTGATTCTTAATCTTGTGAAATTTGGTATAATGAGTAATTATTCGGTTTTTAAATTTGTTTAATATGATGATTATATGTTATGACGGAAGACTTATTCTGATGGAAAAAGAGAAAAGAAGTTTTCGAAAAGAACTCGAAAAAGAACAGAAGGTTAAGCTCTGATGAGAATGCTTAACTAAAGCTACGGAAGCTTGTCTTTCAGGAGACTAGGCGGGGAGTTGGGAGTGATAAGGTTTGGAGGAGAATTTTGTTTCCTTCTCCTGTATCACCACCTCCCGCGACTTCGTCGCATATGTAAATATTACATGTGCACCTAGTCTCCCCTTACGCTCTACGTGCTATGGAAGTCCTCCACACGTCGTGCCTTTGGTGTGAAGCGGCAATCAAATCCAATTGGTCGTTTCGAAATCCATTCAAACAAATCAACACCCAAGAATCCTTAATCAAAACCTAACCTCGAGCAGCTTTGTTCATAAATCTTGCAGAGTGGCCAGGTTATCAACAGTCCTACTTTAGATCATGAGGCTATCCGCGTTAGGCGATAGGATCGCTATATTTGTTAGTACATATAAACAGTGCTGTGCTCTCAAGTTTCAACAGCCGAGCTGCGTACCACCTCTTTCACAATCAAATCTTGATCCACGTAATATTTGGAGCATTTGACAATGAAACAGATCATTTTGTGTCACGTGACACCACAACTTATATTGTTTACATTGTTCTTTGATATGGCGGTATCCATAACTTATCTATAAATGTTCATGAGTTCTTTGATATCTTATAATACTTTTTGCTTTGATGTAATCTTGAACAAATATAAGCAAATGGTGTGTAATAGTATCACATATATATCTTATAGATTTCTGGAGTAATATCATCAGGATCAGGGTTTGTTGAATTCTTTAATCCATTTTCAAAAATTGACATACCATAACACTGCCAGCATTAAATATGTTCCCTGGTCGGAACATGACCTAGGCTGGGAATATCATTGAGAGAAGAATGGTGCATCAAATCATCTTGCACTGCACATCTGAGCCATAAAGCATACACTACATATGTGCAAACATCTGAGTAAATCCTTAGCTATCAGCTACATACAGGTCCGCTCAGTTTTCTGCTCATCTAGATAAGAAGTTCATGTGTAATACATGCTGTAACTTTGTTCAGATTGAGCCACACATCTCAAAATATTGACTACATATATCACAATGGCTACTCAGGAAATATTCATGGAACTGTGTAACAGTAGCAGGATGGGAATGTGATCACTAGGACCCATATTCCCATCTGGGAACCTCTTTAATGCTGGCAGTGTAAGTTTATTTGATTCAACTTGATCCCAAATAAATAAATAGGTATGTACCCTCATCTTGAAAAATTGAAGTGATATGGTTTTTGTCATTTTTTGATTATAAGTTTTGAAAGCTTGCTAGGAGCTTGTTTTGGGAAAATGCACTAGTTCAAATTGATAACTTTCAAGTTGAACCCCATTATTCTTCAGTAACAAGCTGTATCCACAAGCTGGACTACAACAATCCTTTCTCCAAAAGAGTTTTTACAATTTGAATATCTCAAAGGTTTATTTGTGTTTTGGGTGAGAGATGGAGATGGGATAGTCTTAGCTTAGCCTTAGATTCATGATGATATCAGAGAGATAATACAAGATTTATCTCAACACATTCAAAGCATTACCTGAGCTTAACTGACCTTTTCTCACGGTATGTTTTCCACCAGGGTTGGAGCAAAGCTTCAATCTGAAACATCAGGAATGATATCTGCATCAACAAGAACAGTGTATATAAGATCAAGCAGAAAATCCCACATCAACTTCACTAAAGGATTGAATGCAAAACCAAAAATATACTAGCTAAACATGTTATCAGTAATGATTTTGATGAAACTCCTTCCATCTATATTGACCCACACCTCCTCAAGTAAGTACAGAATAGATGTTCATGAGAAATACACCTTTCAAGCTGATCAAATTTATAGCTGATGGATTACTGGAATATATGCAAACCCTGACTGTTCCAACCAAATGATCAATGAGAGACACAAGTGTCATTTCATCCCAGGTAGTAATTTCAGGCTTGTGTTCAGGTTGTTTAGTTGTGAGCTGCAAGAGTGTTCAACAGAGTCTGGCTCTCATCCTCTTTGAAGAACAGTAGCTAGCTCAGATCAATGCTACTGGACTGGGAAACAAGACAAACAATAGTCTCAGATAAAGCTCAAAGAAGTAACACTGGATGATCATTGGGGATGAGGTGTAGTTTGTGTTTGTAGAAGGAAGCTTGGATGAGCTTGGATGAGAAAAGAAAATGTTTTTGGCACAACAACATAGTGCATAAGACAACAACACAATACAATGAGGTTTAAACCTTGAGAGTCAATAATGGAAAATAAGACTTTAGTTGTTGTGTAATGTGCAAGAAATAAATTACACAGAGGAAAGAATATGTTTCAACAGTCCTTCTGAGTGTCTCAACATCGAGGCGGTCTGCAATGGACGCAATAAAAACCCTGGCATTTGACTTTTTGATCATGCTAGAGGTTCTAGTGACCTTTCTTGACACTCATGAAGTACAAAATTGGGTAGATATAGGTATGGTGATAGGTTCGAGGAAGTGAGTGCTTTACAGGCTGAGGATGGTAGTTGTATCTCTCCTCAGTCCTGGGTAGGCTGCATTTGAAATCTTAACTTATTTACAATTGGTATCGGGGTGTGGGCATGCCGGTATTCTATTCAACGCACCATTGCCCGAATTTTAGTGAAAATCAGACTCGTAAGTATTGGATAGTGTGGCTGATGTCTCGACTTACCCTCGTTTTGCTTTGACTGGAGGTGGGTATTCTGTGGCTCGTTCTTGAAGGACTCAAAGAGCGGCACTACAAATGACGATCAGTCCCCCAGGCCCGTTCATGAGTGTTATGTACTCTTGTTAGCCATCGGCTTGAGGAAACCAATAGGGATGTGTGAATCTGAGTTACTTACGGTTCACCACCTGGGATGGAAGCAGCAGAAATGGTGGCTACATCAAATGTCAGGTACATCAGTTTGATTGAAGATACATGAAAGAAGCGATGAAGGTAGAGGTCCAAGGGTGATCACCTGTTAAAACAGCAGCAACCACTAACTTGAAGGAAACCATAATCGATTCTCGTTTGTGGAAATTCGAGAGCAAGTTTTTGTTCTTATGAGTTCAAAGTTGATGTAATTTGGTAGCCAGAACACTTGGTAACACAGGAAACAAGGGACAATTTTCCCGTGGGAAAACCAATTGTATCTGACTCAGTTAATGAGCCAAAATGTATTATTTTGGTGTTATATCTGTGTTATTTGTACATTATGGCTCAGAAACTACATTTATACTACACAAAGTTGATTCTGGAACTTTTCCACAAAATTTCCAGAACATTTTTCAGAAAGCCAGAATGCTTCTGCACCCTGGGCAAAAGGGCATTCAAACATGTACTGTTTTTCACAAGTCCAGGAGTCCAGAACACAGTCAAATCTGTGTTCTGGGGCAGTTCTGGAAAATTTGTGGAAAAGTTCCAGAATCAACTTTGTGTAGGATGTAATCGGTCTTCCCGCGGGAAAATTGTCTCTTGTATCCTGTGTAAGGATGAGAGGCAAAGCAATTCTTGGAGGCGGTAATTTGAAGGATCCGACCCAGGCAGGAGACTTCGAAAATCCTTCATATTTGTTCTAACAAAGGCGCTGTGAGGCGTTTTTCTGGACTTTTACAGTCCTGGAGTTTCCGTTGAGCCACAGTACAAAAACTCACAAACTTCCGAAAGCTTGGAAGAACTTTTGTTACCTTTCACATAAGAGACGGTGTTAACCTGTCACCGTGTAAATATCCGTGTAGCACGTCGACGTGCACACACGAAAGACTTTCCTTGGACCCTGTAACGACCCATCAAAGAGGTTCCACGACAAGTACATCTTCCCCTTATCACCTGGGAGGTTGAAAGTCAGTTGGCCCCCACTGACAACAAAGGATTCTGCAAATCCTTTAAACAAATCACAAAGCACAAAGGGTGCTCAGCAAAAATCTCAGTCTCAATCCGACCAAAAGACTTTGAGATTTATTTCAAAACTCTCCGTGTGTGCACGTCGACGTGCTACACGGATATTTACATGGTGTGTGTTGATGTGTTAAACGGATTTGGCTGTCTATATATCTTACCCGCGGGCCGCAACTAGTTCAAGACAATAATTACTCACTAGAATTTGTCATCTTTCCAGAATCGCAATATCTTATCTAGAGCTTCAGTGCAATTGATTGATAGAAACTCTTTGTTCAACTCTCAATTTAGCCACTCCTGGACCAAATGATTCCTATGATTCGAACAAGATGATCTCAGTGTTTGTTTCTGTTTTGGAAATGTGAGCTTCTTTCTTTCGTGTAAGATCAACATTACCAAGGCGTAAGGAAAGTCAGCTGTTTGGGCCAATGATACAATTCAAATCTTAATTCATGTAGTGCACGCCGATGCTTATCAACTAACCTGTGAAATCATTCAAGATATGATAGCATCATTAGTTTCTGAAAAAGATGGAAAAAGGATAGTTGAGATACATACGTTAGGACTGATATTTCGGTCCACCTGGAAAGTAGTTATAGGAATACGTTGAATGTTGTTTGGCGTGATTTGGCTGAGATATGGTCGCAGGCTCGAGCTGAGCAATTTTGAAAGACATGAATCCGTCAGTGCCCCATCTGAGTGTATGGACTTGATATGCAGTCGGATCACGAAATGGTCAACCCTACTTTCTTACTTTTGTTTCAGCCAAAACACAGGACGGTTGGAATCTAGTCGGCCGTCAATCACTAGAGCTCAACCAAAAGTTTTAAAAAGAATCACGGCGCGACTCAACCTGCCAAAAGCATCCTAGACTACCCACAAGAAGTGGAGGTTCACCAGAATGATCCTGCTTCGATCGTAGATGCCAGTCACAATCTGACGAGACTCGATCGATTAGTACTCAGGCAAGTCTTTGAACTTCGATTCGGATGAACGATATCGATAGTCTCCGAGAAGGTCTCCAAGGATGGCGCGATCCAACGAGATATTACAGCAGCGAAAGTCGACATCTTATGTAGTTGATCTGATTGTTTCAAACTCCGGTATCTGCAGTGAATAGAGGGTTATCATCAAGATTCAAGACCCTTTACCTGGCCCCCAGCGCAAAAAACGGGGCACTTGACCCGGTACATCATATTGCTTCGTGTGACCTGGGTCCACCATGCACTTTAGGGCTATAGAGGTGTCGGAATTCAAAAATGTAAACATCCAAATTTGACCACCGATCAGTTCTGTTATATGTTCTGTCTCAAAATCCCAACCTAACATGGATTGGCAGTATGTATCAAGATCGATTTATGGATTTTGAAAAGCTACCAGATACCTACACTTGCGGTATTTAGGAACGTGAGGGAATCAAAAGGCAGAAAAAAAACTTAAAGCGCCGAATTGTGCAAGAAAAAATGCAAGGAAAGTCTGAACTTGCAAAAGCTGAAATTGCCTGGAAAAAGACAAAATTGGGTACTACACAGGTTCCTACCCAAACCAGTCGGACCTGTGGTAATGGTGACGAGGGTCCTGATGATCAGCACTGCAGATTTGCCATGTTAATGCTTTCAAGGGAACATACAATGTCTCATGTCTACTACAGTCGAGATTGTATCTTATTTGATCGCATTCTACCTCGTGTTGTGCGCTTTTCGAATCAGAAATACGCATTGAGCAACAGGAAGGAAGATACATGGTCAAGTGTTTGTCTCAACTTTGTACTGCGATAACTGTGATCGTATAGGGATCTTGATTCAATATCCTTGACAAAAAATTAATTGTTTTGAGCTTGTAGTGCGGTCTTCACCTTCTACTCTTCTTCTTTGTATTCTCTTAGGATTTCTATTTGCCTAGTTGAATCCATATTACTCTCCTTAAATAGTAAGTATCTATGGTCCTCTTGTTACTTATGATTCTGTATCTTAATTTCCAATAGTATGTTTTTAGTCTGCATTCGTGTGTTCACAATGACTATAACATCTTAGGTAATCAATCTCATCACTTCTTTACCTCTAGGTTTCCTTACGAGTGTCGGGCCATGTGCATTGACAAGCATTTGATGACACTACCAGAGACGGGACATTAAATCAGGAAAAAACATCTGTGAGGTCTTTGAGATGAACTAAGGAAAAGAGAGAGCTGGGTGGGTTTAACACACCAGTTGAGCATACGCCGTTGAAGTATTATGATGCTGCAAGTGCAGGATGAACTAATCTCCACAAAATATACGTTCAGCATCCACAAATTCAATAGCGCGATGGATACATCTGCGCTTTGCGATGACCCAGCGGTTACAAATCTTAAGAGAAGGCCTCCGTGTAAGATTAAAACCCCTTCCATACGTATGTGCAGCTTGAACCAGCGCAATGTCAATTTTTACGCTCTACCTTTGTTGCTCTAAATCAAAGCAAATAGGCCTTAGCATCAGCTGGCCACCCAGCTGGCGTGTAGAAACCCCCACACCTTTATTGGCTTAAATTATCACCACACTCTGCAAATACATCCTAAAAGAATCTCGATAAATCTGGGTATATAGAAGTGGTTATCATGTGTATGTTAGGTCACTTGATGACGATTAAGAACGCGATCTTGAGTCGCGTCAAATTCTTCAAATATTGTTAGTGGGATTTGGCTGGATGGTTGGATGCGACTCAGAATTGTATGCCTGCGCTGAGACAATTTTGGCCTTAGTGACCTATGTCCACATTCAGATGAGGCACGTTGAGCATTTTTGGTGGTAAATGAATCAAAAATCTCCAACTACGCATCGAATTCGACAGTAGTACCTATTCTACTTACCTCAAGTCATCCAAGGATAGCCGTTGAGGAAGTCCATCTGCTGGGGAAGCTTTAGTACACAAGTGAAGGAATCACACCGCCGAATGTACTGAGGGCGCTTATTGTTAGGTTCCTTGTAGAAAAACTACCCGGAACAAATTCAGCGCACTACTTGATATCATTTTGAATTGTTCTGATGTTGCTCAGCGAGTAAGGGTTGGTCTCACTGGCCCACAGCTTAATTTCAATATCCTACCCGCGCGGTTTCAACTCTTGGATCCAATGGCGATAAAAGTAGGGAGTCATCATATACTCTGCACAAAAAAAAGCTGAACGATTTCCCTTGAAGTTCATTCTTAATATTGAAATTCAGCTTCAAGATCTTGTATACAATCTGTACAAATCTCAGCTCAGTTTTCAATCCCTCAGCATTCCTACTCCTACATATTGAAAAGCTTACACCAATGGAAACAAAAATAAGCACTGAGATCAGCTGGCGTATAAATCTTCAATACCGTCTTATCTCACATTGAGAATGTGTGGTAAGCAGATTTCGTGATAATCGGATTGACCGTTCTCACCCCAACAGATGCCTCAGCTCTTGCCTCACCTTTTACCTCACCTTTTACATCAGATTCGGCTTAGGCGTTGCCAGATCTGTGGCCTATAAAATCCCTACGTCTGGTCTCAAACCTCTCAACTCAAACCACTCCATCCTGTTCTGTTCAAGCCTTATATCTTCGAACTACGATCATTCCACTGTTATTTTTTAACCAACTCAAACTTCTTGAATCATACCTCAAGCCTTACATCTTTGAGATAAACTTCGTCACCCATTTTGTTTCCTTGCTCGCCTTTCCATCTTCATCAACCCATCAGCTTTTACCAAACACCCTTTAGTCAATCATGTTCCGCCAGAGTAATTTAGACCCTAATCCAATTTCTCGCGAAGACACAATTGAAATCAAGAAAGACTATCAAATCATCAAGAAAGTCGGCTCAGGTGGATTCTCTACAGTTTTCAAAGCTTATTCTTATTATCTCGTTAATGAGTGTGCACTCAAAGTGATTCCAAAGTTTGATCGAAAAGGAGATAATAAACAACCTTTCATTGCGAACGAAATCAAAATACTACAACGTCTCGAACATCGTTTTATAATCCGACTTTTGCATTATGAAGTTTATAATCAAACTTCTTGTCTTGCTCTTGAATTCTGCGAACGAGGTGATCTGGCGCAAATGGTGCAACAATCTCGCATCCCAGAGAATATAGTAAAGCGTTATATACTCGATATCAGTACTGCAATCGATTACCTTCATAGTAGAGATATCATTCATCGTGATCTGAAACTCGATAACATACTGTTAGATTCTGAAGGGAATATCAAGATTACCGACTTCGGCTTGGCTACAATCGCTTCCTCTTATGGTTTGGCATATGGTCAAGTTGGTTGCTCTTGGGCCAAAGCACCGGAGATGCTCACTCAAACATCGTACAACAAATCCGTGGATTGGTGGTCAGTAGGAGTAATGTTGTTCAAAATGGTCACCGGAGATGATCCTTTTAAACCAAGTAAGTAATGTTTCAAATTCAAAAGAATATCTTACTATCTTTCACAATCCATTGTCATTGACTTTACTTTTATCATATTGTTTTGAATCAATCTGAAGGTCATGGTTGTGACAACGTAGAATATCATATCATCAATTCACCTTTAAGAATTCCTCCTCGTGTTTCCCCCGCTTGCTGCGAAGTGATCGAAAAACTCTTGGACAAAAATCCTGCTTCAAGGATTGGTTCTCTTAGCCAGTTAAAATCATGTGGTTTCTTCGATGGTGTACTTTTGCACTGATTGGTCATCTTCTCATAGACACAATTTTCTACACATGCTCGTCAAATAATATTTCATATCATAAGATCTTTACGTATCTTGTCCTACTAAAATTTTTGCGCTTACCTTGAAGATATGTTGTTTCACGTTTGGATTGAACCGTCTTAAAATGCGATTCCACTTTTTACAAATTTTTGTTGGTAATTAACGCTTCTCATTCAAACTGAGAGAGAACGATTGTTTCCTGTTATACTTCTTTATTTGTCCGCTTGTCTTATTCCCGTAGAAATCTCTGTTAGACAGTTAAATTGATTCAATTTCTTCAACGATGTACTTCATTTGATCATCGTCGTGATAATATGGTCACACTTTTCCTCAAAATGCTTGTTGCCCTTGATCTTTCCTTATTTTCTTGCTTTACTAGACTAATTGGGCTTCGTGTAGAGATCTCCGTGCTTCACATTTTAATATAAATCTCCCCATATCACATTACATTTCATACACATTTTTGCGGGTAATTGATACTTCTCATTAGGTAAGGAAAATAATGACAAGTCGATTCTTTGAATTCTTCCTTGCTATGCTTGTTTTGCATGATAATCGATACATATGAGAGGAAGATGAGTATGATGTGTCTTTAGTATGACTACGTCCTCCATCATACCTAACTCGCCCACACGAAAGTTGAGGCCAAATGGCCTGTCATTGCCCTGTCGCTGGGGCAGGCACCAAAGCACATATCTTTGGTGCTACACCCAACACATGAATCAAGATGTATGTACTATTGTCACATGCATTAAATCTGGCATCGGCGCGAAATGGGTAGAGTCAGAATTCCAGAACATCAAAGATCAAGACGAGTTTTCCTTTCACTTGAAAGAAGAACTCAAGTAAGTGGATTCCAAGAAACTAAAAACTTCAAACTTTAAACAATAATCAAGTCAAACACTACAGCAACACAACCAGTTTCTCAAAGTTACAACAACTTGAAACACATCCAAAGAGCACCACAAAAAGCAAATCAACATTACAACTGATCATTTCATTATAGAAATTGATTTTTCATGGAGTTGGAAATGTCAATGAAATCCCAGCAGCAGAAAGTGCACTGTTTTCTAAACTATCTTTCCATCTACTACCATTCCCACCAGCGATATCAGAAATAAGATCTTTTGTCTTAATGATGAAACAAACAATCGAAGAAAAATCAAATTAGATTCGGAATCGTAAATCTTTAGGATGTGATGTATTTTCTAGAGAAGAAACTTACTTGAACAACTATACTCGGATAAAATGAAAAAGCTTTTATACGTTCAGTGAGAATCAAGTGTAAAATAGCTTTATCAAATGGTCTGGAGTAAGCAAACGCAGGGGATCTCAAATGTCGAATCTGGTAATCGAAGGAGAAAGAAACGAAACATGATCTCATTAATTCCAAAAACGTCATGGTGATTCAAAGAGTACGAAACAATTGACTTACCAGTTTCCTTGCACCTCTTTTTGATATTGCATAGGCATGATTACATTTTGGTGTGAATGCTGGTCTTAATGCCGAACCAGGAAATATAGGAGGGAATTGAGATTCTTGAGACCAACAATGACCTAAGAAGACAATGATGACAAAATGATAAAGAGTCAAAATCTGATTTTTTTAGTCACATTAACAAGCGTGACGGCGATGAGCTTACCGAGTAAAAGGATATCCCAATCTCTTGGTACTTCACTAAGTGTAGCCTCTAATCGAGCTTCAATGTCAACCTAAGCAGACAAACCCAATCCTCAATTAATAAGAAACCAGAATCGAAAGGATGTTCTGCAAAAAGAAACTTACTTCCAAATCCACATCATCTTCAAGAATCAAAGCCATTCTTTGCTTACTATCAACAAATTTTCTAATGACAGATAAATGAGAATGCCAACAAGCAATAGCAGCATCAGATAAGACATTCCACCAATGTCTTAGTCGTTCTTCAGCCATTCCACCTTCCCTAAACTGTTGTCGACGATTAAATCTATAATAATCCGGTTGAATACCCTCATTACTTCTATGTTGTAGAATACTCGAGATTGAACTACTACTGATCACAGGTAATGCAACTGAAACTTTATCAGAAGAAGGTATGACTTCAGGTCCTAATCCGAATCGATGACGTGTGGAAGAATTCATGGTCCATAAATCAGATCCAACAATTCCGAGAGGAATTGCAAGTGGATCAGATTGAAGTGCATAAGCATCAGCAAGAAAGATTAAATCAGGTTTCCATTTCACATATCTAGCTAAACTTTCAAGATCTCCTGTCATTGGACTAGATTGATCAAGATAAAAAGCGTGATCTGTTCTTGAGGTAGTCTTCATCATCGAATGTCTACGGAATCCGAGTTCGTAAGGCGAAGGAAGTTGAGTAGCTGTAGTACTTGTAGAAGAGATTGGCCAACCTTCAAGTTGGCGTTCTTGTTGTACATGAAATCGAATGTTTTTAATCAATTGATCATCTGCACTGGTAGCAGGAAAATAAGTAAATGAAAGTCCAAGAAGGTTTTCGAGTGCTTTCATGCGAGAGAGACGATCAACACGACGTTCAAGGTGTACGACATAAATTTCATCAAATCCTAAAGTAGGCGAACGAGCTTTAACAGGATCCACAACACGTTTCTTCGTCTTGAAAGCAGATGGTATCGAGTTCCATAACATTTTGATATGACTTGGTAATGCTGTTATTCTATTGTTTTCATTTTCATTCGATCCTAATTGTGGATGTGAATGTGCACGATGAAATCTAAAAATGAATTCAAGTTCATCCGACCTTGAAAGTCCATCCAAGCTTTCAAATCTTGTTAACAATAAAATGAAAATAAAAATCCCAAGACAAATGATGCTAGATAAACTTTTCTTCGTCTTGAACATCTTTGGAAAAGTGTTTATAGGTGATTGTGAGGTATAATGCTGAGCGAGAAAAGATATCCTTTTTCGGAAAAAAATGAGATGGCGAGTTTTTCAAGAATTGCAAGAGTTTCAAGAAGAGTGATAATAATTCGAGTAAGCAAAGATGATTGCAATCCAAGAGACGAAATGGAGATGACGAAGAGTATAAATAAAGCAGAGAAGTATGATATATGACTGGACTGATAATGAATATTGAACAAATGAAATGAAGTAGGAACAAGGAACGAGGAACAAGGAACGTTTGAAGGCATTTCTTCCTGTCCTGTTGAATTCCGCGATCAGTTATATTTTTGGTATCTTGGATTTGCTTTTGGAATTCTAAACACACTCAAGCTTTGTTCTATTGTAGTGGTTGAGGTTCACCGTCACGTCCAGACAGTGGTAAGGCCGGATCAGGTAGCTACGCGCCAGTACATACGCACCTCTGACTGAAAAAGACGATGAAAAGCCCAAATTTCATGAGCAATCACACATCACTCACATACACAGTCGATTTCAAAAAGGTTCACCGAGGTTTACCCGCAACATTCAAGTGATTTGGCTTGGAACTATCTGTACTCGATTTTCCGCTCGATATTTATCTGGAGAAAGATTGCACCACTGTCAAGTGGGTAAATAGATAACTATGACAAGGTAAGGGGGGTTGGACTCGAGGATAACTTCTTGACGGGTCATCTCAAAGCTGTGATATAGTCAAATCGTTATCTTCTATCATAATACGATCACATCAAGAAGCTTTGAAACTTTCATCAGTGTCATTCTTGATCAGTCTGTTGAACATCGAGCAGTTCGTTTCATCATGGACACAAGCCAAACAGAATGTCCAAGTACATATATCGGGCTGATCCGTCAAATATTCCTCAAACCCATCGAGAATGAATATGGAATATATGTATTTTCTTCACCCCCTGAATGGCCGAAGAAGTTCATGGGGAGGTATGAACTGGACCCATACGAGCACTTGCATTGGACAGTTCTACGTTACTGTGGTAAGTAGGCTCATAGAGTGATCAGTTCGGTCAAAATCTTCATATCTCCGCATCCAGGCCTTTGATCATGCTTAGGCAGAGATAGTGTGCATGATATCTACTATCTCATTCATTATACGCGTTGCGCGTGAATCAAGGCAAACTTGACCCAATCCACAAAATTCCAGAAAGCAAATCAGTTATAATTTATCTGATCGACTCAAAAGCAATTTCCAAACAGTACCAATACATTCATTATGATAACCACACCAAAGATGTACTTTTCGAAAATCAGACTAATATCTATTACAAAAACTCATGAAGACCGATACTATAATTTTTCAACACAGACATCACCTTAGCCACAAAAGCTAGAAGAACAGAACCAAAAATCAATCGCATGATCACCGATTATCACCAAGCAAAAGAAAAAATCGAATAAAGATGAGAAAAGAAAAGGGAACTGACCTTCAATATGAAAGATAGGCTTCGTACCCAACCTCAAACGATGTTCATAAAAAGCAGCGAAATGAATGATATCAGGTCTTAACACATCATCAATCTTAACCAATAAAGCTTTAGTTAAATTCATAATTAAGATCGAAGGAGGTATCAAATGTACTAATAATTCATAAATCATGGATCGCGCTTCTAATAATTTTTCAGGTGATTGTTCAGTTCTAATTAAATTGGCTAGCTTTTCTATATATAATTGCCAATCTACCTTTGGTATTGATTCTACATTTGGTCTTGGCTATGCATAATCAGAAAAAAATCACCATGAGTTTTTCAACAACCTATTGTGATAAATCTTGAGGATGATAAACGATGAGGAGTTCTTACTTTACTAAAGGTATCATCTTGTGCACGAATAGCTTCCAAGGTCAAGATTGCTTTCCGGAGGTTCCCTTCTGCACTAAGAGCAATCGACATTGCAGTTTCTTCTGGGAATTGACGTATGAAATCTTCTTTGCTTGCCACCGACTGTAAAACTTTGACAATCTACTTATCCATCACCGATCAAAGAGAAGGAACGCAAGTTTGGTAAGAAGTTTGAGATTTTGATGAAGCTTTGAGGTTTGATATAGAAAACTGAGGACGAACTTGATCAGGATGAGGTGCTCCAACTCTAAGTAAAAGACATCTACTTCTGATCGGTCCAATGATCTTAGAAGTAGAATTAGCACAAAGAATCAATCTTAGAGAACTAGTGTGACGCTCCATCGTACGACGTAAAGCAGCTTGAGCATCAAGCGTCAACTGATCTGCACAATGAATCACTACTACTTTGAATTTTCTTGAAGCTGTTGAGTCTAATTGAGTAGTACCTCCAACTTCTTTTAAAATGTCTTGAATCACACTTCTATCCCATTGAGCTAAATCGGCAGGTGTAAGTTCTAAATGATAATTTGATTCAATGATTTGTACTTCTAGTCTTCTTCTTGAAGGGGTCATAAACACTCTTTGTTCTATCCTTAATTTAGCAGCTCCTGGACCAAATAGTTCCTAAAATCCGAAAAAAATGATATCAGTCTTTCTTCGAACATGTAAACTTCCAGGTCTGGGTGGTTGTATATAAAACTTGAGATTACAGACGCGTAAAGTAGCAGCGATTCTAGTTTTTTTTCCAGCACCACTTGGACCATAAAACAAACAATGAGGAAAATCGGCAGTTTGAGCTAATGATCTAATTCGATTTGTAAGTTGAGGATGATAATCTAAATCATCTAATGACTTAGGACGATGTTTATCCACCAATAATGACCTAAGAATCATTCCAAATTCATATCGTTAGTTGGTTTTTTGGTCAAAATGGACATTGGACTTGAACCATTAAGATACTGACATCTTTCTATATATCTTTCGCGTCTTTCTTGATATTCGGAAGTTTTTGATTTGGATGGTTTTGTAAAGTTAGTTGATGATGAAACGGTAAACAGTCAAATTCGGATGGATGCAGTCAAATTTTCAGAAATTTAAGGATTAAGTGATTGGACCTTAGTGTGAAGCGTGACTGCGCCAGTTAACTCTTCACTCATGAACTTCAGTCACTCCTTATTTTATTTCGTCGCGTCTTCGATTCATGAAGGTCCTTGTATTTGAATCAAAGGTTTAGTTTGTCTTAGCACCATGGCGCTGCTGTGCCCAACAAACCCTTGTGGAGGTGATAGGGGTGATTTCTAGCTCGCCGAACGCGACTTGGATATCTTTGACTCTATGTCCCTTTTGAGATTGACTCGAAAATACAAATGCTCTGTCATGACTCATGACTCATGAAAGTCAAATTCTTCAGAAGCAAGTCGTTGATTCAAGGATGGTAAGAAATCAGAGACGTGAGCTCAAACACCAGCAAATGTTGTGCTGTCTGAATTCGAAGGCTCCCAGTGCGAGCTAGCCTTGTGACAAGCACAAGTGGATTGCTTCACACTGAATTGAGCGGGAATTCACATGGTGCTAGGTATATATGAACCTTTGTGCGTGATTACCACATCTAGCCAACCTCACTAGGATAACCATTTCACTTCATATACAAGGAGAAGTCAATTTGTGCCCTCAGAGACTGTCAGCTCCCAAGATCTTAGGTATAAGAACCAAAAGAGCTACAAAATGAAGAAGTATAAAAAACTCTTTCAGTGAAGTGATAGCTGATAGACCTAGTTCCAAAGGTTGTGATAACCCTAGATTGCTGAGCATTTGAAATAAAAAAAATTTAAAATACAAAAAAAAATAGTCTACTAAAAAGACACACACACCTTACTGGCTTAGTATCAAAAGCCTAAAAACATAAAAACATTTTTTACAAACAGTAAACTCTCTAATAAATTGAACCTTCAGTAGATTGGTATCAAAAGTCTAAATAACTCCTTCTTTTAGCATGGAAAGATCACTAGGGCAGAGAAAACAAGATCTTTAGGAAAAATGAGAAAACTTAAAGGAGTAGTATAAATTCCGCAATCAGTAGATCAGGAAGACACCTCGCCCAGAGATAATTATTGAGCTACAAAGTATACCATTAGAGAACGTAAAAGACTAAGGAAAGTAAATATAATGATCAGTAGGAATATGTTCACACATGGAAAGAACAGGATTACCTAATGATTACAAAGTAGTTAAAATATCTCAAATTAAACATAACAACACATAATATAACAGGTGAACTGATCGGAGAAGAGTGAGACAAGTATAGGAGAAAACGGAACAGTTTGGCTTTGGCTATAAACTGGATGATGATACAAATCAGATATAAATACTGAGTCATCAAGGAGACAAAGAGAAAGGAGGCACCTGATTTTAACCCACCAATCTTTCTAATAAATAATCATCTAACTCTAGAAATATTTCCATTTGAAATATAAGTGTTTAAGAAATTCCTAAAGAATAGTCTTAAAACTTCCTTTTTCAAAAACCTAAATCAGTGTCAAAACATCTTGTTACTATTAAAATTTTTATACCTCCAGTAGAGAATCTTACCTGTTATCAATACCGGTTAGTCCCATTTTCTACCCTTTCACTGGTCAAGGACCCAGGTTCTGTGACCTCTGTGTTGACAAGATCCCTGCAGAAATTAATCTCAGGCAGCTTGTAACTTTCTAAGTTCCGAGATATATCACGGCTCAAGACTGACCTGCCATCATCTGTGAACCCACAGCGGGCCCATAGTTCACCTAAACTAATCATCCTAACTAACTTAAATCAAGCAGTAACTAATTGAGTGATATTTCTACAATTTCTTTGTAGAAATAACTGTACCTATTCCCTGTAACCAGCGGAATATTTACTCGGGACCTTAGTACAAGGTGACAGACTAGACCATCTTGTATGTAGTATTGATTGCCACCCAGACAGAAACCTTGACGGACCAGGGAATTGCAATTTTCATCATCTCAACAAAAGCTAAAGGAATTCAAAGTTGAACAAAGTTCATTTTTGCAACGACAGTTAACAACAGCATATATCACATATTTCATAAACAAACAATATACATTTTTTCAATCTTCAAGGTATTAACCTTCAATTTGATCTACATATTGGTATCATAAAACTACCTATTGAATGATTCTTTCAATATTCTTCAAACAAGTTTTTGAATTGAATTCTTGGCAAAAAAACATCTTGATCATAAATTTTTCATGGGTTTTCAAAAAGTACCTGCAAATATCAGCTGGGATATAAAATCTTTTATAATACTGCACCTGGTTCCCGTTCAAGAGGTCTAGCATGCTTTCTTGCAATAGCTTCAGTATTAGTAATGAAATTGGGACTAAACAATTTGAATCAAGCATTCAAAACAACAATCAGCATGGGCCAAATTCCAATGGACATTGAAAAATTGCAACAATAAACAAGAGAGAATGTATCAAAATTTGAGTATGGACTTACTTGGTAATGATACCTGATGAATCAGGTTGATCTTCCTGACTAGAAAATGAAATCCAATAGAAGTCAATATTTTCTTCATAGATCAATAATAATCAATAATAATCAAAGAACTGGACTCACTCATTCATTCCTCTGATCTTTCTCATCTTTTTCTTTTTCTTCTCCCAATCTATCTCCTCCCCATCCTCTTGGTCTTCACTCTCTTCACTTTCTTTGTAATCAGAATCTTCAGTTGCTTTTCTTTTCTTTTGTCTCCTTCTTTGACGTCTTTGTCTTTCTTGAATTTCGATTCTTCTTCTATCTGAGACAATTTGAGCAGTTTCAAAAGCTGCACTTTTAGTACCTTCATCAGGCTCGTCTTTCTGATGTTCAAGGTCGCAAATTTCATCTTCAAGTTGTTGCTTGATTGCTTTATAATCCTTGTTCTCTACTACTCCGCGCTCAATCCCTCCCTGTACTCCTACGTCTTCTTCTTCACTATCAAGATTGTCACTTTCTGAATCAGTTTCTGAATCAGTTGGGATGACTTCATCATTATCATCATCATCTAACAAGGTTGCAGCATTCGAGTTTGTTCTTCCACGATGTCGACGACTTAAATCTCTAAATCCACCAGGTATAGCAAAAAGATTTCCATATCGTTGATTGTCATCATTTCTGTGATTGTCAGAAGGATTGGGTGCAGAACCATCTGGGCCAAGTTGATGAATCATAGGTATGAATATCTTTGAATTGCTCAATTCATTGTATATTTCATATTGTAAAGATTTATCAGTTGATGAATAAGCTAAATCAAGGTACTGCCATTTGATTTTTCTTTTTCTGTATGTAAGTAGATGTTCAGGTGAATTAAATTTATGACAAACTTCTTTCAATTGCCTCCTTAATATCTCTCCATCCGGTTCTAATGTAATTTGATCCTTTGATTTCATTTGATGTGAATTTGTTTTATAAAAAATTAAAACCATTGTTCTAAATCTAGATCCACCTTCAGTTCCTAAATAAACAGAGAATGGGAATGTAAAAAAACCTTGTGAAGATGGATGTTTAATAACCTTTGCAAACAGGAATGAGTGTAAATCTGATGAGATTGGTTCTTGAATGATTGGTAGATTGGTAGCTAATACAATTTGAATCTGCCATTTCTTTGGAAGTTTGAGTGAACTTGGGTCATAGGATTCAGTTTGTCGAGTTGAGTTGTTCGAAGTAATTGTTGGAGTATTTGTAATTGTTGGTTGACGAATTGAATGAGCTATTAAGAAGAAATAAAATGCAAAAAGAATCAATTTGTATATTTTGAGAGAATTGATCAAGGAATACTGACCAAAATTTATAATCTGATTGGTATCCCATTCAACACAATCATCCCAAATTTTCCATTGATCATCATGTTCTAGTTGAAATTGATCAGCTGAGATGATGATCAAATTCCAAAATTTAAGATAGAAAAAACAAAGTCAATGATTGAAAAAAAACTTGGAAATAAAAAAAGTAAACTCACGAATAAGAACATCAGTACAACTTCCAAGCTTTTCTAAGACTAATTTCTCCTTGACTTCTTTCAAACACTTGAAGATCTTCAAATAGGCTATTTTGCAAGAAACCGTATCAGGAAATGTAAATTGACATTTCTTACGAGCTTTACTTAATTTGATTTGATTTGGTAATGGTTTTGAAAGGAGTTCAAAGCATAACATGGTTTGTAATATGGTTTCTAACGGCAATAGTTCTGAAAATTGGTTGATTTCTAATATTGTCTCTAAGAATTTCGGTCTTGAAACTGGTGATATGTTTTTTTCTGATTGAAAATGTACTTTTCGATTCCATTGTAAAACTGTTTGAGAAAAATAAATCATTGGTCAAAGAATTGAAATAAAAAAAGAAAGATCAAATCGATATCTTACATTTTTTTGGTTTTTTCATTGCTAACCACTCTGCTTCAAACATCCCTTTCTCAGGAATTTCTTCCCAACTCCAAACAGCACTGGAACTCGAATGATTAAAACATTCAAATCCATTTTTTTCTTCACCTCCAATCTCACTTTCTTTGAATATTTGATACAAAAGAAATTTTAGTACACCAATTGCCAAGTTCGCGCAGCTTTCATTTTCAAATTCAATTCGACAGATTGTTCTCTTTTCTACATATTCATCTTTGAGATTTTTTAATAATTTTAATTGTCCAAATGTGAATGACTTTGATCGATTTATTTCTCTTTTACCTGGACCCCATAAAAGTTTTGATAATTCATAACGATCCAATATTTTGTTCAAGGCTGTTGTATTATTTGTTGAAATCACGTATATGTAATAGAATGAGCTACGATCGACGGTTTTATTATCGGTGAGCAGAGCCCGCATTAGATCGAAGCCGGATAGATGCGAGTAATCTCGTTCGGGTTCGGTTACGGTAGAAAAGATTGATCGGAAGATAGATGGTTCCAGAGTTGGTGGTGGAACTGGTTGGGTTGTCGGAGGTGGAAGATCGAAGTCAAGGGCTGACGGTCTCGTCGATCGTCTCGAGGTTGGACGTTCCGGTTCGCGTTCCGGTTCGCGTTCAAGTTCAGCTTGCGCTCCAGGCTGATAGAAGAGCCTCAAGAGCCTCTGCATCCTCAATTGATTTGAAGGAAAAGAGGTTTCCGATCGATCGTTTCTCTTTTCTTTTCATTCAGAATCAAAAAGTGTCGAAGTGTTCGAACTTCGAGAAAGAACAAAGGCCTAGTGCAAAACACCAAGACTCAACAAGCGCCGGATCAATTTTGTCTTTTTCAGCGGGGCCGGGCCGAGTTTCAAATTCCGAAATGATGTTGCTCAAAGAGCGAGAGTACGGAAATTTTATTTTCCTTGACTTTTGTAAGCTTTGGTATCAAGCAAGTCTTTAATTTGGAAGCAATAAACCTATCAATCTTACAAAAACCAAACAAAAACAAGTGTACATATGAAGAAAGTAACAATATTGATATCAAAACTTCAAAATTGATCCTTGCAAGTTCTGTGCCAAATCTGTGCAAGATATGAGTAGAAATTGCACGGATCTTTCACAAAATCCACCTCGGTCTCGCGTGGTTTTTGCACCAGTTGGAACATGCTTGTCAAAAAAATTAATGTGCAACAATGGTGCAAGAAATCTTGAAGGATTCTTGCACGAGTTTTTTGAAGTTCTGAATACCACAAATACAACCCTCAAAAGAAAAACCCTCAAATTAAACCCATCATAATTAAAACAAAAACCCAAAGTCCTCTGCTTCAAAACAAGAAATCAAAATCAAACAACTTTCTTCTCTTTCTTCATCATCTATCATCTCGATCTCATGTAGCTGGTCTAATTAAACCTGATGAATTCTTTATTTTTGATTTTTGGTTCACTTTTGATTTGATTTTGACTACTACGATTGAACCAGTAGAAAGATCGATTTGATCTTCTCGATCATCAATCGGTTCTACCAAAGTCAAAAATTCAGAAATTCAATCAACACTACAAATCTTTTTGGCAAAATAGTTAAGAAAACATATTGATGGAATCCAAACTTTACCTTCAATAATCAAAGAAGGAGCTGAATTTTGAAATCTTGCTGATCTATTAAACGCTTTGAAGCCGTCTTCGAAATCAATAACAGTACCAATAACAGGTGAAAGATTACAAATCGTATTATTCAATCCATCTTGACTTCCGAATCGATTCCTATACCGATCAAGTCCAAGTATCCCACCAGCGATTTCATGTGGTTGTAAATCATCTTCAAATCTACCATTAAAACAATCATCATCATCTTCAATAATCTTTCGAAGTTCATCTAATCCTTCTCTAATCGTTTGCCTTTGTCCATCATATTCAGTTTCAGGACTCAAACACCAATAGCCTATTTTCTTTTGATCTTTCTTGATAAACGTTCTTCTTAATGATCTAAAATTCGTTTTCACTTTATCTTTTAAATTCTTCATACGTAATCTATCTCCAACACAACTGATGAACATTCCTTCATGATGTAAAATCCTTCGAGATGCATCATATATCCTTCGACCTCCTATCGTATCTATCACCACATCATATGATGATTCATGGATTGAATTCAATGAACTTAATATGCTATCTTCTACCATCACTTCTCTTGCTCCTCTAAATTCACATCTACCTACTGTAATTCCAATCTCTTCTACACTAGTGGCGACGGTAGGTATATGACATGTTACCCACAGATCTCGATTTGGTCTAAAATATTTCACAAGTTCACACATCATTGCTCCAAGTCCTTTATGACCGTTTAAAATTAAGATCTAACAAACCAAATCACACCCGTTTCAGTTTCATTTAGTTTGCTGGATTTGACCTTTTGAGAATTACGATATAAGAAATTAAATTTTATTCACCTTGGATCCTTTTGGTAAACCAGCACAAATCGTACTCATAACGAAATAAGAAGGAACTCCAAGTGTAGGTAAACAAGCGATTTGTTCCATGGATAAATTCGGATGGACAGGAGCAATTGCGACTAAATCCTTATCGATCACCATTCTTTGAGCCAATGCACCAGACTATAAACAAGGCATAAAGAAGTAAGTATCTCGTCTTGAATTTTTCTTCAAAAATGATGTCTTTTGGGGGGCAGGGAGAAAAAAGAGGTATACCTTTTTCAAATCTTGAAGTCCATAAACCAAATCACCTTTCTTCAACCTTTTAACACCTAATCCAACTTCTAAAACTTTTCCCACAAAACTTCTACCCGGAACAAATTGATTAAAATTCGAATTAAGAGTTGGATTTGAAGGTTTAGATTTTAAAGAAGGATTTGATTCTAAGGCTTGATATTCATTTGAAGATTGATTAAAATCATGAATCGATTTGTTTAAAATTCGATCTTGTGGTTGATTGTTTGAAGAAACTTTATAAGATGAAACTTTTGATTGAGTTAAAGCTAAATCCCATGCATCTAATGCAACTGCATCGATTTCAATTAAAACTTGTCCTGTACCTAAATGTTTTGGATGATTTGATAAATTCGAATAAATTAACATATTCGATAATGGTTTTTTTCTCTTTAGATCTAATGAGATTGTAAACATATTGAAATTGGAATTATTCGAATTCGGATTCAATATTTTGTTAGTAATTCGACTTGGATTTTGATTTGGTACAAATCCACCTGATGGGATTTCGATTGTAGGTAAGATTCTGAATTGACTTTGAGGATTGGGTTGAGTAAGTTGGTGATGATGATTATCGGACAAAAGACTTGTGATTGAATATCTAGGATTGTGAAATCTTAACATCTGACGCTTACTGTGATTGGATGATTCACAATCATAATCATTGTTTATGATTGGATTACAAAATCGGGGATTTAAAGGAGAGTTGAAATTCGCATGATCTTCATTATTCAAAGTTTGTTGATGAAGGTGAGTTTGATTAGATCGATATCTTAACTTGGAAACTGAAGGTTTAGATTTGGATGTTAAAGATTGGGCGGAAAGTTGAAAGTGATTTGGTGAGTTGTTTTTGACATTTTCAAAACTTGAATTTCTGAATGAGATTTGGAATGTATCCTTTTGATGAGTAACCTTTTGGTGAAGTACAAGTTGATGAGGATTAGGATTATTCGGATTCACTTGTAAATTGATAGATCCCATCGGCTCAGTTTTAAGTTTTGAACTTTGACCATTTTCACCATGAGCTGAGGTCGAAGTTGAGGTCGATTGAGGAGTCAACTCGATGATTGAAATAGGTGGAAAAATATTATGATCTGGTTTCACTTCTGGCTCTTCTACTTCCAATTCGTATCCCATTCTAGCTACGATTGTTGGAATGTCAAGATGTTCATCATTTCGATCTAGTTCAGTGATTTTATCGTCCAAAGTAGCGCCATGATGATGCTGGTTGGTTTTAGTCAACTGATAAGCTGAATTTCGCCATTTAGGAGTAGTAGGAGCAGGAGTTGTGGTGATTGCTGCATCAGTTAAATTTCTTGCTGCCGTGCTATCAGGCAATAAGTTGATTGTAGAAGCTGAAGTTTGATTTATATAACCAATATACGATTTGGAGATTGGTAAAGCTTCATAAACTGATTGATTTTGATTGGAATGTCGATTGCTGAGCTTAACCAGTTCCTGATGAGTCAGAAAGTTGACGACCGCTTTTGTTTTTGTTTTCTCATTGGTTTTGGTGTGGATACTGGCGTTGCTATTGCTGGTGGATTCAGGTGGATTGGATTTTGTATAATAAATCGAATAAGATTGTGATGGTAAATCAAACATTTTAATCGACTTCATTTCATTCTCAATGAGGTAAGAATGCTATACTCTAAGATGAGTTTAAGAACTTCAAATAGTTCCTTGATGATGAGTTGGGTCAACAGAAACGGGATTAAGAGCAATTATGGCAAATGTCAAACTGATCAACATCCTTGTTTACCAAAACTGGAAAACTACGTGAACTAGAAAATCGCTATGCTAACTTCTTGTTCAACAAACTATTTAGATTTCGATATCTTCTTCTTGGTATCGTCCAGCCTTATTGTTCAGATTGTGTTCGCCAGGCAATCGTTCATTGTCGACAGTCGGGTGGATCTTGTCTCAAGGCATGTCCCTTTGAGAGGTTCGCGTTCGACCATGTTTGTTCGGCAGAGGGTCATCAGCAAATTTTCGCCCCAGCAAAGCTGACCTTAGCGGCTCGACTCTCTCATCTCGGAAAGGGTATTTCCACAAACTGATCTTCAGACCTGCAGGTCATGAGCAACTGACCGTTACAAAGCTCAAGGAACGCTTTAGACAAACTAATATACATACACCACGGGGCGACTTCTCACTGAGCCCACGTGCAATCAAAGCAAAGTGGCATCGGTTGGAGGTGATGTGAAAAAAGTTCGTTTTATAGGTGAATAGGAACGTGGATGAGGCCACGTGGCCCTCACCCGGGCCCTCACCTGGCCTTCACGTATCCAGAAAGATACACGTTACGCCGACGTGGTTTACTACCTTTGCTAAAAAGCTTGCCCGGTTCGATCGCGAACAAGAGACAAGAGAGGTCGAATTTGGCCGCAGCCTGCTGCGAGGCCGCTGCGCAACTCGTCAAGATCCCAAATTTGGCCGATCACAAATTCTAAGAGATCGACTGCACCTGTGGATCTCTGACTTCAACCAATTCTGAGACACATTATGACTATATTCACAGCATGTCTGGAGCTTGGTATGTCAAGATCAACCATACAGTCGAGTGCAGCTCTAATTCGACGCTATTCATAATGGAAATCACCGCCTATTCCAGAGTTCTCCTGGTGCAATGGTTTGAAGTAGTGGTTGTGATCACGCTCTTGATTCAATCGGTAGTAGTGTGTTCAAGCCTTTATGGACTTTTGTGCTTTTTTGTTTTGGCTTCATGAGATAAAAAAGTACAAGTCAAAAAGGACAACACCTTTTTTTGAAAATCTTTTGTTCTTCGTGCTCAGTCAAGAGCTCAAATGAGGTCACCATAGAATACTGACACATGTCCAAGATGCCTTGAATTAATTTCGAAATTTTAGCAAAAAAGTTCACGCAATTGGCCTTGATCCCATGCTGGCAAGACCACTAACGTTGGCGGCTCACGCCACATCAAGCCGTTCGACTAAGATCACTTTCTGCAGTCTTGATTAAAGCAAATCTTTGTAGCACCCGCAGCGCGATAGAAGTCGCATAGAAGTGTGAGCATGAATTCATCATGATGAGGTAGATATTTGTGCTTTATGATAGATCTCAACATATCCCAAAGTCAGAGATCCACAGGTGAAGTCGATCTCTTTCAGAATTTGCGATCGGCCAAATTTGGGATCTTGACGAGTTGCGCAGCGGCCTCGCAGCAGGCTGCAGCCAAATTCGACCTCTCTTGTCTCTTGTTCGCGATTGAACCGGGCAAGCTTTTTAGCAAAGGTAGTACTAGCCAATCGGCGGGGGAGTCAGTTTGTCTGAGGACAACCTGAACAGGTGTTCAGCATCCAAACAAGGTTGTATGCTGTACATACAATCTCAGATCAGGTGCTGAGCATGTGGCTGTTCTTTCTCACTTAACCAAAGATTTAAAAGACAACCTGAACAAAAATGACACCTCAACAAAACAAGAGAATTGTGGTTGCAGAGCAACACTTCCAAGAAAAAAGATTTCTGAACACTTTTTTTGATTTTTGCAGTATTGCAACTCCTGTGAATTCAGAGTTTCTCAAGGTATTGAATTCACTTAGGGCGTGTTCACTTAAGCAATTTCTGGTGAGAAATCACATTCTGCAAAATTTAAAGTGGCTATTTGGTGGTGTATGTTTCATTTTTGCATTAAAAAATTTACAGAATGTGATTTCTAGTCAGAAATTCCTTAAGTGAACGCGCCCTTAATAACTTGAGCAGTACTGCAAGGATCACCTCCTGAAGCAAACTTAAGTTAGGGCTGTGACCCGGCCCTGGACTTTCAGGGCCGGCCCTGAGGCTTGCCCAACCCCGAGTATAGTGGGTAGTGTCTAAAAGCGTGAAATGTCGGACCGGGGAAAAAATTACCTATGTTCAAATTTCCCTGTACATGTAGGATTGAGATCACATCCTTCAAGTGGATCAGTTCCTTTCCAACCTTCAAATCCTATTGCGAACTCGAGCCAATTGGTTCCAATCGACTTTCTTTGGTGTCACATGTAAGTTATTTATCTTGATCGCTTTGTTGTCTTATATATCCAATACTGACAGGATCAATACATACAACAATTTTGTTTTAGGCTATCTCGAACACTGTACGAGCGTTCCAATCTCCAGGAAGAGAAGGATTTGGTTGAAACAAATAGGCAAACCGGTCCTCTTGTAACCATCCGAGAGTTTCATCTTCATCCCAAGACCAACAAGATAATGTTCAATCTCTTGTAAGTCGACCTTTTGCTTGATCTCATTCATGAATTTTTCTTGATTTATCAATTGTTTGATGCATTTGATAGCTTGTAGGCAGGCCATGAAAGTCAAATGTGGTTCTAATGCTGTCACTAAGACATATACATCTCATCAAACCATTTCTGGCAACTATGCAACTGATGCTGGCCTCGATGTATGTTTTTGCCCTTTTTTCTCACATTTTCATCGAAGATTGTTTTGTCTTATTGATTTCTGCTCTCACTGATACACCAGGTCACAATGCACCCATACGACTCTTTCCGAACCGCTGCTCATGGCTCTGTGACCAATGCTGACTTCAATCGATGACATTTTTTTCGTTTTTCCTTATAACTTTTTCAAATATTGACTTCTTGCTGTAATTCATGTCCTCACTGATGGAGAAGGTCGCAAAGCACTAGGAATTGTATTGTTTAATTTTCTGTATTGCAAATTACATTCTATGATGAAAATCTACTTTGTTGTAAAAAAGATGAAAAATTTAAAGCCCTTGAAACAACTCAGAGATAACAATTTCTGATAGCGGCCGATGCAAGGACTCCAAATCTGTGCTCGGATTCCAATTTGGATCAAATTTGTGGCACTGATAAACTTTTTGCTCCAAATACCCGATTTCACGCTTTTAGACACTACCCACTATAGACCCAAGGGCCCTCAGAAAGTGCTCAGGGCCAACCAGGGCACACCCTGAGCTCATTTTAGGTGCTAAAACCCGGCAACAAGGTGATTATTTTGAATTTTATTGCATGTTTATGTGTTTGAAATGCTTTGTAGAAGCTATATGAGCCTACATCAAAATTGAAAAGAGCTATAGGAGGAAATTTAGAGAGAAAAAGTTTGTTGCCACAGCAAAAATATAGCAGGTCTTGAGAGGCCCAGCCCCGCCCAAGGTGCCCGCAGGGCTTTCATCACCCTAATCATGTGTGTCAGGGCACGTACCGTGTGCCTCCAGAAAGACGTTGTGCAGGCTCGGCCGGCCAGGGCCAGGGCCGGGTCACAGCCCTGAACTTAAGTAAGTCCCATTGTGCCAGGTTTTATACATAGCACGCAATGACCGAGGCAGGAGGGACTTACTCACTACCACGACCATTTGGTGTGGTAGGTTGAGAGTTTTAGTAGAGAAAAACTGGTATCTGTTATAAGCCCAACTTCTCTTCATCTTATGTTTGGAAAAAGGTGGATATTCTGAAGGGCCTACTTCTTCCACATCTTTCTCTCTATTCACATTTTCCCTCTTGGTTTTGTTCTTTTTTTTCTTAACCCTGAAAACAAGATGATCCTGAAATCTGGAAAATGAACTTGCTGCAAGAGTGTTACATAGACATATAAATACATCTCAAATTTTGATTTGACACAGTGTAAGAAATTCAAAACTGGAACTATCAAGTTCCATTGAGATTTGAAATGGTGAAGTGAATGAAGTTATGTGAGAGAAATGGTGAAATGAAACGGCCCATAGAGCAGCATCTCTAGAAATTGTTGGTTGGGAATGCAATTAGATTCATCAGAAAATATGATCCAAAATAACTGATTTTACAGTTCAAAAACGCTCAAAAGTGTTGCCTCCCTTGCCACAAAGGCTTGAAGACACTTGTACAAACCTCAGATTGGTCGGACTGGACACTAAGAAGTTTATCCAAACAATGTTGACATCCACGGACCCAACTGTGGCCAGAAGACGTGCAGCTTGGGGAATGGAAAAGCTGGGAAATTGGAAGCATGTTGTACACCCACTTTGGTATAAAAAGTTGCATTAATAAGTTAATGCAACTTTTACATCACCGTGAGAAAATTTCTCACCATGTATGTATATGTAAAATTACACAAGAGTTTGATTGTTGGAAACATTTGGTAACCAGATAGAAAGTGAAATGTGATCAACTTCTCAAGACCATTGATCACAATGATGTCTGTTACGAGTTGGTAAACAAGATCATTGGCTTCATTAAGTTCAATGATCAACCAAAGCTCACTCTCCAATCAACACTCTCAACTTATCATTGTACCAGCTCTCACTTGTAAAGTGCAGGTCTTTTATGAACGTTACAAACTTTTGAATGTGATAAATGTGATAAAATTCTAATTCAATAAGTTTAAGTGAAAATTGGAAAACAGTGGAAATTGAAAGTTGAATCACAAAAAGTTATGTTGGATGGTCATCAAGAAGCTTGAAGTTGAGTTCAAATGAGATGGTCAATGAGTTTGACAGGTTTTGAGTTTGGAAACTTTGAGAGTGATTGAGGATGAGGTGATGATGAGTTGATGTTGGTCGTGATAAGAGAGAAACAACAGACAAGTACGAGAAGATCGAGTGATAGGTTGATCAGAAGAATGCAAGAGGTTGCAGTTGCATTCAG